GCTCTTTGTTTCTGTCTCAGTGGTTTCCAAGATGGTTTTCCTGTTTTCACTTGCCCCCAGCTATGGAAAGGTTGGAAACCACTGATTTGCCTGGTTCTCACAATCACTGTGAATTGACAAGCCATTGTAGCTTCTTCTGAATCTTTGTGTGATTTGTGTAATTATCTTCCCAGGTGCAGCTTGTCAGGTTGCCCAAATCTAGGCAGCATGGCTTTTTGGAGAGCTAAGCAACCACCAAAAAATCTACAGGCTTTTGTCCTTTATACATGAAGGAAATTTTGGAAATTTTATCACAAACTCTTTAAGCACAATTTTAGATGCTGTTCATTTCTGCTGCTTTAGTGGTTAAAAGTTTTAAGTATTTTATGCCTTTTCATGGCTCTGTGCTCTATTTGCACCCAGAAGTATAATTATTCTTCTTACGTTGTCTAAGTGATGCAAATGTATAACATTCTTGATCTAAGTTATGGCTATTTCAAAACACTGCCTCTCTGGTATGCATTTGGGTGTACGTGTGTGTGTGCGGGGGCAGATTGTTATGTAGTTTCAGGTTTCCGAGCTATTTTAAAATATATTATTCCATATACCTAATTAGGTAAGGATTTTAGAGCAATGGTTTTGTCTGACCTATATCACTGCCAGTCCCATCTAAGAAACAGTTCTGGAAGAAAAGGTATCAAAGATAGAATAATGTCAGGCTGTGCTATGAATCAGGAAGTTTCTTTCTTACCAATATTTAAAAGAATATTGCTACCCCATAAGTTTCCTGGGTAGCTTATAAATACAAGTTAAGACATTTTAATTAATTATATTTCTATATCTTTCTACCAAGGCATGCACATTTGTTTATATTGTTAAATACTGAAACAAGCAAGCAAATGTTGCACCCCCCCCCGAAAAAAAAAAACCCATTCACACATTCCTAAGAAGCATTGAAATTGTGTTTTCTTGGGACAGTTGAAGGTCGCTTCAGGAGTTGATGACACACACTGCCTGGCCTGGTCTGAAGTGACCCCAGTAAAGGTGGGGATGGCTCTAAAGTTTCTCTAAGGCCATTAAAGGCCCTTTCAGGAGCTGACTGCCAGGCCTGGGTGTAGAATCCTAGGAGGAAAAGTAGCATTAAAATGGCAAACTCAAGCAACCACAGAATTAAAACACTGATTTTCAAATGGAGAGATCCAGACTATGTGAGATATTTAAATGTATAAACTGCCCTTCATCAATAAGATAGCATCACAACAGGTGACAAATACAGTGTAAAAGCAGCTATGTATTAGACAATGACAGCAACAATTTAAATGTGCGGGTGAGCAAAAAGACTGAAACGGTGGTGGAGGAGGAGCTTTGGGAAAGCTGTTCTGCAACCAGGGTACCACAAATGAAAACCTTGTGGATTATCTGCCTCATTTATTTGGTGGGCACTGTCAGAAGGGTCTCTGGAACTGTTTTAAGGTTTGGGTAGGCCCATAGAGGAGAAGGCAGTCTTTCAGGCAAAGGCTCACTCATGCTGGTGGCCCAAATCTTTCATTTGGAGGCCAGAATCTGTGGGAGGCCATCTGCCCCATTGTCCTGTTGTCTGCAGACACTTGCAGAAATCAAGGGGCAGGGGCCCTGATGGTCTCTGCTGCATCTGATCCTTCCGAATTAGCTGGCTTTCTGCCCACATGTGCTTTGCCTTCCGCCACCGGCTCCCACTTGCCTGTGGTCCTTTCTAGAAATCAAGTGCCCTCCTCTCCCTTCTGCATACATCCTTTTTGCACACAGAAATGGATATCCTTAGCAGACAGGGTCTTTTAAATGCCCACACAAATTTTGGAGTCTGTACAAATTACCTCATGAAATTTGTGCATTGTTTTGCCCTGTGGGCTGGATTCTTTCAGTATTTTTGCTTTCAGAAAACCTGATCTCAAGCTGTTTAGTATTTTTAAATGTTAAACCTTTTACTTTAAAATTCAGCTCAGAAACTGACTGGGAGCCTTTGCGGTACAGGTGTAATATGGTAAAAACATCCCATTCCCAGTTAGCAATTTTACAGCTTTATTCTGAACCAACTGCAGCTTGTGGCAGAGCTATCTCCATCTAGCTGAAGATTGCAGATGGTATGTTAGCAGATGATAAAATATGCTTTGAGGTATATAGTTTATGTGAACCTCTAAACAGTGTTTTAGATTCCAGGCTGCACGTATGATTCTTAAGAGCAGGGAGGGAAATGTTACCCATCTGTAAAGTTTCCCCACAGAGGCTTGGCTTTTCTCCCCAGGTCTTGCCCACCAGCCTGGAGACTGTTAGGAGCTTGAGGAAGAGACGTAGAAAAATGTCTTTGTTACATCTGATCACTGACCTGTCCTAGCTGCACTGAGGCTTTCCCCTGCTGGAGAAATGCATCTGCAGCAAAGTTGGATCCCTGACCAAAGCATTAGCTAAAAGGAGCTAAAGATAGTGCTTTGGCTGGCCACTGGATAATATCAGGGCAGTAGCCCAGCTCCTTGATGCCATCCAGACTGTATCCTTACTGTATAAATTGCATGCCTCTGACTGCTAGTCCTACATAGCCTAACAACACCCATCAGCACAGAAAAGGTTGGCATCAGCAAGGCTGGGGAAACCCAGAGGGTTGCAGAAGTGCAGAAAACACTACGGAGAAAACTTCCAGAACAGCCCTTTGAGAACTGACGATGATCAGCAGCCCCAGAATTTCCATGGGAGGGAATCAAATGGAATCTCTTGGGGAAAAGGTATTGCTGACTAGAATGATGGACCTGAGCATTCTGCATCATGAAACCCTCACTTCTGCAGGTCTGGCTTGGTGGTGGTACTGTTCTAGCTTAAAGGCAGAGGAATCTTTCTAACTGAACGTACCAACACTTACGTTTACTGAATATCTTCAGCCTCTTTAAGAGACTGAACCAAAGCATTTCTTGCTGTATTAGCTTAAAAATCATTATGGATTTCTTTTCTAAACATAAAATCCAAACACTTTTCAGTATTTATATAACAACCAAGCTATTGTATACCTATGTACTAACGTTTACTTTCAACCACAATTTAAATGATCCTTTTTGTAGGCTGTAAACAGAGTCAGTTATTTTTTTTCCAATTAGATTATTTAGAAATAGCCAAAGACAGAAACAGGGGAAGAAGTTAGGAAGGAAAAGAGGAAAACAGTTTGAATAGAAGGCAAAGAAAATAACAAGTGATGGCTGGAACACAAAGGAATATTTTATAAAGGCCATCCAAATACCTTAACAGCTACTTAAGAGTCAATTGTAGGTTACTCATGTTATTCAAAGAAATGGAATTTGTCTGGCTTCACTCAGCCAGCTTGTATTTAAACATTGCTCTTGATTGATAACCCAGCTAAAATGTTCTTGTGGTTCTGAAGCTTGCATTGAACTGAACCAAGATGGAGATCCAAATTTTGAGTTTTGCGTACTGGGCATAAATACATGGCTAGATGATATTCATCTGCAGCAGTCTTGATTCCCAGCTATGACAGTTTGTCCTCTTACTGCATTTTATGGCATGTAGGGGCTCAGATCCGTTGTTGTATGAAGTACATTGTGGCTCTAATCTATCAATTCCTCCTAGTTCAAAGCAATCTCAGTTCAATTTATTTCCTTTGGAAATAAATGGCTTATCAGACTAGATGCCCCAGGAGTCCCCTTCTAACTCTCTCTGTTTTCAATGTTTCAACAGCAGGTGTATTATTTTTATTAATGCATTGTTAAAGCTGTTACAATGATGTATGTGTTTTTCCCACTTGTATCTTTTCCTTCCTTCAGTGAATTTTGGGTAGCTTAAATTGGGCTGCCTATTTTATATTAACAACCATCCTATGAAATGCGCTAGTAGAAGAGAATAGCTGGTCAGAGTGGCTTTATGCCTGTGTGTGTGTGTGTGTGTCTGTTTGTCTGTGTTCTAGTGCTCATGCACCATTCAGAATAGCTTACAACAATTTAAAACAACAGTACACTATAAAAGCCTTGCGTGCATTAAAAAAACAGAAAAACAGAACTGGAGACCATAAATGAGTAACCTTAAACAGGTTGCAATCATATACCCACTCAGCTGGGAGTAAGTCCTATGGAAGTCAGTGGGACTTACTTCAGAGTAGGCACGTACAGGAATGTGCTATATAAAGGCAAATCCTGCTGAGATAGAAATGTATGCACCACCTAACAAAAGGCAACCAGATAAAGAACAGCCTGCCCTTTGTGGATCAAGGAGTTCCATAATATGGAAGAATCAACTGAGTGTTTAATTTTAGTTTTTGGTTAAGGTCATCCCTGACTATGCCCTTCCCTGGTTAGGTCCATTTATTATACCAGATTGCCTGTGTCAGTGGCAAGTGGCACAAAAGTACACCTTTCATCTGCTATGCAACATGACCTGAACTCACTTTTGGGTTGGTTGATTTATCTCTATCCCTCTTGTCCTTTCATAAACTCAGGGCTTCCCTACATGAGGAGTTTAGCCTGCTGCTTTAGGTCCTTTACATGGTTTTTTTCCCCTTGGCATTTGCATTTATTTGCTTTTCTGTATATTCTATTATCCAGCCGCAAGGTGTTATAGCAGATTTGCAGCAGTACATAAGTATTTTGCTCCAATTGGTCGCAACTTAAAATTCAATACCAGACTTTTATCCCTCTAAAATAAACCCACAAGAAGGCTGGAAAGCACAGAAGAGACTCTGGAGGGCACCAGTGTTACAAGCTTTGATGACTAAGGGATCTTGAGTATACAATACATGTCTCATGTAGAGAAGCCCTCAGAAAGGGAAATACGTCAGCAAGGTACTCCATAGACCAAAACCTACCTACCTTTACTAATGTGTAATAGCATCAGGCAGCCTCAATTTCTTACCAGTGCATTCCATTTTAGAATGCACTTGTAAGTGCATTTTAGAATGCACTTTCTGTGTGCTGGAATTATCACTACTATTCTTCCTGTAAAGTTTTGATCTTTTTTTTTCTTTTTTTGTGGGGTTATCTTTTCCACAGATTTAGTCCCTTCAATCATGAGTAACTTGCTGAACCCAGATGCTATCTTTTCCAACAATGAAATGAGCCTCTCAGACATAGAAATCTATGGGTTTGATTATGACTACACATTGGTCTTCTACTCCAAGCATTTGCACACACTGATCTTTAATGCTGCCCGGGATCTTTTGATCAACGAGCATCGGGTAAGAGACGTCTTTTGCATTTGTTTTAAATATACAGGACATTCCAAGGTGCTTAGGGCTACTGCTCATAACACTTCTTCTCCAGGGAATACTATCTCAGCAAGAAAGGGCATGCATTGCAGCAGTATGTTTGTAAGCCGTCCTGAGATGCCACACATAGAGGATAGCATATAAAAGTTTTTTTAAAAAAATATATAGTAGGGCTATAGAAGGCTTGTTTAAGCCTCAGATGGTGGCAGAGCTTGGGTGACGCATTGCAACCCCTTGCAACACATTGCATGTTCAAAATTTCAAAATTGCATGTTCAAAATGTGGCTGTTTCCATCCAACACATGTTGTGACTTATTGTGGGTTAAATAAGACACAGTGATAGTGACCAGAGCCTTATGGGTTTGGCAAACCAGCCCTCAGTCTTGATGTCTGTATGAGCATCATGTAATGCTACGGCTTGACCATCTGATATATTTCTTTACTAGTAATGCTTATGGGGATGGATTGACTATAATCAAATATCCTATCTCAAAAATGTATATGTATCTTGAACAAACATGCAGGTGAACTGGTTTCTATAACAACTAAAACAGCATTGTTTTTCAGCTAAATAGTGCAACCTGGAAGCAAAATCCAAACTTTTGATCATGTAACTTATTGCCTTTTTTTACTATTTATTTAAGTATGCTTAGACAGGAGACTTGTCTCTGCTTGCTTCTCTGTGTTCCTGGTACAACTATATACTTGGCAGGCTAAATAATTCTGTGCCCACTTACTTGAACATGAGTCCCTTAAAATCAAGTGGGATTTGCTTCTGAGTAAACATATATTGCACTGGGCTGACAGTGTCCAGAACTTTCTACAAGCAAAAATTAGTAACTACAAGACAATATTGTGTTTCTGCTTGAGATGAAACATATATGTCCCAAGTTTGATAGAAGTCAGTATCTTCTTTCTCCTTCAGTAATAGAGTCAATCTGTCCATTTCTGCACAGTCCAGAATCTTTTTTAAAATCAGTTGCTCAGTGGGTATTTCCTCACTCTTCCAGTATTGAGCAAGCACAATCCTCACCGCTGTGATTAAATGTAGCATCAAATACATGTCTTGTTTGCTAATATTTTCCAGTATAATGCCTAATAAGAAAATTTCAGGTTTAAAAGCTAAGGGTTTTTGTAGCATTTCCTCAAGCCATTTATGTATTTTAATCCAATATTTTTTCACATATTCACAGGTCCACCACATATGGTAAAAAGTATCCACATCATGTTTACATTTCCAACATCCGTTTGACATATTTGGAAACATCTTAGCCAATCGACTTGGCGACGAATACCATCTATAAAACATTTTATATAAATTTTCTTTATACGAAGTTGCTAAAGTTACCTTAATATTTCTCTCCCATAACTTTTGCCACTTTTCTAATTCAACATTATATCCAAAATTTTGTGCCCATGTTATCATAGTTTCCTTAACCTGTTCCCTTTCCATTTTCCTGTCAAGTAAGAACTCATAAATTCTTTTAATCATTTTCTCATCTGTTTTTAGCATCACTTGATCAAAGGCTGTTAGGTCTTTATAAAACCCCCATATTTTACAATCTTCAGCATATCTTGATTGCATCTGCACCTTATACCACCAAGAGATATTGAGTCCCTGTTCTTGTATTTCTTGATCTAGTTTCAGGCCTCCGTCCTTATCCAAAATATCATCATATCTTTTGATCCCTTCAAAATTCAATACATTTGGATACACAAAAGCTTCCATAGGTGAAAGCCGTCTTGGTAATTTATTATACAATTTTTCCAGTCCTACAGTATTATTGAATATCCCAACTTGTTATCCTTCTGATTGAAATAAAGGGCTGCAGAAGATAAAAGCAGAAGCCAGCCTTCAGCTTACGAAATGATGCATACTTTAGTATGGTTGCATTCAATTCAGAATTTTTTAGAAACTGAATTATTCCTAAAGAAAAGCTCTTAACTGTTTATTTATTTATTTCTTTAAAGTTTTTATATGCCGTCCCCATTGCTACGCAGCCTTGGGACGGCTGACAACACAAATAAATAAAACAAATAGAATTACAATTACAATTAAAACTTGGAAACACACTGGCTGCATAATTAAAACTATAAATATTAAAGATTATTAAAACACTGTTTGAATAAAAAGGTCTTGGCCTGGCGCTGAAAAACAAATAACGACGGCACCAGGCAGACCTCTCTGGAGAGTGCATTCCACAGATGGGGCGCCACCACAGAGAAGGCCCTCCTCCGGGTACTTTGCTTCCTGATATCTCTTACGGAAGGCTCCCGGGGGAGAGCCCCTGCTGCCAATCTCAAGGGGCGGGAGGGCAAATATGGCCGCAGGCGTTCCTTCAAGTACCCGGGTCCCAAGCCGTTAAGGACTTTATAAGTAATTACCAACACCTTGAATTGAGCCCAGACTTCAATGGGAAGCCAGTGAAGCTGGTAGAGGACTGGGGTTATATGAGAATAATGCCCAGTTCTCATCAGCAACCTGGCTGCTCTATTTTGCACCATCTGAAGTATCCGGACTGTCTTCAAGGGCAGCCCCACGTAGAGCACGTTACAGAAATCCAGTAGACCTCTAAAATCCATAAAAATGATTTATACCCATTGTACTTCTTGTCTAGCAGTAAGCAGAGGGAGCCAAACTCCCAGTTAACAGTGAAGTACAAAATTTAACTACTTGGCACTAGGGGAAAAAGGGTCTTACTTAATAAGAGCAGATATGTATTTGGAGGAATATTTGCTGACAAGAATGCTCTCTGAACCAAAATGTCCTTATGGCACTGGCAGAAATTCAGGTATTAACCCCTTCTTTGCTGCTTCATATGGAATATTCCTTTTTGCTATCTGAATTGAGTTCCCAGTGTTGTGTATTCCAGTGTTGCATGTCTGTTCAAAGGTCAGTGGCTATATATGTGTGTCTATAAATACTCACACAGTAGTAAATAAATATCTCCACAGTCATAAATAGGAAAATAGATCTTTACACATAATTGAGCCTGTTGTACAAAATATTGGTGCTAATATTTAGTGCAGCAGTGGAAGAATACTAGTTCTATTTCTGCATCCTATATTTTGAACATGCGGTTTTTCTTTGACCTACACTTGGGGCACAGACCAGAATTACAAAAAAGTAACCATGGTTTAATCCTTCCAATCCCCTGGGTAACCAAGGCTGATCTGTTGTGTAATGAAATGTTCACAAAGATCCTAAATTCTGGATGGTACACTGTGTGTGTGAAAGCACTTCCAGTGTGCCACTAGAAGAAAATATTGTGGAGAATTTATTGTATCTCCTTTGGGACTACCACAGTAATATGTCTGGAGATTATGTTGTGCCTTTTCAGATGAAATAGTACACAAGTGAGGTTTTTGTTTGTTGCCATTCTTGGAATGTCCAGTTTCATTTGAGTATGTCGCATGGACCCTTAGCTAGATATGAGTGCTGCCATAAGCTTTTGCTAACTTTTACAAAAATGCCTCAATGCATGGAAAAAGAATTTCCGTACTTCATTGGACCATAATGAACATTCAACATCTGTTAGAGGGAATAGCTGGACTTTTTATTTGGACAAGAAAATACTTGAGATACATTTTGTGTGACTTGAGTAGTATATTGAGGCATCTTATTTTTTTGTCCTGCCAGTATCCTGCAGAAATCCAGAAGTATGACTATGATCCAAATTTTGCTATAAGAGGCCTTCATTATGATGTGCATCGGGTAGGTCTTAATGATTTCATTTTGAACATTGTTGAGTATAATGGATTATCAGCCTCCCCTAATGCTTGATCAGAGCTGCTGTTCTTTGTAAGCAACTTAAAATAACTGCAAGATAACTTGTTGTTTTGTTGTTTAATTTTGAACAGAACATTTATTATTTATTTGGAGCTCTTATACTTGCTTACTAACCAAAGATCTCAAGGTGGCTTACAATATATTTGAGATATAACAAAGTACTGTGTGTGGAAACAAAGGCTTATACAGATATTCCAGCTGCTACGCTGTGTCTGACTCTCTTGGCTAAGGCAGATTTCTGGGAAAAACTCCTTCGGCAATCAAGATTAGCTAAAATTAGTACATTTTAAATTCTCTGCCATGAAACATGGTGATGGCCACCAATTAGGTGGCTTTGATTCTGCCACAGTGACTGATAAATCATGTTACTCTGCTGATCTTGTCATTTTCCTCCAATTGTTTACCAGCTATGATTTGTTTCCTCGTTGCATGTAACTTAATATGTAAATTGTGAACACCAGGCACATATTTTCTTAACAAATTGCTTTTGAATTTGCAAGCTGTTGGAAAACTATTCTAGGATAATTCACAGTACTGAAAGATGCAACAGTAGTAGCAGTAGCCCAGATAAAGAACCCCACCCTAAAAGGACTAGCATGTGGTTGTTGTGGAAGCCATTTTCACATCAAGGTCTCCTCTGAGACCTGCTGTAACCCAGAATTTCAGAATCAGTTACTGTTGACTTTTGAACAACTTTTCACACATTGTGCCTCTTGTGTCTGTTTCTAGCAGCCAGAGCTGTTAGAGACACCAACAACAGCCTAGATGAAGAAACCTTGCTTTTTAAAGGCCTAGATTTTAGCTTCCCCCACTGTCCTTCTTTTGTATGTCTCAAATTTGCACTCAGTTAATTTCTTTTTTTTTCACATTGTGCCTAATTTTATAAGATTTCATTATTGTCACTCTGTCCATAACAATCTCTGCTCTAAATCAGGGATGGGCAACTTATTGCCCTCCGGATGCTTTGGTCTGCAACTTACATCATCCAACCTTAGTGCTGGCTAAGGCTGATGGGAGTTGTAGGCCAAAATACCTGCAAAGCTGCAAGTTGCTTTGTTTGCTCTAAACGAAACAGCCATTGCTCATAGGAAAGATGCTTCGACCTTGTAATATACCTTGAATGCCCTGTTCTGCACCTCAGATCGGGTGCTCAGAATTTTGCTTAGTATTCCAAATGTGACTGTATGTTTTATGTAGTTTGCCATTTTTGTTAAACTTTCCAGTGTGACCCCAGATAGCTTTCCTAATTAGACTCCATTCCTGTTGGTTCAAACATTCATTCATTGCTTATAGGAGAGTACAGTGGTACCTTGGCTCATGAACTTAATCAGTTCCACGACTCTGGTTGTGATCCAAATTGGTTGTGACCCTAGTCAAATTTCCCTGTAAGATTCAATGTAAATAAAGTTAATCCGTTCTGGCCCCTCCGAATGTGGTTGTGAGCCAATTTTTGTTTGCGAGCCAAGTCAAATTTCTCCATAAGGTTCAATGTAAATAAGGTTAATCTGTTCTGTAACTATTTTTTTAATCAGAAAAATTTGAAACCAAGTGACAAAGAACAACAAAGTAACAAAGTACTGTACGGTACAGTGGAGAACACTAACCTAGGTGGGGGGGGTAATTGTTTTGAGGGAGAGTCCCCCTCCCCCATTGGGGAGATCTCCTTCAGGGGTTTCCTCTCTCCTTTGTCTCTTAGCTGCAGGGTCAATTCTGGTGAAAAATCTGTAGTCACTTGTTTTTTCCTGTGCTGCATAACCCTCCAGAAATGAGAAAACGCGTTATCATTCATCAGATACAACACTCTGTTTGTTACAGTTATGTTGGGGTGGTGCTTTTCAAAGAAATCCTGGCACTCTTTCCATTTTTTCATAACAGATTGTATCACATCACTGCTAACCTCCTCCCTGTCTTCCTCTTCCTCAGTGGAATCCTCCTCAGCAAGTACCTTCTGCTGCTCACTCTGGAGTTCAGCAAGTTCTTCTGTCGTCAACTCCTCTGTGTCTCCCCTGCATGAACGCAACTGCGATCGTGGCCATCTCCCTACTTGGGGGTGGGGAGATGGCTGTGATCTTGGTTGCCACCCAATGCGGAGTTCGTGACCCAAGTCAAAATTTTCATGAAATTTTTGTTCATGACCCAATTTGGTTGTGAACCAAGGCGTTTGTGAGCCAAGGTACCACTGTATGTCTGAGAGAGGGATCTTGAGATGCTCCCTCTGTGTCATATCCTACCCCTTCAAGCTGGGTAGTAACTCTATAATCCAGTAATACAGCCTGTTGACTGTTCTTGGTCCTTCAGCAGAAAGAGGGTTGGAGGCAAATATTTTATCAGACATTACTTCACTGAATGATTGTGGTCAAACCAGTGTTTCCCATTGCAAAATGGATAAAGAAGCAACTTAGGGCTAATGAAAAACATGACAGTAATTGGAAAGAATTCCATGATTATCAGTAGTGCAATTCTTAATCTGGAAGTGGTGGTACCAACTTGCTATTTTTAAAAAAATGTTTCCTGGAATCAATTGAAATAGCATTCTCATATTTTTGAAAATAGTAATACACAGCTTTACTATACAGCTTTTCTGACTATAAGGCTGCATATACTGAGATTCTTATTTATATCTCCAGCTTCGATAGAGAAAAATAAAGGGTTGGCTCCAGAGAAGTGCAGGTGGAGTTCTGCTCTTGCCATAAGGTTTTCTCACATACTTGTCCCTGCTTGCAGTTTCTTCAGAAAGGGATTGGACGGGCTGTGGGGGACTGGAGTAGGAATTTGGTGGGCCTCTTGTGAAAGGTGCATGAGCAGAAAGGCAAAGTTTCTATTTGATCTATCCAAAAAGAACCTTCTGGTAGAGAGATGATGTTAAGTTGCTCTTCTAATAAAGCTTTTGTTTAAAATCTTTTGTTTAAAAGCCAGAGATACTAATTCAGTGGAGTAACTCTAGATTGTGTAGTAGTAATGGACAAAATAGTTGCTTGAAATTCATCAAAAGTGTTTTGTGTACTTTACCAAGTTTCTCCTGATTGTTTTCGTTTTTGCTTTGAAGGCATTATTGATGAAGATAGATGCTTTCCATTATATTCAGTTAGGAACAGTGTACAGGTAAGTCTAACTTGCTTAGATTGCACTGAATGATTGAGTTATGTTTTTGTTTTCAATGAGAGGTATGTGCTTTGGACATTCAGAATCCATGCTTCTAGCAATGTAATACAAAGGAATGAGCCTCTTGCTGGGTTAAGATGATCAAATCCTAACTTAAGGAGCTAAGATATGCATATGGTTTGTGCACCTGTGTGCATTCCCTTGTTTCCACTTTGCTCCTCCCTGTATGTGAGCAAGCAAACAAACCAGGATGTTGCAATAAACCATAGCTTCCTGCTGCATCCAATCAGGATGCTATGGTTAATGGCTTCCAAACAAGCAAAAATTGGAAGCAGACTTTAAATTGTGGTTTAAAAGCGGGCCAGCAGAAAGAGCGGAACAAAGCAGCTGTGTGGAGGTGCATGAAGCTTGTGCTTATTAACCCTCTTTCATTAATAACTTATTATCTGGTATAGTTCTCTGCTGGAACAGATGCCCAAGTGGAAAAAATAGCACTTTTATTGTTTGGACCAGCTAAATCTGTTCTTTAGCTTGTGTGGCCAGAGGAGAATTGGCTGGCCACATGGCACTGACAAATGTTCTTGCTTCAGCTGCTAAATTGTACTGCTAAAAATACTTCAGTGTTGGCAACTGATCTTAAGAAGCTACACAAGCAGTAACTTTTAAATTGATTTCAATGTGGTACTTGTCATTTTAAGAGGCCTCCTCACATCTGTGACTGATTAAATATAGTGCTGAATACTAAGTTAGTTCCACTAGCCATGTTGGTAACTTTCTACTCTGTTGAAATCACTGCAGTCTTAAGGTCTTTAATTACATATATCAAGAAAAATAAAACTTCAGATGAATTGCCTTCCATCATTTTTACCAAAGACAAAAAGCTGCTGGCCCTTTCATCTCTTAGTTTGTAAAATTCTATCTATTCTGTGGATACATCACTTTACTAAATAAGAATAAGTGCAATCTTATACTTTTGAGATTAGAGTCTGTTGTTTATTTAAAACTAGAGGATCCAGGGGTTTCATATGTAGACTCTCCATATTGATATATGAAAAATGTCTGGCTTTGGCACTGATGCTACTCTTGCTGTTGCCAGAGGACTGAGTGTCGTTCCGGATGATGAAGTCATTGCCATGTACGATGGGTCTCATGTCCCCTTGGAACAAATGAGTGATTTCTATGGAAAGGTAAGATTATAGATCTGTTCGAACTAAAATTCATACATGACAACAGGATTGGATTTATGTGTGTGGTTCTTTTTTTCGCTCTGTAGTGACATAGCTACTCTGAACATGGTAGTCTCACTTAGAGTAAATCTATTGTAATGAATGGGACTTAAGTTAGACTAACATTGGACTAATCAGTTCTCTTGGTAGCTCTTTTATATGAGCAGATTGTCTGAGGGCTCATGAATAGTTCAGTCAATCAATGGAGAAATGAAGATTTATGGACAAAATTCAGTAACAAGATGGCTGCCTCTTTTTGGTGCTCCACTCTGAGGCTGCTGCTGCTTATTGGCTGGTTTCTATGGTAGAAATTGTTAGAGTACATCAACAGTCTTTTGAAAGACTATTGGCTCAGAAAGAAAGGTAATAAGGTTTGTTTATCATTAAATGTCCTATTCATAATATTTGCTACTTTCTAAATATGGTGTACAGACATGCGAACCACTACTTACTTCAGCAAATTAGTTGTACAAATGAATATCAATGGAAAATGGAGGAATAGAAAATTAAAGGTGCAATCCTGTGCAAGTTGAGACAAGTCTAACTATTGCATAGGATTGTGCCCTAAATGAAGTGCCACAGATTTGCGATAACAACCAGTAATTGAAATGGGCTATGTGTTTGATTGGTAAGTGGTTGACTGATTAAATATTTGTTATGAATGAATGAACGAATGTGTGTGTTTATTGCCTATCATTTAGGAGACCAGGGCTAGGCAACCCGTGGTCTACACGGTTTTTTTTCCCCCCTCCGGATTTTTTCACTGTGTCTCTAGAATGTAAATACACTGGCAGATAAGCCAAGTTAATGAGAAAACTAAAAATCATAGAAATGCATATTTTGAGTGGCCATGTGTTTCTGAACATCCAAAATAACTTTTTTGCACTGAACTTTCATTCTTATGATTACTTAGGCTCCACATACTTATGTTCTTTTTGTCTGCTTGTTTCTTAATGCCAACCACTGAACAATTAGTGGCTGGGTTCGAAGGACCAGTGACTTCTTTTCCCCATTGTGCTGGCCAGTTTGCCTAATTACCCGTACAATGCATGACTTCCCATGTTGTCTGAACCTAGTGATGTACATGGCAGTGGTGGCAAAATCACCCCTTGTAGGGTTTTTGAAGCCACCTCCCTTCATGCGCCCTGCTTGGTTTGGATGACATGGGAAGCCATATGCTGCATGCCTGGCACACACAGGAATAGGGGAAAGAAGCCACCATGGCATTTTATCCCACTGATTGTCTGAACCTGGCCAATGTGCGTTTTCTACATTAAAAAGGACCATTGATTGTAACTGTTTAAGTGTGTCGTCATTAAGGTGACATTGTTTAGGGAAAAGGAATAAACTTGTGAAAAGATAAGTTATTGAATAGTTCACTGTTTCTTTAGCATGAATGTATGGTCTTTGCATATTATAAAGTAATTCTCTAATAATTGATTTTAATTGCTTATTACCAATATTTCAATGCCATATTTCAGGCCAAAAAGCTGTTCTGAGATACACATTCAAGATGAAAACATAAAGTAAATTACAAAGCAACTCATTTAAGATTATGAAATTAGGGGAGCCATCCTGTAGCTCCTAGATGGTGTTGTGGGGGGCATAGGATATTTTGGGTCCCAGATCCAAGGTTGTAGACAGCAATCTGATCTTGAAATTAGGAATCAGAGCTCCAAGCCACCACTGCTTACAACTGGTGTGGAATGTATCCTGCTGGCTGCTGAGGACAGGACCAATGACCTTAGGGAAGAGGAGAGGGAGGTGTTTTGGGTGGCTGGGAGAAGAGAGGCCAGGACACAACTTATCCTGAAGTCTCTCCAGTCTCCCTCCCTCCCTCCTTCCTTCCCTCCTTCCTTCCTGAAGTGTTCCAGCTAGGCAGGCAAAAAAGCCAGTCATCCAAAAATGTGAGGCAGGATTACACTCATTGTTCTTCCCACTCTGCATACAATGTCTGCAATTCTCCAAATTTGGGGACTTGCTGGGATTGCAGTAGGATTATGCTCGAAAACACCAATCTAAAACTTCCTCTAGGCTATCCGCTTAAACAAGGGCAGGGAATCTCTGGTCCTTAAAATGTTGTTGGAGTTCTAACACCTTGCATCCCTTACTATTGGCTGTGCTAGCTGGTGCTTAATGGGAGCTGCAGTCTGAAAATGTCTCGGGGGACAGAGATTCCCGTGCCTGCTACTTGAAACAGAAGTATCAACATTGCAATCTATTAAAAACCCATCCTAGTATCTTTAACTAAAAGCAGAACAAAACAAAAAAGGATTGAAAGCCAGCAAATAAAGAGCTCATGTATATCCTTTGAGAGCATGGAACACCCTGTCTTTTGGTCCTCCAGTCTGATTAAATCTGAGTTGACTCACCTCAAATAAAATTTGTTCTTTTATATTCCCATTCTGCTACCTGTCTGTTTAATGCCAGTATAAAAAGTAAAGCTTTACAAAACTTTTCTGATGGCACATGTTTGAGTCATATGTGCTTGTTTGCAGAGTTCACAAGGCAACACCATGAAGCAGTTCATGGATATCTTCTCCTTGCCTGAGATGACACTCTTATCTTGTGTAAATGAGTATTTCTTGAAAAACAACATAGACTATGAGCCAGTTCATCTCTACAAAGATGTGAAGGTATTGGGCTCTCCTTTCCAGATGTATATTCCAACATGCTGTTAACTGCTTTATCCTTACAGTTTTGAAAGAAAATACGAAGATGGTAACACAACACTGTGCTAAAATATGATGGCCTTGGAAACAGATATAGAATGGTTTTCCCCTTTGTTTGGATTAAGAGGCAAAATAGTACATTATTGCTAAAACGCACTTCTTGGCAAGCCAAGTTTCTAGCTGTTACAGCTGTAAGAACAGAATAAGAATTCCAGAGTATGTGGATGTGTAGTTAAAACCTTAGAATCCAGAGGGAGGTGGTAAGTGGGATTGCTGGTGATCCGGGTGAGGTTTCTAGTACCTGCTTAGTGCCTTGATTGCTCTCCGTGACTTGCTGAAGTGGAATTATTTAAAGAAAGCAAGTGTATATGCTCTTATTTTACATATTATATACTGCAGTACTCGTGGTGCAGGATTTGGCTCATCTTAGCACACAATTAAACATGATTTGGGATGCAAACCCAGCTAATGGCCTTGGAGCCAGGCTTGTCAGCACTATTAAACAACACCTCTCCAGTTGTTGACATGAAACTTACTTTTTTTTTTTTTTTGGCAAGTGGATGCTTGAACAAATTTGTTTTGTGGCATAGAGGTTTCTGCTTTCATCCAGGGTCTTGTTCCAAGTGTAGATGTATTTTCCATTGGAAGCAAAGCATGTGGAATCTTTCTTTTTATTCTGATATACAAGTCCCACAGAAAAATGCATATTTTTTTTCTATTTGAGGAAGCTGTTAGGTGGATTTTTTTTTTTGGTTCCCTCTTTTTATGGCTGCCTTTCCCCCCAGTGTTTAGCAGTTTCCATTTCTAGTACTTTGTATTGTAGCACTTTTTGCCATCTACCCGAGGCAGCAACATGCCAAAATACTTAAAGAATTCATGGCATATGAGGGAGGTAGAAGTTACTCTTCTTGCTCATATGTAATTTTCATTGAAATGAATTTCAACATGGAGAAAAATGTCAGTGTAACCTTATAGTAATACCCCTTACAGGACTCGATCAGAGATGTCCACACCAAAGGAATAATGTATCGAGCAATTGAAGCAGATATTGGTAAGCATCGCTGAAGTTTTAAGAAGAGAACTCATCTTCCATTTTTAATGTTTTATGATTGTTAGTTTTTGCTGAGGGGACTACTGGGGGGGGGGACTAACATTAACCTCCTTGTCATGGTCAGATCACTTCCTACTGTGGTTTAGGCTCTTGCAAGGTTGGTCACCTATAAGAATGGTCTTCCCCCTGAGTCTAATGGATCCAGATGATTTCCAGGGGAGTTTCTGGCTGATGTAGCTGGTGCTCCTGTTGAAGCTCAGGTCTCTCTGTGGAAGGTAGAGATGGCCTGGGCAGTTGACGCAATTGTACCCAAGTACCCTTTTCCTGTGTAGAGCCCAGCCAGCTCCTTGGGATACACCAGAGCTGTGGTCAGTGAAGCAAGAGGGTAGATGGCTAGAGCACAGGTGGAGAAAAGCTCATGCTGAATTGGACTGAACACAGGTTAGAGCCCATTATTGGTCCAGTTCCATGGAAGTGGGGGTGGCAGAGAGGCAGTTATTTTCCACCAGCAATGGGTCCTCAGTGCCGTCCAGCAAAGTTCTTCCAAGTTGTTTGTGGTCTTTTACAGTCCGGGCCAGAGAAAGATTCTGTTGAATCCTCAGTAACTTGCTTTGATAAGTTTGCACAGCACTTTGACTATAATACCACTTGAAGTGTAAACATGAATTGGACTCCTCTTGGAAATATTTACATAAATCCACAGTGGGCAGGTTTGCCATGGCCAATTAAACTACCCAATAAATAAGCTTTGTGATGTGGATTGTTCAAAGAACAACCCATGGTGCATCCAACAGTCAGGCTCACTGAGGTTTGTTCTCCCTCAAAGTTTTCTGGCTGTTATTCCAGAGTCCTTCAGGATAGAACCTGTCTTGTCTCCCGCTCTGTGCTCTGATCACTAACCCATATTTTTGTGCTGCTGAGTTTTTTTTGGGGAACTTCAAAAATGGAGCTGGTGTTGTCCTCCTTTCCCCCACAAAAATGTGCAATTGTGTTCACATAAACTTTTAAAATCAGTCTTTCACAGGTATACAACTGCATGCTTAACAGCCATTTGATATGTCTTGTCTTGTCTTTTCAATGACTGTGTAAGCTTCAGCAGTCAAAGGAAAGTGGAGTAGGTAACAGATTGACAAATTGTGACTGCGTGTAGGCTAATCTGCATGTAGTTGTCATCTGTCAGTTGCCTAGCTAGCAATTGAAAAATAAAGGGTGAAAAAGTGGCAAAAGGCAGTGCTTTAGCAATGTAATTTTCTGGATTTTGAGTGTTGAATTAATAGTTCCCATTGTCTTCCACCTTTACAACAAAGTCTTCAACAACTCTAGAAAATGAACAAGGGACAGATTAACTCCCCACTCTTTTCATAGTCTGCTTTTTGGAGCAGTTACTGCATTCCCTGCTGGTTTTAGAAAAGTGCATTTTGTGATGACCGAGAAATAGGCACAGATTTAAGGGCTGGCAATAAATGGAAGAAATATACACTCATTTATAACTATCAGGGACTCACAGTAATCACAGCAATAACTGTTCCAAAAAGGAAATTCGCAAGTTGTAGGAAGCATTCTGGACTGGGATGTCAAATCCCTTGCAGCATTCATTCCTCCAATCAACACTGGTTGTAACTTGTTCTCTTTCTTTCCTTCCCTCCCTCCCATTTTTAGAGAAATATATTTGCTATGCTGAACAGACGCGTGCTGTGCTTGCAAAGCTGGCGAATCAGGGCAAGAAGATGTTCCTCATTACGAACAGTCCCAGCAGCTTTGTGTAGGTGGCTTGCTTGGTACATACAAACCCTCCCTTCTCTGTTAGTGCCACAGGGGCAGTTTTAAAAAGGAAAATAATAACTGCTGGTTCAGTTTGTGCTATTAAAAGTTGATCTGATTTTTGCAGGGATAGAGGTATGAAGTTTATTGTTGGGAAAGACTGGAGGGATCTCTTTGATGTTGTCATTGTCCAGGCTGACAAGCCAAACTTCTTCAATGATAAACGAAGGTGAGTATCTTTTCCTAAAGGATTATTATTACAGTGTTGATGTCCCATAGACGACGACTTCTCCATTTTACTTTCACAATAACCCTGTGAAGTAGGTTAGGTTGAGAGTCAGTAACTGGCCCAAAGTTACTCAGTGAGCTTGATGGCTGAGTGGAGACTAAAACCTGGGATTCCTGAGTCCCAGTCCAACAGTTGGATCACTAATGCTACATTGGCTCTCTATCCATACACTGGGTGGTAGGGGTAGCCAGCTGCTGCATAGAGATTCTAAGCTGCTCAGACAATGGGCAGGTAGAACATCTCATCAGGAGTACTTGGAGCCTGTGGATGTGGTTATGGTGTAGAGTCTGTCTTGACTGCTGCTCCAGCTCCGTGTTGCTACCTACCCCCAGCGTGGTAGTCTAGAGACAAGACTAGGCAAAGGTATGGAAAAAGAAAGAAGCATCTTTGAAAAATAGCCTTCCTAAACTTTAAAAGAGCTAGTGTGGAAAAAACAGAAATAAAAAATAGAGCCAGTGTGGTGTAGATGTGAGAGTGTTGGACTGGGACTTGTAAGATCCAGGTTCTAGTCCCCCTCTCCCCCACTTTGGCCATGAAGCTCACTGGGTGACTTCGGGCCAGTCGCTGACTCTCAGCCTGGCCTATGTCACAAAGTTGTTGTGAGGATAATGTTCAGAGGAGGAGGATCATGTAAGCTGTTGTGGGTTCCTTGCAAGAGAAAAGGAGGTAGCATATTTTTATAAATAAATTAAATAAATAAAATTTGTATGCCGACCAATTACTAACATCTCTGGACGGCTAACAGCATAAATAAATTGACGACCCACTCTGGCTGCAATTAATAAAAATACAATAATACAATTCAATATTAAAACATATTAAAATATTGATTGAACAAAAAGGTCTTAACCTGGTGCCAAAAAACATATAATGACGGTGCCAGGCAGACCTGTCTGGGGAGTGCATTCCATAGATGGGGCGCCACCACAGAGAAGGCCCTCCTCCGGATACTTTTGTCTCCTAATATCTGAATTTATTTTATAAATAAAAATAAGATCTTTAACTCTTCTCATTTGAGGCATTTATTTAAAGAATAAACAAATTTGAGTAAAAAAGATACTGGGATTGGGAAAGAAATACATTTTAAAGGGGAAACAACCCATTCATTTTTCTATTGTAATCTTTTCCACTGTTTCTCAATTTTTATTGTTTTTATCACTGTTTTTATGAAGACAAGAAATGGTGTGCTGCAGATATAAGTTTGAACCATTCCCATTCTCTTAGCCATAGCACTTTCATTCCGATCTTCATTTCTGCGCCCCTCTTTCCATTCCCTCCCCAATTCAGTTTCAGTTGTCATTCCAATGATGGGTAGGAATTAAAATGTACCTTTACAATAGACCAGGTGCTAATGCAGAAGACACGGGGAAAGGAAAGGGCAGTCAATGTATGAAAAGCTTAAGAATTTTTCTTCAAGGTTAGGTAATAAAGCTGATAGTGTCTGAATTATTGTTTGTATTAGTCTACAACTGCCAACCAATGTAGCTTAAAGACGTGTGAGCTGAGGCATAATTGCACCCATTGCTCAGAAATGATGACATGGTAAACCTGGAAGGGATGCTGCAAAATGATCCATATGTGAACTTTTGTACTCATGTAGGATTTATAGATTCAAGATTATGTGTAGTCAGATTTTTAACAAATTATCTGGGCTGCATGTTTTTCTGTGCTTAATTCTCATGCTTAATCCACTCTTCCAAAGCTGAACCTTTCAGCTTATGTAGACCTGTAGTTTTTCCAGAGTTCTTTGTGGGCATCTCTGCACAAGTGTTCCATTCCCACCGAATAAAATATTACGATGGCACCTGTTTTCTCTTGGTGGTGGCATTGGTGCTTTTGAGTGATTGATCTTCGCTCTGCTTTTTCCTTTTTTAGACCTTTTCGCAAAGTGAATGAAAGAGGGGTTTTACTTTGGGACAAAATTCATGAGCTGCAGAAAGGCCAGATCTACAAGCAGGTATTTTTATTTCTTAAAATATTTATAATTCATATCCCATCTTTCTGCCACAAATAAGACTTTCAAGACAACTAATGATAATAGTAAAGTAATACATACCAGCATTCAAATCTATGTGAGTTAATGATTGTATATGTATTTTATATGACTTTCTTTTGTTACTGCATATTGGAACAAAAAGTGCAGGTAAGACAATTGTGCTGGTAGGACAGATGTTTATTTTCTTGAAAAAAGTGCAATTTAAAGATGAGTGTAGTACAGCAGGGCTAGTGTTTATTATCTATACCTGGCATATTTAGGTTCTGATCTCCTCAGCCGTAAAGACTGTTGGTGACTTTTGGTAAAACATTGCCCTAATTTCCTGTCTGTAAAATTAGATTCCCTTAGGGTGTAACCCGATGCAGGTTTGGTCAGGGAGAAAAGGTCTGACAACTCCCAATGTGCCCCAGCCAACACGACTTTTTTCTGTGTAAACTAGCATAGGATTGTGCCACTACCTGTTCTTGGATTAGATGGACACCCCTGTGTCTTAAGAACTCCAATCCTCCTCCTTTTAAAATATGGAAGGATCTGTTTGTTGCTGTTATGTGCTGTCATGTTGTCTCCAACTTTCAGTGATCCTATGACTAAAAGCCCTCCCAAAAGGCCTGTCCTTGACAACCTGACTCAGCTCTTGGCTTCCCTTATGGAGTTGATTCATCTCATATTTGGTCTTCCTGTACTTCTTTAGCCTCCAACTTTCTCTAGCATGGTTGTCTTCTCTGGGGAGTATTTCCTTCTCATAATGAGAATAAACAAGAGACACCCCAGAAAATTCTGGAGGAGGTTGAGAGGTAGAGCCACACACTTCACATAGAAAACATCCCTGATTCAATCCCTGCACCTCCCAGTTGGACTGGGAAAGCTGCAATCAGTGGAGAGCCTGTGTCATTAGCCTGACTTAGTATGAAGCAGCTTCCTTTCTTCTATCTTGAATCCTGGTAGGATGGTTGTTGCTTGAAAGACAATAATTGTAGAATCAGAGAAGCTTGCTGGAAAATGCGTGTGATCCAAAGAAATAACTGTGTCCTGTTAGGGAGAGAGAATGTGAGGCTAAGGGTGCAATCCAGTGGCCTCCTGGCAATGCCTACAGCGCCATAGGATTAGCCGTAGCTGCCTCACTGCACTGGTCTTTCCAGCTTAGATGTGTCATGCAAGGTGCCAGAACAGTGGAAATTGCTGCTCCTCTGCTCTGCTCTGCGCATTATTTGCAGTAAGTATCTGAGTTCAGAGGCATCTGCAGCAGAGGGCATTGGATTGCACTCTAACGGCCTCTGTATATGAGTAAGAAAAATGTAACGTGCTCATTGTGCAAAAAGCAAAGCTTTAATCTTCCCCAGTTACCAAAATGTTGTATATGTCTCGCAATGTTAACCTTCTCCCCACCCCTTTGTTTTGTAGGGTAACTTGTATGAGTTTTTGAAACTGACTGGCTGGAGGGGTTCCAAAGTCTTGTATTTTGGTGATCATATTTACAGTGATCTAGCAGTAAGTAGCTTGTTCTCTGCTTGTTTCATCAAAGTTGGCAATGTCTACAGGAATGGATTATATATTATGGAATTAGTTTTGTAAAGCCATGAGATTTATAAAAATGGAGAAAATTGCCATGTTTCTGCCATAAAAAGTGGGAAAATTACTGATGGGATTACTTTTCTTTTCAGATAAATGTAAGCCTCTTATTCCATCTGCCATGTAGATTTGAGTTTAGTACTTGTTAAGAAGCAAGGTCACAGGGCACATTAGTCTCTGGTTTGTATAAAAGGTTAAATGTGGGTGTCCTAAAATAGGAATAATTGTAGTTCAGATGACACTTACTGCCTACTTTTATAAAGGCTTAAATGGAAAATAGTAGTCCCCATTAGTAATTCAAATATCCTTTGTCGTGTGGTATAATTCAGTTGTAAACTCTTTTCTTTCCAGCTAGACTATCTTTGGGATATGTTACGTATGCATTCTTCCTCAATTGTGTCAATTCTGTGACACTTAAATGCTGGCAGGACAATGTGTTTTCATGCCCGTGTGTGTAAGCTGGGTAAAAGATTACCTCAGTGCAGCTAGATAATAAAGCTGAGGAGGAAATAATGTACAGGCAAGAAAATCATCATCAGTTAATATTTATGCATTCAGTTCGTTCTGTAGCAGTTAGTTTAAGATTCAGGGATGTTGACAGCAAGTGCTGCAGCAAGTCTTCAATCAACCTTTTCCAAAGTGGTGCCCTTCAGATGTGTTGGACTACAGCATTCAGCATCCTTGAGGCATGAATTCTGGAAATTCTAGTACAGTGCATGCGGAGGGCTCCATATTAGGGAAGGCTGATATATGGAAGAGTAGCTTGGTGGTGAAGCCCTTGTACAACATAAATATTGACACACAGGTGGAGGCGCAGTTCTGGTGTAAAGACTTGTGCTGTGACTTGTACTGACAATGGGTTTAAATGAGATGCTTTATGATGACTAATTTTAACGTAATCTTTAAATGTAACTTTAATGGTCCACCTCCACCTCTGCATTCATGGAGGCTGCCAAAAATGGTCTCTACTGCTGAGAAGCAACAGACTGCATAAAGAATTTTTTCTTCCTGCCCCTGCAACTATCAAGGAGTGTGCCCAGCGACTGGTGGAAATTGTGAAATAAATCTCTGGTCCCTACAGTGTAGGTCACTTTGCTTCACCAAGTTATATTTTTAGTGTGGACTAAACTGCTTATGGAGAAATCTCTTACATCAAATTGAAGACTAGTGGGCCATCCCAATCCTGATTATTTCCTTCTAAAGTGGATGCAAATACACAGATATTAATAATGGATTGCATAGCAAGCTCTCCACTTTATTTAATGATTAAAGTCACCTTTTTCATGTACAGTAAAGACACTGAATCAGGTCTTATCCAGAGTGTAGTGCATACAGAAAGAGAGCTGGAAGAATTAGTATAAGTCAGAGTGATAGGATATCACAGGTTGCCCTATTTTTTGTTGCTACTGGAGATTGTTTTGCATTTGCATATAAAAGAAAATTAATTTATAAAGCAATATAGTTTTCACACCCACCACATAGTGACTGTAAAAGAGCCTTTGTGGCACCTCAGAGAGGGCGGGGAAATAATTGGGTAATGAATAAACCTTGCTCAGAAAACCTTGTTCAGAAAAGTTAATACTTGTAACATATGTTCACTTGGATACTCTCTACAACTCACTAACTCCATAAGCCCCGACTTGCTTCAGCAGAAATCTCTACATTGGCTGCAATTCTGCAATATGAAAATGGATTTAATTTGTATGGGTATGGATGCACCAAAGTCCTTCCCAGGTTGGCAGGACATGTGCTACTCATGGGTGGAGCATTTTGCACTTTGCACTGGAGATATGAATCGGAGTGGAGGAACTTCCTAATATTTCTGTCTGCTTGCAAGACAAAATGCAAGAACCACCTTTCTAATCTACCTAGTGTAGCATTTCTGGACATTTCTGCTAGCACTTACCCCAAGATTTGGGGAACAGCACTAGGAGCTATGGTTCCTCTGGATGCAGTCTAAGATAATAAAAAAGAATATAATGTTGAATTCTGTGGTGAAGCTTAATAGAATTCTGATGAGTTTTATAATCTGCTAGTGCCTCATTAAAGTTGCTGAACTTTACAGCACATTCTGCTGCATGTTTACTTAGTGAGGTTTACTCACAGGTAAATGTGCATAAGATTACATTCAGTCCTTGGCTTCAAACTCCTTGTTACAACATAGAAGAAGGGAAGAAAAAAACCTTGAAGGCCTGATTAAGCAATTCAGTGTAGGTCCTGTTAATATTTTACCATCTCAAGTGCAACAGTCTTTTTCCTTGTTGATTATTTCTGTTTTCTTCTGACACAAAACATGCTTACTCATTAGCTACATTGTGCTTATCTCATGGCTGTTGGGTCTGATCGCTTGGCTTTAGAATTGCATTTTTTATCTTGTTTTTTTTAATTTTGCATGACGGCATTGCTGAGCCACTTAACTTTAATAGCTGCTTATGTATGACTACCTTGCAAATGGTCTTTAAGGTGAAAGGAGAGAAAGTATAGTTTGAATTGCCTTAATGCTAGCACTTTTGTATTTTTCAATCCTTGTTAAAAAAAAAAAATAGGACTTGACCTTAAAGCATGGCTGGAGAACAGGTGCTATTATTCCAGAGCTACGAACAGAGATTAAGATCATGAACACAGAACAGTATATTCAGACCATGACCTGGCTGCAAACCCTCACTGGATTACTGGAACACATGCAGGTTTGTTCTTTGCATCTTTTAAATCTCTCCCCCTTCTTCTGCCCACTAAATTCCTCCAGAGCTTCGATTGCTGGTGTTGCAAATGTAATTCTTAAAACAGGCAGAATAGAAGCCAAAGCTGATGCCCAAAATTACATTTTTAATAGAAATTAGATTCAGTCCTGATTCTTTCTCTGGCCACTTACCTCCTTCAGCCACATGGACCTTTTCATTCATTCTTGCAGCGAGTATACCACTAATAGGGCAATTGAAATTGACCTATGAAATTATAATGATGGTATTAAGAGGAATAACTTTAAACAAAGTTCCTTCATACTTAATCTCTCCTGTGCAGTTAAGTAAAAACAACCTCTCAATATACTGTTCATACCACATTTCTCCATCTGTTACAGTCCTTATGGTGCACAAATAATGAATGTAGACAGTGACTTGGTTTGCATGGCTGCTAAAGCTTAGAACAAGCCGTGGCAGGTACTGGCTCACCATTGCCTAATTTCCTGCCTGGGCACAGCTTGTCATGTTTGACAAGTCATCTGAAGCTGGGCAAGAAAAAGGGGCAAGAACCCTCAAGCAACCCGTGGGCTGTTTTTGGCAGCTCATTAGGCAAATGACACCCATCATACGCTGTGGCTTAAAGAAGGCCCCATAGCTTGTTCAAGCTATGGTAATCATGTAAATTGGGCCATATTCACATGTTTTTCATGTGCTTTTCCTTTTAACAGTCTCTATTAAGAACTTGCAAAGTTACACATCTTCATTGCTATCCTTTCAGATTCACAGGGATCCTGATTCACAGCTGATTTTACATGAGTGGAAAAAGGAAAGAAAGGAAATGAGGTAAATATTGGGCTGTCATTTTGGGATTTAGATGAAATTGGGCTGTAATTTCAGGATTTAGAAGTATGACAGATAGATTTCCCCCGGTATTTCTAGTAAATAACAATAGATAACAGACTATTATATTATTTTTCTAATAGCCTATGATTGCCTTTTGTTGTTTTGCTTAATTCAGAACTCTATTTTTATCAGCTTATGAGCTGAAAGGGTGGGATTCATAATGAACAATAATTATTTTAGTTGTTGGTTGAATTAAAAATATGGTCCTGCTTGCTTGCCCATCTCCTTCACCTGAAGTTTGCTTTTGGCCTTGCAACCCTGCTCAAAGAGGCTTCCCCGGTGTCTTTTCTCACTCCTTTGTTCAGGTGTGATGAAACAGCATCATGTTCTTCTGTATTCTTAGAAAATACCAAAAAAGGGCATAGGCTCCCTTTAAGTGTAAGGTTACTAGGTTAATCAAAACAAATCCTGGGGGAAAAGAATTTGGTGCATGTTGCATTTCTTGCAGACATTGGTGTAAGGCTGTGATTCTGCCCAGCTTTCTGGACCATTTTTGCTTTGTTTTGTCAGTCTCTTCTCTATGCTTCCCTTTAACTTTTCCTTCTAGAAACTAACCAACCACTACTAGTAAAAGCAGAACCAAACAAAGCCATAATCTAAATGGAGGCAACCAATATAGCACACTCGGATTCCCCCCTCCATTATTTTGATATTTTTACATGAATTCGTATGAAAAGCACATATCTTTCTAGTCACTTAAAAGAGAGGACCATCTGCCAAATAAGCATCTATTTGAATGTGGTATCTGTATTTCACTTGTTAAGAAATTGAAAGTGCTATTAAGTCCCCAATCCATTGCACTATAGGAGGTAAGTATTTATCTTTCCAGCATAAATCAGTCTATTAACTGTTGAAAGGCTGCAGAGAATATGTTTATATTAACTGTTTGCTAAATTCCATGAAACAGGAAATAATTAAAAGAGCATGGAGAGCAGTGAATATTAAAAGCTGCTCCAAGACATAATTTGCCTGTGTAATAACCTCTTCCCAAAAAAGAAGCAACTACTGGACATTGCCAAAACTTATGATTTAAAGAAGCATTAGTTGTATTGCATTGTCAACAATTAGTCAGTGCTATACAATTCGTCCTTAGTAAAGAGAAATTATGCTATCCAGTGCACATGAAACAGAAACTTTTTCTGACTAAGATCCATAAATGTGACAGGTAAACATCACAGTGACAATCCATTATTTAGGCATGTTATTGTGCTCACAGCAGTTTCTCAGATTCTCAAATGTGCCTATGGATCCAAAAAGGTTGACAGCCCCTGGCTTAAGGGATTCGTCATCTTCTTGGAATGTCACAATTTTTAAACAGATTGGTGTTCTATAATTATTTTCATTGTTAAAACCTTTGAACTTTTAAAGAAGTCTTAGCAGTACTTAAAATGGCACTACTTGAAACCTTTTCTTTGACTGATCCTGTCAGAGATGAAATTAGGAATAAGGAAGGCAAGAAACAAGCATATTAATATTAGTCAGATATTCCCTGTGCACTGGAGGGTATGTTGAAGATATTGCTATGATTGATGGAGTTCAGATTTGGATCATGCTTTTCCATCTCTGTTGTATATCATTTGGGCCCTAGAGGAACACACAGTCTTCTGTAGTTTGTCCCTGATTCTTATTTTCTTTTACAAATAAATCCCTGGGTGCTGCTTGAAGAAAAGTGATTTCCCTGGTGATGGAGAGGCTTTTAACATATGGAGGGAAAATTTCAAGAGTGAAATAGTTAATATGGCTTCCTCCCATGGGTTTTCTGCTTTGTTTTGCAACCTCTGAACCTGACACAAACCAAATGCTATCCTTGTCAAAACGTAAGTGATTGAGCACTGGATATAGTTCAGCTCTGGTTCATGCTGTGCTTGCTGCATATCCAAATAATTTCTCATTGTATATGGTCATATGACGTGAGATGAAACTGAAACAGACCAAGAGCCTGATTCTTTTTCCCTTCCTGGGGCTGCCATTCCTTCTCTTGACAATAACTAGAGTCCTTTTTGTTGTATCATGAATCTATTTTAAATAAACTAAAACAGGATCCCTTCTGAATTGATAAAAGGTAAATGAGCCTTGTAAAGTGCTTAGTAGGCTGAAGTTCTAATAATACCTTTTTTCTACCCCAGAGAAATGACCAGAAATTTCTTCAACTCTCAGTTTGGAAGCTTATTCAGGACAGACCAGAACCCAACTTATTTCTTAAGGCGCTTGTCTCGCTTCGCAGATATATACATGGCATCGTTGAGTTGTCTGTTGAACTATGGCCATGACTACACATTTTATCCGAGGAGGACTCCTTTGCAGCATGAACTCCCAACGTGGTCAGACCAGCTGTGCACTGGTACATTCAGAATACCATTTCTGCAGGAGATGATTCAGATCAAATAAGTTGTCTTCTTCCCTCACACTGCTTTTTATAAGTCAAGCCTACTATCCCCTGCCCTTGGTTCAGTAAACTCTATTTACTGTAACATGACCGTATCTTTATAAGCACGCATCTCTTCAGTAATAGCTGTAACAATGCTTATTGTAAGTGGCTGTAGAGCAAATAGGTTCATCTAGCTGGTCTCTCTTTGCTTCAAGTGAGAACTGATGAGATTAATGATTGCACTGAGAGGAAACAAATCTCTCCTGCCAGCTGAATATTTTGCTGGAAGGGAAGATGGTTTGGACACAAATCAGAACTTTAAAAATCTCCAGCCATGTTGCTTATATTTCTCTTGTGTCCTCTAATAGGAAAGTATTGACCGAGATTTTAAATCCTGATTCATTTAGCACAATGTGTAACTAGATCTCTGCTAGATATGGGAGAACATGTAAAACTTCCAAGAGCTTTTCAAAGCATGCGGGGAAACATTTGTCCTTGTTTCCACTCCCCCCCCCCCCCCGCAACCTTCCTTTCAGGTGAGGAAGCAGATCTGAGAAGAAAGTGTACTGATATGGAATACTCATCAGCACCAAATTTTATTTACTCCAAGACTCTTGAATGTATTTTTCCCAAATGGCAGGGAAGGCCTGTATGAAGATGCACACCAGAAAGGGTGGCTCTGGTTTTAGTTGCATGTATTTGATGTAGATGGGATATACTTGTCCATCTGGAACCACTAGTTGCTATGCAACTAATCGAACACAAGCTAGATTGGGGTTAAGGTGTATTACTTGGCAGAGTGTTTTGTACATATGTGAAGTAACAGCCATGTTTTAGTTTGTATTTAAACAGCAATTGCAGGTATAAACAGTGCCGCAAAGTGAGTTACAATCTGCCATACTCGGGTGTACATGAATATAATAATGGCTTGCCAGTTGCCAAAAAAGAATTTGGTATGATGCTATACAGAAAGAAAGTATACATTATTCAGGCTAGCAAATAATGGGTTGGATCCAGGAATTGTCTCCTCTTTAGAATTTTTAGGGGCATGGAGGGGGTGCAATGCGGAGGAGGTGGGGAAGTCTGCTTCTGGCAACCCAGATGAATGGGATTAATCCATCCCATTATATAGAAAATTACACAGAAACAGAAGTAATATGTCTGTGTCTAGTTAAGGACTAGTAGTACATATGGATTTTCAAGGCAGCATTAACAGTGCTGGGCACTGTACTAGTATAACATAATTGTAAGTCAGGAGTTGTAATGCACTATGGAATCATTGCTGTGGAATTACAGATATTTTAGGTGTTTAATACTCAGTTTACACTCTGTACCTGCTTACTTGGGAACTAGCCCCATTGAATGTATTAGGACTTACTTCTGATCAGATATGTATGGGATTGCAGTGCAAATTTTTAAATGTGCCTTCATAGTGTATACTTAGCAGGAAGGGAGAAATAAGAAACTCAAATTTAAGGAAGCATTTAGTTTTTCTCCAAGTTGCCACACCTGGTTATAACCCCCTCCCATTGCTGATCTTCCCTGTTCCTCACGTAGTCTGTGCTCTTCTAATGTGTACAGTTAAATGTGACATAGTTCATTCCTTTTATTCTGAAATAAGTCCCATTGTATTCAGTGGAGCTGATTACCAGAAAAGGTTGTTTGGGATATAGGCACTAACTTTTTTCCTTGATGGTGCCCGTTATATTAACTTGTTATATGCAATATGAAGATATTGAGTTCCCCTTCCAGGTACTGCATTCCTGCCCCTTCTTCACAGGCTATAAATTACCTTAATATTTGGTCTGGGTGTAGAAGGGAGCTTTTATTAAGTCTTTCACATATGAAAAATTCCACACTGCGTGTATGCTTAACATGAAACATCTGTACAGCGGTGACTTTGATCCAAGATGCCCCTCTGCGAACAGAAGGCCTGTTCTATTCCATTTCCAATCTAGATCTGTTATATGAATGAAGTAATTTGAAGTCCAGGCAAAGCCTTTTATTTTCTGCAGGATTCTGTATAATCTTTTCTCAAGACTCTTTTAATGACCCACTGAAATTTGTATACCATTATCTGCAGCTTCCCTTTCTGCCATACTTCTGTTGCTGTAACAACCTGATACCTTGTGAACATTGCATTGAGATGGCTTGTATTACCCTGTTTCCCCAGAAATAAGACCTAACCAGAAAACCTAGCATGATTTTTCAGGATGCTCGTATTATAAGCCCTACCCCCAAAATAAGCCCCAGTTAAGATCATCAGCCAGATGGATGCATTTAATACGTCCATTGCAACACAATTCGGGGTTTAGAGTTATGATGATGTTTCAGAAGAAGGTTGCACAACTGTATTTGAATAAATGTAGATTGACTTACATGAATAAATGTAGATTGTTGCACATGGAAAAAAATAAGACATCACCTGAAAATAAGCCCTAGTGCATCTTTTGGAGCAAAAATTAATACAGGACCCGGTCTTATTTTCGGGGAAACACAGTAGTTTCTCTAATGGCAGACTACATGCCAGTGCAAAGAGTGTTGTTGCAGCTATGCTCCCTAGCATAATATAGAGACATACTGTTTCTGAAGCTGGAGGCAGCAAATAGCCATCATGGTAGCCCCTGATGGCCTTATCTTCCATGAATTTGTCTTGAGCCCCTTAAAAGAGCCTTCTGCAACATGGTGCCCTCCAGATGTTTTGGTCTGTAGTTACCAGCTTTCCTTACGCTTGGCATGCTGGCTGGGGATGATTGTAGTTGATGCCCAAAATATCTAGAAGTGTTGGGAGAGACTGCCTTATAAGAACAACATTGATCAAAGTCATTGTATGGCCCTGTTTGGATTTAAGTGTGGCGTTTGTGGCAGCAATTTGTAGGTTAATTAACTCACAGAGTGTGCAGCACAGTGCTTTTTTTTAGCTTAGTTTGGGGTTGCTTTACCTATGAACAACCCCCAGCTTCCTGGATTTGGACATCACAATAACAACTCTTAAGTGTGTCATTTGTGGATTGTAACTGGAAATAAGAAGGCACTTGTACCTGCAATTTGTAGGTTAATTAATTAACCTATGAATCACCACTGTGTGTCCAAACAGCACTTAGATGTATGAGAGGGTTACATTTTTAAATATATTCAATGCAAAGCATTTGTGTAATTCTGGGTAAAATTCATTCAGTGCCACATTTGCGTGTGGTTGTTGTTGGTTTTTTGTTTTGTTTTGTTGCTACTGTTATTTTCAATTGCGGTTTCTATGGAAGAGTTGCTTGGTAGTTAGCGTTTCCAATTAATAACCCTTCTTCATCCATTATCAGTTAACTTTAAAAATTGAACTAAGAAGTTTAGTAAGCCAATCTGAGTGGTATAACGACTTGTGCATATTATAATGAAGGAACAATACAAATCCTAACGTTGTAATTTAGAATGCTAGTTCCCTCTAAGAAGGGAACTGGCATTCTGCACTTATAAATTTAAAATTAACGTGTTAGAATTTTTAAGATGTTGAAACTAAAGGACCATGGGAAACTAGGAATGCAACATTCCATAAAAGAATTTCTCAAATTCTCCTGTACAAGGTTTGCTGAAGTTATTCAAAATATAGCAAGCATTATTCTCATTCTATTTTTAGGAAATAATTTGGTCCCCCAAATGGTGGTCAGGTAATCGGATGTGTTACAGATTTGGAAGCATTCTTGATATGTGAGTCTGAAATTGCACTGATGTGTTTATTTTTTAATTGTGTGTGGCATAATTATTAAGAACAAATTGTTCGCATGACTTCCCATTTCCCAGCTTTGCAGTTCTTTAAACAGACTTCGAAGTAGGGCTGAGATGAATTTTTTCCTGCTAATTTTTTTTTTGGAAGGGTGTGATTTCAGAGGCTTAAACCCATAGAAATCGTAATCCTGTCAGCATGTCTTCTCCCACCATCCTGCTACTTTCCCTCTGCCCCTTTATAACCCTAAATGATCCCTGCCATTAGGGATTTTGCAATGCTAAGTAACAAGGGGAACAAACCTTTTATTGGTATCAAAAATGGCAAATGAAGTGTGAGGACAATGCTTCTTATATTAGTTATATAGGCAAACTTAGCCAGTCTTTTGGTGGAATTTTTTGTGACCTTTTCATAGCAGCCCACCAAAGGGATTCCCCTTTTCATGTCATAATTCCCACATTTGACTCAACCCTTCTTCTGAATTCTCGGAAGTGCTGGCCGTATTGTCTAATGATCATCTTGTATGCTCTGGGGCTTCAGCTTGTATTTCAGTGTTGCTGGGGGGCTAAGTCTTATATGCCTATGCATATTAGATTTGACATGCTATGCATGACTTCCACTGAGTATTTTAATGCTCTTTGCTAGAGAGAATTAAACACCATCATTGGCCAAGTTTTGTCAAAATTTCTGTTTTGTTGCCTTTTTAAATCAAACAAAAAGAAAATGCTCATAATTGAAAATCCAGAGAACAGGACTTACAAGTAATAAAGGTGGGGGGTGATATTACTTGAAGTGCATCTAGCACTCCCCATAGCCATTTTAGAACCTGTGTCTTTTCAAGAAATTAAATATTCTGAAAATGCAGAATAGAAAATAGCAAGAATTTACCAGAACCCTTGAATAGTGTTTACTATCCAGTGTTGTGAATCTAGTTAACTGTGGTATCTTTCTGCTCAATGCAGCAGTTTTGAGAACTGCTTTGTAGAAAGGCAATTCTATTGCTGCATAAAAACTTGATTTCTTTACGTAAAGTACATTGTCTGGTGCTGATTGCTGATACCCAGTTTCTGCATACTTTACTGCGAAATGTTTTGCATGAAAAGTGGTTGGGGAACACTTTTGCACAAGCAGTTGCATATGAATGTTTAAGAAAACTTTAAGACTATTACATTATATTTGTTACTGCTGCAATATATATAAATGTAAGCAAAGTCTTGAAATGTAACACCTGTAACATCTTTGATGTTGTGCCATGTGGACTTCTGTCAGTATACTTTTCTGAACAGCAAACATCAGGCAAATGGTTCACTTCTTAACTGGAGACCCAGATAAACAGAATCTGATACTTCAGGTGGAGCTTTTTATCAAGCAAACTGTTTTTGTATCTGAAAAGAAGACCTTTTTATTGTTAACTTACCTACCAATAAATATCTTGGCACATTCATTAACATTGTTGATTAGCATGGAAGTTCTGTCTGAAAAATCTTGGGTGGTAAGAGAAGTGTATTGGTAGGGAAACAATGGGGAACATACGGTATTGGTGCCCTCTGTGTAAGAACTCCTTTCAGGAAAATTTGCGATGAAGCTCAGATGTGAGAAGAATGGCAATGCAAAATATTGATGGTAGTTTCTTTGTGGGGGGAGTTAGATTTAAGGTGTTATCCTATGTGGCTTCCTATAAACTTCCAAACTTGAAAAGTTACGGACAGGCAACTGAGCACAGATGTGTGGGTTTACTCTGTGCTCTCCTCCACTTCAAAAACATTTAGTTGATTTTGGCTGTCCTGCTCTTTATGAAGAGGAGAGGCTGAAACCCTGCTGGATCTGGCAGAAGCTGGCGGTGCCTCACCTGGCTCAGTACCTGTCCTGAAAAAACTCTTGTTTTTTGGGACCTTGGCCATTGCAGAACAACTGAACAACCCTCCGAAGGTGCAGTCCCTGCTGTGACCTTTGTTGTGGTAGGGACTCCACCTTTTCTGATGGACGACCAGCCAGCCACTACCTATCTGCTGTAGGGTTGTGCCCTAAAAGAGGAAAACTCCAAATAATCTGAGTGCTGGATTGGAGCTATTTATTTGGAAAACCAATTTACATTTTTCTTCCACAGTGTTGTACTTCCCTAGTACTGCTTTTATGAGCTAGCCCCAAGGGATTGTTAGCTTGATCATAACAGATTTTGGAACACCTTAAAGCTTTAAAAGAAAGCTTCTTAGCCTAGCATGAGTTCATTTAATGCCCAATAGAATGCACGGCTGATTTCTTAGCAGCAGTGACTGTAGTTAAAGCTTTGGATTTACTTTGCTAGGACCATGTGAATTCCTCACTTCAAATCTACCATTGTGCAGTCTTGCAAATAGATAAATGCAAGATACTGGGTAAAATATTTTCCAGATGCTCCTCAAGTCCTGGGATCTTGGGTGTTTCAAAAGAGAAGGCACTTTTGCAGGACACCAGCAATGCCAAACCTGCAGCAAGCCAATCAATACTTCTGTACTCATTTTATATTAAGCAGTATTGTATTAAAAGTGTTTAACATCAGCTTTTTCTGCAACATATAAGAACTTGAGAAAGAAATCTCCCCACCCCTACCCTCAAATCGGAGGTAAGAAAGCAGAACAGTGGCACGTGAATCAGCTCTCCAGTGCAGCATTCTTCTTCCACAGTGACTCCAACAGGAAACCCGCAACAGCGACATGAGTACAATTTGAACTTGGGAAAGCAAAAACTGTACAATAAAGTGGTAAACAGGATTGTAAGGGAGCCAAGCCAAGCAACCTTCAACGTTACAGGAAATTTTGACTTTAAGCGCATCTTCTGAAAATGGCTTATCTCCGTATTACATTCCAGCTGCAAAACAGATGCTGGCCTCAGAATGCTTCTCGAGGGCTGCTGTGCACTAGCTGCTGGTCATCGGAAGTCTGTAAAATACAGTTTAGTGTTTCTACAGAGCTTTTCAGTATTCAAAGCACTTTATATTATAAATTTCAAAACAATGTTAAGAATCCATCAAGAAGCTCTCATCTATGTGCAAGTCGGTGTAGCAGTGAAGTGCATGGTACTGGGATTCAGGTGATCTGGGTTTAAGTCCCTCTTCAGCCATGGATCCAACTGGGTGACTTGGGGCCAGTCACAGACTCTCAGCCCAACCTACCTCACAGGGTTGTTGTGGGGATAAGATGGAGAGCAGGAGGAGGAAGCAAGTGATATAAGCTGTTCTGAGTTCTTAAAAAAGGTATATAAATCAAATAAGATGCCCTGAAAACAGCAATCAATGAGATGAATTATGGGCTTTCAATAGGGAGATTCCATCTCACCATCACTGTCCCTAAGAATCTGTACAGGTGCCTGCATTTTAGGACTTATCTTGGGGATATGGTTACGGGGAGTTTAATGATGAGTCTCTACACTTCAAAATTTACCGCTGTGCCTCATGAAATAGCTTAATTGATAGTCCTAGCAATAAATTCTGAAATTATGTCCATCTTCAAGTTGTATCCTAAACAAGTTCTACAACTGATTACATGCAATATTTTCTTAAAAGTGAAAGATACACATTCAGGCTTCTGACTTATTTAAAAGGTAAACCACTCAAAACAAGAACTTACAGAAAATGGATCGTAAGGGGGATCTGATGGCATAGTTCCTGAGCTTTCGTAGTTTGGGTTTGCGATGTTTGAGGACTGTGCCTTGTCCATTGTAACATCAATGTCATCTTTCTCCTTTTTAAGAAAAGAAAAAAAAAAGGAATTAATGGTTCATAGATTTATTGCAAAGGATTCAGAAGTTATGAATGGGCTACAGGATCATATTCCAGTACTATTCCTTCTCTTCCTGGTTTGCGTTTGCCAAATTTTGGGCAACATGGCAATGTATAGCTACCATTGCTAACTACAAGTTCTAGTTTGCTTTTCAAACTAGAACTGGAAACCTAATTCAAAATCAGTGGTTTCCAATTTTAAGATTGGTTCCAGACTTAGTCGTGCATGGAGTAAACCAACTGAAATTAGTGGGACTTCAGTTAGTTATATAAAGCAGAGATGGGTTGTTTCTTTACATGACACTGCATTGCTTTAATCAGCTGCCTCCCAGCTTGGCTCTTATGTCAGACAGCTATATTAGGGGAAGACTGCTCAGAGCAAAGCACACAGAGAGGCCAGAGAGGGGAGGGCAGGTTGCTCTGTTTCTACTCACATGCTCCTTTTCAAGTATCATTTGTAAAGAATCAGTCCCTCCATTCTATGATCTATATGTAAAGAGGACTACCCAGTTACATCGTATCTGACCCTGATTTTCTTGCATGATCGAAGCAGCAGCGTTTCCAGCAATCAGAACATTTCCTACCTCAAAATGCTGGAAGGGAATGGTTCCCTGCTTAAATCGGAAGTATGAATACCCAGCGAGAGCAGCAATTCCAATGACCAGAAGGACCACGAAGAATATTCCTGTTCCAACTCCAGGATGTAGAGAAGCCTGAGTGTAGACAGTTGAGACAAATGAGTATGTCAGGAAACAGAGTTTAATTCTCTTCCAACAAATTCCAGAAGAAATTGGTTGGTGTTCGTCTTGCATTTCAGGAATTTGAGCTGGGAAAGTTGCCTGCATGGAAGCTTGGAGAGCTTTGGCCAGTTCAAGGAGACAATGCTGGCCGCAGTGGACCCATGCCCTGATTCAGGGCAAGGCAGTGTTCTATGAGTGCCTAGCTTATATACTTGCTCTGGACACCAAGGGGTTTGGGATAGGGAACCCTCTGACACAGGGGTGAGGAACCAGAAAATGTAGGATTGCAACTCCCATCATTCTCATCCACTGGCTACTGGGAGATGGAACCCAATAACATCTAAGTGGTATGAGTCTGTCTCTTAAACATTGTGCCCCACACCACAAAGAAACAGGAGCAAGTAGTTTGAGTTATTTTAGTTAAATGTGTTAGGCTGGATGACATGGGACATATTAAAAGCCATATTAAATATTCATTTTATTTAAAGTTTTTCTATGCCATCCCATTACTAAAAAAGTCTGGACGGCAGAGACACAAAAAACCAAAGAACAACAAAAAGCCACATAACTGCACAGTTCAACTGTTCATTTTTTTCTTAGAAAAAAGCTCAAGGCTAGAGAAGTGAGAGCAAGCAAATTTCAATCTTATTTATCCGCACTCTCTATTGTCCTCCTTAATGCTTGTCTCACCTCATTCTTACTCCTGATTATGAATATCTTTTAGAAAATAAAAAGAGTGCATTTTTAACATGAAAAAATACACAGTGCCAAGCATGCATCCAAAAGCACACTTTCCTTCACAGGTTAAATCTTAAAAATGTGGCTGGGGAGGTTGGGGGGGATTGCACATTTTCAGAAATACATGCTTGTGCACTGAGGAAATTCTGAACTTTTCCCCAAAATTATTCTCCCATGTTTGTTTTTAGGGTTGCAAAAGGGACAAGTTTGCACACATAACAGGAATAATATTCTCAACCATGTCTAGACTGAGATTCATATGGAGAGGTGAACTGGTTATGGAGCCCAACCAAGTGAACATGGCCTTTCCATCCTGAAAATGCAAGCAGGCCATTTCAGCAGATAGCTTTAGGTGCATACAGGCATGCATAAAATGGGCATGGGCTCCCCCTGCCTGCTTTTCCTTTTGCTCCAGGCACGGGCTCCTCCCCACACCACCTTATGGATGAAGCAGAGCCCTGTTTCAGTCCAAAAACCATCAGAACGCGTTTTGTTTGCAATCCTAAATATGAAAGGAAATGCATTGTTTGAAAAAGCTTGCACATCTCCAAGCTGTGCTCATGCTAGAAAAGTGTGTATGTTCATGGTTTTAGGGGACGAGGAAGGCATGTGCTTTTGAAAAATGAGGTCTGTTGGATGCTTTCTCTTCTGTAGTTTTACACTGAAATATCTGTTCTAAGAAGAGTGGAAAGCAACTTCATGACTGACACTAAGGCCAGCCAGTTAGTGCTTAAAAAGGAGGGACACTGGCGTGTGAGTGTTACTGACATGATGGCTAAGTGAACACCGCAGTGCAAATCCAGTTTCTGTTGCAAATTGGAAAAGCAGTTTTTCTGTCTGCTCATTTTGGAGGAGAAGATGGTACATCATGGATGCAAAAGCTCAGGCCAGGATACCAAATTTGACTCTCTGGGGACCCCCAGAAGGCCATGTGCCCTTTCCTCTGACACTAGTCCCTTTCTTTCACCCACCACTCATTGGATGGTATGCAAGATTTTGTGTAATTTCTGCTCCCCCATGCCATGCAAAAATACCTCTCCTGAGGTTACTGGCAATAAGAACTTTAAGCTAAAATATGCTGGGTTTATTTTGCATTTTGGCTCATTGCCTTTGGTCCCACTCATTGCTGGAATATGGCTCCCAAGATTATCTCCAAAATGGAATTTGGCCCTTGGACTGAAAACATTTCTGCACCCTTGACTCATAGAGCCCCTTAGGCAAACTCAGCAGAATTACTTGTCTATCATTTTCAGCAAGTGAGGAAAACAACAACAAACCCCCAAACACAACAGTGGTAAATCTTGCATGCACTCGACTTACAGAGGGTAGAGGGGGAGCCTTCAGCGGTTCTGCAATGACATGGATGACCCCATTGGAAGCAACTATGTCCCACTCAAGGATTGTTCTTCCATCCACATATTTTGTTCCCATCTACAAAGGAAAACCAGACACACACCTTATCTGACCTTCCTATGTTACTCCCTGGAACAGAGCTGGAATTTATTTTTCAGCACTTAGATCCTGCTCATATGATTCTTCTCGTGGCCACGGAGTTCACCCTTTTTGTGCCGTTGGACATCACCAAGCAGGGAATTCAGCTCTTCCCTGCTTGGTGGAGCTGGAAGTAGCCGGCTGCGACAGGAATGTAGCCTCTGCTACAAGAAAACTGCTTTCAGATACCTATTAGTTTTGAACAGATGCTATCAACTGTTCAGCTATTGTTACATTCTTTCCATAACTTTATGCTATTTTACCTGCTCAGTCCAGATATGGTGAATGAGTAATTACTAGATTTGTAAAGAACTGTGCAGCTGCTGCTTGTAAAGTGTACATTTAGTCAAGTTAAAGGTATGAAGACATAGCTCCGTAGTTCTACAGAATGTGTGTGAACTTTCAGGACATTTACTGTAAACTGGATTCTACTGAAGAAAGAGGTCACCATGATCTAATTGATTTTATATACATTCCCACGTGAAACAATATAATTGGAATATTACTCTGCTTCTAGTGGATAGCAAAGGAATGGCCAGATCAATAGCAGTCAAAGCAATCTTCTTAATACAATGCAAAGAACCTCTTCATTTTCATACTGCCCAATTGCCAAAAGGGTATTATGTTATTAGGAGCCCATGCTGGCTCCTGGTTGTAAAGGGCTCTTGGACTGGTGCCACAGGTGGGCCCTGCCCTCCAGGCTGCAGGTGTGGCTGCTTGCCGTAGCTGTCAGTCAAGCACCACACACTCTCCTCCCTGCAGATGAATCTTGCTGGCAATGATGCTACTCGTGCTGTGGGCAGCTGGTCCTACGTGGCTCAGGCAGCAGATTGGGAGCGGCACTGGATCACACCCCTCTTTGCCGCTGCCCCTGCTGGGTGTACCAAGCACAGGTGCTTCCCGTGCTGCATGGGTCCTTCCTCAGAGCAAGGCGTCATGGCTGATGTGGTTCCCCTAGTAAGTGCCACCTGCAGGTAACACCTGTCTTGTAGCAAGGAGGGTCTGAGGGAACTGATGAGTGGCAACAAGTAGGAGCAGTGTCACGGCATTGTTCTGAAGGAATGCTTCAGCAAAGGACCCTTCCGAGCATTACGGCCTCTGGTAGGTGCCCAGTCACTCCAAACTCTCCTGTGATGGGGGGGGGGGGGCACCATAATTGGCACGTATCACTCATCCAACCACATGGATAACATTCCAGATCCTAGATTCCTCCCCAGGTCCTTAAGCATGTTGGAAAAAGGGATCAAGATTTTATTTCTTCTTCTCTCCTAGTATTAGAATATGGAGTCATCCCAAGAGAGTGAATGGTGGGAGATTCTGAGATAAAAGGAAGCATTCCTTTGCACGGTGCATAAGCAAACTATGGAATTTGCTACTGCATCATGTAGTGACGGGCAGCAATTTAAAATGGGCTTAGATGAATTTGTGAGTATAAGGCTATCAGTGATTATATGCTACCTTCAGTATCAGGTAAACCACACTGAAGGAAAGTAGTTGCTTGGGAACATGGGCAGGTGGACTTACTAGCTGTGAGTTTCCCACAGGCAGCTGGTGGGTCACTGTATGGACAGAATATTGGACCATGTGGACGCTTGGTCCGATCCAGCATAGCCTTGCCAATGTTCTTACTTAGACATTGCAAGGGAAGTAGGAGCAAATGGTGACCCCTTAGCTCTCCATCTCTGGTAACTCCCTAGCTCTGCCACTAACAGTCCTCAGTGCATAGAAGATGCAGATGACAGCTAGGCTAAAACAGCTGCTCAAGATCAGCATCTGCTCCTGTGAAGTCCATTTCAGCTGATCTCCACTCTTCCATGTCTGAAGGTATGGGAGCAGGCATTCATCTAGGGCAGCCTATCCACCGTAGCAGTTACCTGTTCAGAAGGGAGGGCGCCTATGCTTTGACAACTGAATGCCAGCCTTGGGAAAATGAATGAACCGGGAATATGCCCATGGACGTGCAGTTTGGTCTACACATCACCTACCTTTTTATCTGAAAAATTAGGTTGGTCCTGGTTTTCATTGTGAGTAATTAGCAGCATTTTCCCTATTCTGGTTGGAAGGGTAGTACCATTAGTCAAATCTTGATAATATGATGTACCCACATGGGATAAATGATACTCAATATCTCTTCCTGAAAGTGTCTGAGGACAGAAAACAAGGCATAGTCATGTCATTTCACAAAATATTGTGTGCTGGTGAGTATAGTTTCTTGCAATGGCTTTTAATGTCCAGTTGTCTCCTTTATTGCTTCCTTTTAATGTAATTGATTTTGCCATAACAAATCTTAAAAAGACATTAATGATAAGCTTGTTACTGGCAACTAGGATAATCCAGGATGAAGACCAGAAAGGTGTATGCAGTTACGTTGTGTGAATGGTAAATTTAAATTCTTGGAAATAGAAGAAATGGATAATCTAACTGAATGTATATATAAAAAATAGGAAATCAGCAGATGATAAAATCATTCCGTTTGTATGCAGTACAACTTATTTATCAGAGCAATAATTGGCAACATAATACAGCAGATAGAAATCTTTCTGTTGTCAGATGACTTTGTTCCTTTCTTTTGTTTAATTTTGTGTATTAAAATAAGATGAATTAAAACAAAGTCACACTTCCAAAATGCCAAACAGGGGCTGACAGCAAGCATGTTGCTGGTAAATCTTAAGAAACCTTAAGCAATCTCATCCCCTACACTATATAAAACGAAAGCCTGCTCGGGAGTTCCTATTCTTAAAACCTGCATGTCATTCCTAGATCGTTCCATCACACTCATGGGTGAAGTCTCCAGAAGAGGGTCTCTGAATAGCATGATCTATGGCTATAGAACCATCCCTCCGAAATATGCCTCCCCAGGATCATGGCTACACTCATCTGTGGTGCAGATGAAAACAGCACTGGCTGAGTGATACCTGGGACAATTTTGTGAACTGTGGGTCAAAGAGTTGGGAGCAGAGGATTAAAATCATTTTCCTGGATTGGAGAATGATCTTATGGCCCCTGGAATTCGAGGGGGGCATACAATTCTTTCAGTTTCCAGAAGTGAGTCAGAAAAGCGATCCAGCCTTGTAACTGAGAATCCATGTAGCTGATCGCCCTCCCCATCACAGCTGGCCCAGAAAGAACTCTACCATTGAATGTCGGGGGGGGGGGAGCTCTTTTGGAGGGGAAAGAGATTGGGGTCACCTGGGCACAAGATATCCTGATGGTACAGGTTGTCTCCTTCCCTCCCTAGGTGACCAAACATTGTTTTCTAGCTGACTGCAGAGCACCACTCCTGATCTGCAGTGGATAGTCATAAACCTGAGTCTGGGGACTTAGGAACATCAAGGGCTCAACCAGTAGGATCACATCCTTTGCCCTGTGGTGGCAAACTCCTGATGCTGGCAGGAAAAAACATTAAATTATTTCCTTACTTCATTTGCCATCAGCCCATCATTGTTTGGTACAAAGAGTGTTGCATTAGTGGACAAATTTTTGAGGTATTTCAGGAACTCTTGACCATTTCTTGAGGCATTTGAATATTTCTGGATCTCCTGAGAAGACAGAATTGACAGTGGTGAGAAGACCTATTTGGATTATTTTTTATAGTTGTCCAGCAAATGTATACAATGATCTATATGTTCAATTAAGTAAAACTTCTTTTACACATGTAACCATCTGAGCAAATGTGATATTAATCCCAAAAGAAAATGAGGGCTCTGGAAGGAGTGGACAGCTTGTGTTCAGTAGTGGATTTCATCATACACAAAATACCTTGTCATTCTTTTCATCAGAAGGATTAAAAATGAGAGTCAAGGTGGATAACTGGAAGCGGGCCACAAATGGGCGTGAGAATGTTGTTGAATTTCTAAGGGCCAAATTACCCATGGTGTTTGTGAATCCCTTATTTATTTATTTGGAATTTTTGTATGGCGTCCCATTCGCATAAGCCTCAGGACGGCTTCCAACATCATAAAGAAATACATACATATAAAATCTGGAAGCATCCTGGCTCAATATTTTAAAACCAATAAATAAAATCAATTATTAAAATATCGTTTAAATAAAAAGGTCTTGGCCTGGCACCAAAAAACAAATAACGAAGGTGCCAGGCGGACCTCTCTGGGGAGCGCTTTCCATAAGTGGGGCACCACTGCAGAGAAGGCCCTCCTCCGGGTACTCACCCTCCTAATGTCCTTCATGGAGGGCTCCTGGAGAAGGGCCTCTGCTGCCGATCTCAAGGGGCAGGAGGGCAAATACGGATGCTATATTTGAGCAAGTGTGGTCAACCTGATTGCTTTTGCTCTGCAGAGCATGGTCTGAATCTTGCTGCCTTTCTCCAGAGCAGATGGGGGAATGATGCCAACTTGCTGTGGAAACCTATGGCCCTTCAGATGTTGTTGTACTACAGTGCCTGTTATTTCTATGTCACCAGACTTGCTGACTAAGGCTGATGTTGCTTGGGGTCCAACACTGGAAAGGCCACAAGTTTATTATTTATTTATTTATTTAGCGGACTTATATGCCTCCCCATTCGCCTAAGTCTCCAGGAGACTTACAAATAAATAAATATCATTAATATAATAAAATGCAGTTGGAGACATCCTGGCCAAAGTTGTTAAAATCAATAAAATTAACAATTAAAATGCCGTTTAAATAAAAAGGTCTTGGCTTGGCGCCGAAAAGCAAATAATGACGGTGCCAGGCGGACCTCTCTGGGAAGCGCATTCCATAGGTTGGGCGCCACCACAGAGAAAGCCCTCCTCTGAGTACTCACTCTCCTAATGTCCTTCATGGAGGGCTCCTGGAGAAAGGCCTCTGCTGCCGATCTCAAGGGGCCGGAGGGCACATATGGACGTAAGCACTCCTTTAGGTAACCAGGACCCAAGCCGTTAAGGGCTTTATAGGTGATAACCAGCACCTTGAATTGGGCCCGGACTTCAATGGGGAGCCAGTGAAGCTGACTGAGGACTGGAGTTATGTGAGCACAACGCCCAGTCCCCGTCAGCAACCTGGCAGCTCTGTTTTGCACCAATTGAAGTATCCAGACCGTCTTCAAGGGCAGCCCCACATAGAGCATGTTACAGAAGTCTAGTCGGGAAGTTACCAATGCGTGAGTCACTGTCTCCAGGCAGTCATTCTCCAGGTAGGGACACAGCTGGTGAATCAGCCAAAGCTGAAAGAAAGCACTCCTTGCCACCGCTCTTACTTGAGCTTCCAGCGAAAGCTCTGGATCGAGGAGCACTCCCAAGCTGTGGACCTTGTCCCCATCCCTGATGTAAAACTATGCTTTTTGTTCCACTGGGATCAAGAGTGGGTAGAAACTGGAAAGGCTACCAACATCAGTCTTGTATTCTCCAAGAGAACCCCCTTCAATCGCTGATGCTCATATAAGGTCTTCTCCTACCTCATTAACAGCACTCCACAAATTTGAAACACCTGAGATATCTGGAGATAGATTATTAAGGCACCTGCTTCCTTCCTAGGAGATTGCAAGGACTATCACACATAACTAACAACCCTCTTTGGGATACAGTGCTTGAGACGATGGTGGTAGATCAACTCCAGGTGGCTGAAGTGGGTTACCTGCTTAAGGTTTATTAATACACTGGCTAATATTCTATGTGTTGCTTGAAGCTACTAGTAATGAACACAGAGTGTGAACACAGTTCAAAATGAAGAAAAAAAAGTTGGTTTCACCTATGAAATTTTAAAGTATTTTTGTTTCACTCCTGCAGAAAAAAGGGTTTGTTTCTGCTACCTACCAAGACAAAGTTTGAAAAAGTTGGGAAAGACATGAGGACTTGAAGCAGGTTTCCACTACATGTAAATCCATCACCCACATAACCAGTTTTACAGGTGCAGCTGACATCTGCAAAACACCAAGCAAAAAGTATTTCAGAGAGCAAATCGAGGAGGCACGGCCATATTTACATAAGTATCTGCAACAACAAACATGAAAAGTTGTTTCAAAAATAAGGAGGGCCTGCTTGACCTGCTCATAGCTTAGTGACAGCCGTCCCCCCACCACTACCTGAGACTCCTGGTCTCCACCAGGCTAACTGCCCATCCTGATTTTTATTTTTTTTATATAATAAAAAGTTGAAATAATGTTAAAATGTGTTAAGTAAAAACATCTGCCATTAACTGCAGGCTTAAAAACTTTCTAGAGCAAGCCTTGGTCTGCTGCCAAGACAGAATCCTATTTTTGATGTTCATATACCACTTTATTTACTAGAAAGCCTTTAAGATGGTGCACAACAATTTAAATGATAAAACCTGGGCAGCATTACATAAAAACTTTAAAAGCAGTAAAACATGAGTCGTAGGACGACAACCCGAGTTTGCCCAAGGTCTTTGGGAAATGCTGCGTGGTTTTGTCAAACAAGACTAGAACAAGACACTTTTACCTTTGACTCTGTAACAGAAGACATCCCAGGTCTCACTCAGGTTGACTCGGATCCCATAGTCAATAATCCCAACAACTCCGCCGCCACATTTTGGGGCAGAAAAAGCTGTTGGATATGCTACTCTTCCAGTCTCCAGCCAGCCAGCCGCACAGAGATGGAACTTCGCCTGTCATTAGTACAGAGACAATCCAATCATGAAACAAAGGCGAATAGGTTGTGTGTTTAGCCAGAGCAACAAGGGGTTTTACCTGAGTATGGCAGCAGGCAGGCACATATATTGTGCAAACCCCCATCAGGTCTTGTTCTGGAGTCTTAAAGGGCGAAGTCAGTTCTGCGAATTGTTTCATTTACATCTCCCACGTTTCTCATGTTGACTATGTTAACTAGGGCTGATGGGAGTGTAGGCTAACAGAACTGAAGGGCCTCTTCCTTAAGCGAAGCATTGCCCTTTCACTAGATCTGTCTTGCCCGGCCTGATCAGATAACCTGGCATTCCAACACCGATGAACAAGGGCCAGTGTGGGCTTAAATCTTCACAATGCCGGGATAAAACTGCAACTGGTACCCTGGGAGACAGTTCCAGCACAGCATGCACCATGGCACCATCATAGAAGTGGTTGCCTGGTTCCAGATGTCACTGCGCCAGTGCAGGAAGGGGCTTGCTATCCAGCACAGGGCCCTATGATGTGTCTAGAATCCTGTGGGTGTCCTTTCAGCATGAGCTGGAAAGAAGGAGCCCAAAGGCAAACTTGATAGACAGACTTAGAGGCAACTCTGCATAACTCCACCTTGTTTGTAAAGTAAAGGGATATTTGCCAAGTATGGAAGAAGAGCTCGTTCCTTGCACTATGATGGTGGCCACCTTGGATTAAGAAGAAAAGGTTGCCACATCCACCTGCAGAATGACCCAGACTCATTTGCTTGTCCATCTGAAAAGGTTAAGGAACTAATTCTGTGGGTCCTAATGATTTCTGTGCTGGTCTGGATCAGTGAAAGTGCATCATGGGATATTCAAATGGAGATGCCAAAATAGACAGCTGAGTGTGTAGGAGCAGTTCCCAGAACCTTTACAAAAGGTTGTAGCAACCATCAAGGGACATATATTACATCTGAATACATGTTTTACTAGAAATGGCATTTTTCCAGATCAAACAAGTTGCATTCTTAATGGCACTTCTCAAAGAGCTAAATTTAGACTCCTGGTTATGCATAATATTAACTGCAATACATGGACTGCCTTCTGCACGAGGGGAAAGGAGCCCTGTTACCATCTGGGCATATAAGAGCTGATTGTAAGTCGCTATGGTCGCTCCTTGATCCGCACAGGTTTTATTTGCATCGTTGTAAGTCAGCTTGTACTGTCCCTTTGGAGAGCGGACATGAAAAACTCCAACAGTAGAGTCTGAAGGAAGAAAGAGGGGAAAATGTTGAGGGGTTTCTAATACAAAGTATTAAAAAAATGGAAGAATGTAAGTTAAAAAGGGTTTTAAACAAGTGAAATTCTTTAGTAAATCAAGAAAATGCAAAATCAAGATTTCCTCTGTGCGGCTTTATAATCAATTTTCCCACTTCATGCCCTGGAAGAAGCAAAAATGGTGAAACCGAGGCTGTCATACTCTGGGCACAGCATGAGAAGGCCAGACTCACTGGAGAAGACAATCATGTTAGGGGAAGCAGAAGGCAGAAGAAGATGACCAGATGAGAGATGGATGGACTCCATAAAGGAAGCTGCAGCCTTGAGTTACAAGAGCTGAGCAGGGCTGTCATCGACTGGACATTTTGGAGGGCTTTCATTCATAGGGTTGCCATAAATCAGAGGCAATTTGACAGCATATAACAGCAGCAATGTATATTAAAAATCACCATGACAATGCGCCTATTTCTGGAATACTGACACTGACCCTGGTAATGGAGATCTGTACAGATGGCATCAGCATGGCACTGCCCATTGTTCTGCAGACATCTATCCATTGGTAGCTGTTTGACTTCACAAATAACACCATCACCAATGTAGTTATCTTTGCACTCACACTTACGCTTATCCTGGAAGGGAATTTTTCAGTGTAACTAAATATCACAAGTTTTTTTAAAAGCATGAAGATATTGAATTGCACTTCAATGGAACTGGGAAGATCTTTCATTTAAAAGGGAACATACATTTCTAGCCTTTATGATTACTGGAAAGCCTTAACAATATGACTGTAAGAGGTGTGTTTTTTATCCACTAGAAGCTTCTTCTCCTGCTTTGGGTCTTGCTGGCTGGATGAGCAGCAACATCTTGCTCAAGCCGCCAGCAGGAGCAGTGGCAAGAACCGAAGCTGCGGAATGAGCTTGTCCCACCTGTACAAATATTGGTGGACAGATGAAATATGAGGTGTGGGGATGTACATAAATGTGTTACACGTGATGAAGAAACAGACTCTACACCGTTTATTCATGTGCTCCAGCATCTTTATGATGAAAGTCCTTTGGTCAATTTAAGAAGATGGTGAGCACATGTGGGCGGATCACGTTGTCTCTGCCACCACATATTTGCACACGTCGTCTAGAGAACAGTGCGGAAAGTAGGTAGGAGAGACGTGAACAATGTTCTATAGCCCGAACCCCAACCTGGTGCCCTGCAGATGTGTTGAACTGCACCTCCCATGCAGGCTTGGAATGATAGGAATTGTAACCCAACACATTTGGATGGCCACAGACTGGGGAACGCTGCGAATGTCCTTGGCCGAGTGAGATGCTGCGGATCTCTTAGTGCCTTCGAGATCATTCCCTGCTGGCTGGCATGCAGGCCTCTCCCTCCTGCTTCCATACCAAGCACCCTCCCTGTGGCTGCTGGTCCCAGCCCAGAGAAGCCCTGTGCAGGAGCAAAGGCAAGGCAGGGGCCCCTCTGGGCCGGGCTGGGCTGTGGAGGCAGGGAAGGAGGGTTGTGCTGCTGTGGCAGGGGAGCAGGGAGGGCCGTGCAGTGGCCAGGCGGGCTGCCAGTTGCCCTGCTACTGGCAGCAAGGGAGCTTGCACTGTGCCTGCTGCTCTGCTTTCTCTTCCCCCTGCCAGGAAAGGTCACCTGCAGCCCCACTGCTATCCTTCTGGGCTTGAGAAGACTGCTAGAGAAGAGAGGTCGGCACCAAACAGTGCTTTCGGGTTTGCATTTTTTTAAATGTTAAACCTGTAAGTCACCTGAGGGACCCAGCGGGCCAAAAGGTAGAGTAAAAATGTTGTGTATAAATAAAATATAGGTTGTGTTGCCCAAATGGCTAAGAAGACGGGGGATGCAGTGCTTTTCTACTTCCCTGGGTAGGTAGAGATATGCCTTGTGAACAAGTGGTTTGATGCGGGTGGGAACAATGGCCTTTCCGATGGAGTAAACAACCGTAACACTTACAGGCCCAGTCATTGTGCAAAGGGCATGCTCATCACATCCACCATTGACCCCATCTGTGCAAGGGTTGATGGCAGTGCAGGCGTAGCCATCTCCTTGGTATCCTTTCTGACACGTGCAATTGACTTTCACATCAGTTTGGACACATTTTGCATTCTTATGGCAGCCACCATTGGCTTTCTTACAAAGGTTCTCAGCTGGAAAGTGAAAAAAGAACCAAAATCCCACAAAGAAATTATGCTCATCATCCATCTGTCCTTCACAGGAAAGCCTTGCATTTTGAAGTATAAATGTAACATACAAATGCAATCTGAGACATAGTTATAGGATTACAAATTGTTATGGATATTTCAGTCCACAAAAACCACAGGCATGAAGAAGACAGAAATTATGCCTGCAATCCCAAGAGCAAATGCCTGGATTTTCTTTCATTAGAGGGAGAAACAAATGGTCAGTGTACCCTTCATTTTAGGTGTAAATGCCTGGATTTTCCTTCCTTGAAGGGAGAACAGAAGCTTGGTTTACCTGTCATTTCAGATAAGGGTCTTCCCTCAACAAAGGGGAGTTACACACAACAAAGGGGAAACCCTAACCCTTTACTGCCCTCTGGATTTGGAGATTCCCCTCCTCTGGAATGGGGAGAGCTTTAGTAATCATACAGCTCTTGAAGCTAAAGGTTGTGATGGAAAAGTCAGAGCTAAAATGGACATCAGGGCTTGGCTCAATTTGCTGGGTGAATTATCCCATCAAAGCTTGCAGTGACGACAACAACAAAAGGAAAGGAAACTCTTCAAATATCACAAGGCCCAATGTTGGAAGCAACTGAAAGTTTTTGTCATGAAGTTCTGCTGGAAAGATCTCCCCCTTTCCAGCCTCTTGTGTTGCCAGATAGAATTAAAGCTGTCAGATCTGACACTGGAGATCAGATTAGGAAACTCAGGCTGCAAACTCACTGAGTTTTTTTCTACTGTCTCTGTTTTCACTTTTGTTGCAGAGTCAAGGTCTGAACTCCATCTGAAGGGGCTTTCTTTTCCTGCTCTTTTCTGCTACGTAACTTCTACGTGACATGGTGCTATAGCAGACTATTACAACTGCACGAGTAGGAAATTTTATTTGGATTTGCTTTCACAAATAATACACCATTTTCCTTGCCTGTTTCCTCACTGGAAAGTGATCTAAAAAAACAGAAGTGAAACTGGAAGATCATAATCTTGTCTAAAGAACCCATAAACTAATAAGGTAAGGGATGATGTAACATATAGAGTTTATTGTATTAAGTGTACAATAAACTCTGGGAAGGACAGTGAATAATTCATTAAAAGTGTGAAATGAACAGTCTTTTTTGAACAGACTGGATCCATCCCTCTTCATAACATTACTGGCATCACATTATTGATAACTTCACTAATATTTGTATGGCACATATCCAAATACATCAGTATTTTATCATGCCTCATAGGAAGTACTGAGAAGTAGCTGAGCTGTGAGCAATAGAGTACATGTTTAAAAATCAGGACCAAAAAACATTCTGTGAATTGTGCTGGCACTTCATTTTTTCCAATGTACTAAGGTAACTTTACCTGTACATGTGATCCCATCTCCGGTATAATATGGCTTGCACTGGCAGGTATTCTGTTCTTGGCACACAGCATTAATGGAACAGCTAGGTGTGCACACTGGAGACACAGCTGTGGAATAAATGAATGAATGAATGAATGAATGAATGAATGAATAAATGCATCATGTAAAGTTAAGCTTTTCTCATGATCAAGACTAAACAAATTAAATAAATAAAAATTTCCTTCTCGCAAGGAACACAAGCCTACTTACTTCGCTCCATTTTATCCCCACAACAACAACCCTGTGAGGGAGGTTGGGCTGAGAATCTGTGACAGGCCCAAGGTAATCCAGTGAGCTCCATGACAGAGTGGGGACTAGAAACTGGTATCTCCCAGATTCCAACACCGTAACTGTCACACCACACTTCTAAATAGAAAACTAAAAGTATAACATCCCTGAGCAATAAATCTAATGAAAATAAATAATGAAAATAATAATATTAGGAGGGTGAGTACCCGGAGGAGGGCTTTCTCTGCAGTGGCGCCCCACCTATGGAATGCGCTCCCCAGAGAGGTCCGCCTGGCGCCGTCATTATTTGTTTTTTGGCGCCAGGCTAAGACCTTTTTATTTAAAACTTATTTTAAGTGTTAATTTATTATGGAGGATTTTTAAAAATTTTTAAGCCTAGATGCACCGGGTTTTAATATTTTTAGTGTATAAATTTTTATATGATTTTGTTTGTTTTTGTTTTTGTTGTGAGCTGCCCTGAGGCTTTGCTGCGATGGGGGCGGCATAGAAATGTTTTAAATAAATAAATAAATAAAGAAATAAACAAATAAACTCAAATACACCAGCAAAAAACTGGTGCTGCTCTCCTTCTTTTACTCTTTTTTTTGCATGGTTATATCTGGTTATGGTAGAACAATAAACTTCTTGGGTCCTGATTTAGTCATATTTCAAGCAGACCCAATGAAATATTGGGACTTGATTTACGAATAGTTGTCTCAAGTCCCAGTGATTCCTATAAGTCTATGCTTAAATATGGCTGAATCTGGATCCAAGCCCAGACGTCAATGTAGCTTTGACTTGTATTTGTGGTGCAACATACCAGCCTTATAGTCGGAGTTTACAGTTGCTGCTGGATCACATACATGGTCAATAGCCACTCTGCTACTGTAACAACATAGCACATCTGCCCAGCATGACCAGATGCATAAGGGTAGAGTGCATAGTGGTACATAGTGGGCCGGCGGTAGCTGCCCCTGCCCGCAGTGCTCTTTCCCAGGTGCATTGGGTGGAGCTGTTACTGGGCAGGGTCCAGTTGCACCCCAGTACTAGTGCCATTGCCCTTCCAGGATCAATCAGGGGAGAGCAGCCATTTGCTGGCAGAATTCGGCAGCACCCAATTGCCACCTGTTTCCAGAGACCTAGCAACTGCCAGCTACTTGGCACAAGCACTGACTTCCGTGAGTGCAACATTGCTCAAGGACAGGCTGGACTTGCACAAGGTAGGCATGTCATGAGTGGAGCTGGCTGGAGCAGGAGGTCAGACGAGATGGCCCGGAAGGCCCCTTCTGACTTGCTCTGTTTCTAAGTTTCTATCATTGGAATTAGTGCTGGGATGCAATGAGATAGTACCCATACAGTTTCATCAAAAGAAATGGACAGAGAAATAGAGGCAAGATTTCTAAAGTTGTGAAGGACCTTGTATTGGTTTAGACTGGAAGACACTGTAACAAGGAATTAATATGAACTATGCACACTGACTAGTAGAGAGCTCTGGAGTGAAATGCTTAGACTACATAGCTTTCAGGTCTACATAGCTCAGCTTTCACTTCACTGATAAACCCTAGTTTCCGGCAAAAGCCTCAACAGGGAAACAAGTTCAAGGCACCGTGATCTGCATTCCTTAGATAAAGATTTGCAAGGGCAGCTGCATCATCTCCACCTCCCTTCCTTTTGTCCCTGTTCCTCCAGTCACTAGCTTTGAGCACTTTCTAAAAGGCAGAGAGGATTTATAAAATCCATAACACAGCTATATATAATTGGCTTTCCACTTTGGACCAGGAGTGCATGAGTGTCTAGGCAATTCAGCATCACTGGAGGAACGTCCATCGCCCAAGAAAGCCTGTGATCCAAAGCGACATATGTGAAAGCCTGGCTTTGCTTATTTCTTGATAACCTGCATCCATATTCTATCAAGTTAATAAAACATTTAGTATCTGTAACACCAATGGATTTGCTTCTTCCTGAATATCTTTCAATTTAAAACAAGGTGCCTTGGCTGGACGCCCCAAATACAGCACGTGTGGAAGTGGAATCAGTTAAATGAAACCTTTTTGCTAGTCCTTTAAAATCTCAAATTTAAAATCAAACTTCTCTGGTTTTGAGTGTTCTGATGATGAGTGAAAAAGTAAGAGTCATGCTTTTATAATACTTTTGCCATTTACTAGTTATATGACCGTTTTTGTTTGCTTATTTGTTTTACGAATAATTTGTTTCCTTATGTTGTCCTTACAGCAACCCACTGAGAGGGGGCATTAAAACTAATAACGATTCCTAGTGTAGCTATGCCCCAAGATGTTGGTAAGGAGAGGTTATTTGCTTTAATTAAATGTTGACTACAGATTTTGGCTTAAGGATATTTACCAAAAATTAAGGCACATGGAAATCGGTAGGAAATCTTTCTGACTTTCTATTTGTCTCACAGTGTGATCAAGAGCAGGAGAAAAACATGGATTGCTATAAGTCAGCCAGTTATAAGCAAGAAAACTACAGATGGAGACAGATCATTTAACCAGCCAACAGTGCCATAAAAATTATAGCAAGGTAACTCTTCCTTGCAGGCTACAACTTGTCCCTACTGTTAAATAGCCAGACCGAGTTTGGTTTCACAGAGTTGTCCAGTCCACCCAGTTTCGCAGAAGCACTGCCCTGATGCAGAAATTCCATCATCGCACTGTCCATGTTCTGTGCATTCGCAGGCTGAAGACAAAAACATTATGGGATGATTAGCAGAATGATCAAAGGAAGAGTCTTATGTAACTCAAAAGTTCACCCCCAGCATCACAAACATGATTAGAGTTAGCAAACTGCTCCTGATCATTAGTTAATGTCAGCTAAAGCCCTGGAATATAAAGTGTGTGCAAGGGCTCTCTAACGTAATCTCTCAGGCTTAACAAGGCCCAGGGACAATATGATGCAGTGGTCTGTTGCTCTGCATATGAGAATATGAAATTACCTTGTTCTGAGTCAGAACATTGGTGCATTTGGATCAGTACTGTCTATTCCAAGAAGCATTAGCTCTCCGGAGTCTTATACAGAGATCTTTCCCCCCACAGTTTGGCCTTAGGTGGCCAATTTTAAAAGAAACAAACATTTGCACATATGTGGGTCTCTGAGCTGGACTGGCACCATGCCGAGGATCTCATGGTGCTAACGTAGGCTTGCCAGTTGAGTTTTCATCTACCAGGTACTGTCCAGTTCGGGACACAAGTTTTCAGACATGCCCTGGAATGATGCTTCACAACTCAGCTAGAAGTCTGCTGTGGGATCAGTCATGCCCTGGTAAGATATTAGGGATTCAATAAATCCCAGTAGTTCTCGTATTCCAATCCAGAGGACACAGGAGTACCACTGCTTAATACATGGGTCCTCAAACTATGGCCAGGGGGCCGGATCTGGCCCACCATGCCCATTTGAACCCGCCATGCTGCTCCTGTGCCCATGCGCACTCCCGCCGCCGCTGCCCACCTTGCCCCGTGGTTTGTTTGCTCGGCGAAAATGATTTCCAAGTGAGCAAGCCGCTGCCTTGTGCACCCCCCTCGTGGCACCTGCCCGCCCCCGCTTGGCCTCACCCACCCGCCCGTGCCTCGCTTCACCCCGCCTCATTGCGCGCCCCAGCGCCGGCCCATGCACACTGCTGGCACCACCTTTCTGGCCCGCACCCAGCACTGGCCGCTTTCAACAGGTCCCCTGGTAAAACGGTTTTAGGACCCCTGGCTTAACAGGACAACAACCCCATGGAACCTACCTTTGCAATCATCGCCATATCTTCCTGGCAGACAGAGCTCACACGCAGTCCCGTTGAAACCAGCATTGCATGTACATTGTCCCGTGCCAGAATATCCTTCATCACAGGAACCACGGTTATTACATGGTGCTTCGGGACCTCCTGGACAGCCTGGAAAGTCAGATGCGGCAGTGAGTAGATCCTTGCAAGATCAGGGTGGATATTTTCTCATATAGATTGGGCTAGGATCTCAGGGCCTGCAGAAGGAGATCCACTTTAGAGTTGGGACTCATGTGAATGGAAGGATGAATGTACATAACCACAAGCTGTTGAGCACATTCACCAAGAGAGCGTGCATTTAATCTCTTCACAGAGGGGGAAACTTCTTCATGGACAGAGTTCTTGTGCGGTGCTGTTTTGGCTACAAAAGGACTGGCATGCAGAGAGGGAGCTTGCTATGTAAGAATGCACAAGGGATCCCTAGCATGGCGCCCTGGGCCTTTCTAATGGCTCCCCCAAAGTTCTCCTCTCCCTGTCCCCTTCAAACATTAGTTTTAAATATAAAATGCAATAAATATTAGGCGGGGAAGGAATCACACCTTCTCCATTCTAACATAATACTGTATATTCCCCATTTAAAAAAACACAAAAGTGAAATGGAAGGATTGTGTTAGAGCCCATAAAATTCAGAATAAGTGCACAGTAAATGCCTCAAATCACTTGATACTTTAGGTCCACTGTTGTCTCTACTAAAGCTGTTTTGAAAAATGTGGAAACCCTCTAAAATGATTTACAATAGCTGATAATAGAACATGTATACCGGAAAAACAATACTTCATATAGGATTTGGAGATTATTAAATATACTGATGGAGGGAAATACTGATATCCCCACCCGGGAATGTCTCAAATGCTTAAAATTCAAAATCCTTACCTTGGCATTCATTCCCAAAGTATCCCTTACAACACTGTGGTATCCTGACCACCAGCGAGCAGTCCTTCTGACAGCCTTTCAGAATCCTGTGGTTGAGCGTGTAAGTACATTGCTTCACCTCTTCCTTACAGTTTCAGATTTGAAGATGGACAAACCAAGCACATGCAAGCAAAATGAAAAAGGAAATTAACAATCTTTATTTTATTTAAAACATTTGTATGTCGCCCAATTGTGCCACAGCACCTCTAGGCAGCTCTCAATTACAAGATAAAAACACAATAAAAACAAATAACACATTAAAAATAAAATAACAATAAAATACAAGCTGTGCTACTGAAAACAACAACACAGCCATAATTACCACTGCTTTACTTCCAGCAGGACACTGCAAAGTTCTGTAACAACCAGTGCAGTCTCCCTGTAGTAAAAGAGAAAGAGAGTTATATGTTTTAAATAAGTTTTGTTTATCAAAAGAGTTTTCATAAATTCTTAAAAAAAAATCTATCAAGATCATAATACAAATGCAAAATACAGCATTGTGAATGAGCACCATCAATATCATTTCCCATAATTTTGAAGGAAATCAGATATACTTCCTGATTTCATTCACAAATATAAAATACATGCACATACATAAGCAAAGCTTGTGTGCTTGCCTGTGCAAGCACATGTGCGTATTTGTGCGTACAGGATACAGGTCTCAGATCTGATGGGTTCATATTAAGCTCTTTGCAGGTCCCACAGCCATAATTTGCACGTGTGCCGGCTCGGTTGCCTGATAAAGAATCCCTCTAAAAGCATGCTCAATAAGCAGAACATTAGTGAATAAGGCACAGTGACAACAGTAATCATTATATAGTGTCTAATACCCCTTTTCAGGGACTGCAGGTGGCGCAGTGGTTTAAACCGCTGTGCTGCTGGGCTGGTTGATTGAAAGGTCGCCGGTTCGAATCTGCACAACGGGGTGAGCTCCCGTTGCTCCGTCCCAGCTCCTGCCAACTTTGCAGCTCAAAAGCATGCAAATGCAAGTAGATAAAAAGGTACCACTTCGGTGGGCAGGTAACAGCGTTCTGTGCACTTCAGTGTTTAGTCATGCCGGCCACAGGACCACGGAAACTGGCTGAGGACAAACGCTGGCTCCCTCGGCCAGGAAACGGAGATGAGCACCGCCTCCTAGTGCCAGGCATGACTGGACTTAATGTCAAGGGGAAGCCTTTACCTTTACCTTTTACCCTTTTTCAAGAGTGTCTTACTTCTGCAGTGTCACAATGGTAGCTGTCAATGGATATTTTTTTAAGCCCATCGAGTAAACTAGAAGACAAATGTTATTTCTAGTTTGGACCTACCTGGCGTTATGTTTGTCTGAATTAAGCTAGAGTAACCTTTCCATGAATATTCATAGTTTAAATGAATATACATGGATTTTTCAGTTCCCATCAAGTTTGACTTTTTCCTGTCCCAAATGGATTTTATCCCACATGTGCAATAAAATGGATTAACAGAGGAGACCTGAGTCTTCAAAACATATGTAGTTTACTCCAAGTTGGAGAGGATAGTTGAAGAGAATGGCAAAATGACAAATGCATTACATTATTTTAAATGAGCAACATGAAAAACCAAGTGATAAGGAGGATATTAATGCTACAATCTAGCCACACTTACTTGGGAAAAGTACCATTAAACTCAATGGAATTTATTTCTGGGCAGGTATATATGGGATCGCATTGTAAATCCACTGAGCATCATTGGACTAAATACAATTGAACTCAATGGCATGAGGACTGCATCACTAGACTCTGATCTAGAATTCCACATAAGTTCCATTTCAGTAAGAGAAGTCCTACAAGTACAGCAAGATTCCCCATATATGCGGGAGTTCCTGTTGGAACACTCACTCTTCTGTGACGTGCTAGATTAGTATGACATTCAAAAGGGTAAATAACATTCCATAGCAGGACTGACCGGAATATTAGAAGTGATAAATGTGTCACAACGACCTCCAAGGACAGGATCTGTTAGCATGCAGTCAATACCATAAGCAATGCCACCATCAAACTCCAGCTGCCTTTGGATTATTTTACACCTCCTTTCATTGAGGAACAGTTCGCCCTGAAGGTGAAAATAAAGCTATATCAATTTCAAGAGACCTTCACTGAATATGTGAAACAGGAAGCACAACGATAATGGCTGGGAGTCATCTTGGTTGTTTACCTTTTGGAAAACATAAATCAGTGTATAATCTAACTAAAGCTAATATTACTCATAACATATTTAAACATCTTCTCATATTTCACTAATGATAAGCAAATGTGTCAATATGAGTTTGGTTTAGTTTGTCATTTTTCCAACCTTATATTCATTTTTTCCTGTTTCAGCATCAGTTTTGATTTTTTAAAAAGTTCTCATAGATAATTGTTGGTAAACAGTTATCCTTATATATGTATTTATGCAAGCAATGTTCCCCAGTAGAATGCTTTATTTTTGTATGACATTTCCAGAAATATTTTGGAATAATTTATTGACTGAAGAACTGCATTGCAAGTGCCAACATAGAAGTAGCTGCATTTCAGTTGGATATTGGTTTGGGAAGTGAGAATTAAGTAAGTCTGCATTAAAATGTGAATTTCTCTTCCAACTCTTTGCGAGGGTTGGAATCCCTGTACATAGATTCCCTTCGTAGGAAAAACTATATACACTATATAGCCTTCAGTGTTTCAAAAATAAGACTTGTGATGTCTTGATGGTAATCAATCAGTTAGTCGAGTGCATTGGTTCTTATTTCTTACCATCACATTTAGAATTTAGATACTGTGCTGTGAACTGATCCTTGGGCAGGATTCTGCATGACACACATGCTAACAGAAATGATACTCTGCTAGTGTAAGCCACCTCCAGCACAATGGCCATAACATTAGCTGCTGCAAGAGGATTCCCCAAAATTCATCATGCATGCCTGCTAATGCTATTAGCCTTGTGCTAAACAAAGTTAGCATGCATGTAACACAGGAGACTGTTCATCATCTCTATTTGACTCTGGGATATCAAGTTATGTTCATGTAAGGGGACACATGATAAAAGTGATGCATGGTGGATAAGGAGACATCTTTCTTGCATTGTCAGGAGGCTAAAACCCAGGGCCATCCCATGAAGCTGGTTGGTGGGAGACGCAGGAGAGATAAAAGGAAGTCTTTCTTCACATTGTTAAAGTATGGAATTCACTTCCACACGGTGTGGCAACGGTTACTAGTCTGGATGGCTGTACAGGCGAATTGGATAAATCCATGTTGAAGGCTATCCATGGCTACTAGTCCTGATTGCTATGTACTACCTCCACCATCAGAGGAAGCATGCCCATGTTATCTGGTTACCTGAAGGAGCGCTTACATCCATATTTGCCCAGTCGCCCCCTGAGATCGGTGGGAGAGGCCCTTCTCCGGGAGCCCTCCGTGAGAGAAATTAGGAGGGTGGCTACTCGGAGAAGGGCTTTCTCAGCGGTGGCGCCTAAGTTATGGAATGCGCTCCCCAGAGAGGTCCGCCTGGCGCCGTCGTTATTTGCTTTTCGGCGCCAGGCAAAGACCTTTTTATTTAAGCAACATTTTAAATGCTAATACAACTGAATTTTATCTGGCCAGGGCGGCTTATTTTATAATGTGTGTTTTAAATTATGATCATTTTATATGGATATTTTAACTTATTGTTTTATCTAGTGTTGTAAGCCGCCCCGAGGCTTCGGCGAATGGGGCAGCATAAAAATGTTTTAATAAATAAATAAATAAATAAATGTTGCACTCCTGTCCTGCTTGTGGGTTTTCCCTGGGCAGCTGCTTGGCCACTGTGTGAAGAGAATGCTGGGCAAGAGGGACCCTTGGACCGATCCAGCAGGACTCCTCTTACGTCATGTCCTTATATCGTTGTGATAGGCTGGTCAAACGTGCATGGATTAGCTAGTGCAAAAGACGTGAGATGCTCACAATGTTGCTGTCATCACTTCCACATTTCACACTGATATCTGAACCTTGAAGCGTCTTCAGTGAATCAGAGCTAGGGAGGGCATAAGCGAAAACCTGCGAAAGAGATCAAGGAAAGGAATCTTGAAAAGGTTTCTAGGGGTGGGGAAAGGAGAGTGAAAACAGAAAGAGAGAGAGAGGGCACTTCATACTTAGAAAATAGGAAAATCCCAGTGCTTCTGTTTCTTTTCTTTCTCTCTCTCTTTTTTTTTTACAAGTAAACCAGAAATGTTAAACTGAAAACTCCCACCTTAGTACTTCCAATAATGTGGTACTTCAAGTACTGCTGCAGCTTTTCCTTGTTTGACATTTTAAATAGTGCATCCTGTTGGTCATTTGGGAGAGCTCTGATGACTTTGTCAGTGGGCCAGAATAAGGTGATCGGTTGATGGAGAGCATCATTAATCACATTGATGGTACCTGAACTCTGAAATATAGTCAAAGGGGAATTGATTTTTTCCATCAAGGAGAGCTACAGAGGGAAAACGACTGAATATACAAAAGTAAGGATAAGCTGCCCTTCTCTGCATAGTGCCTGCAGCCATCTCAGATGCGTATATTCAAAATACAGGGGCCTCCATCCCCTTCCTTCCCTCTCCTCCCCATCCCAGGCACGTTCAGCTCTGCGCTCTCCCTGCTCTGTATACGATGTCTGTCGTCCTCTGAGTTTGGAGGTTTCCCATAGGCTCGAGACCTATCATGAACTGTGGACCTGAATGCAATATTAGAGGGGTTATTTATTTATATCCTTATTGCATTTTTATATCTCCCAATAGCTGAAGCTCTCCAGGCAGGCTTTTTTGTATTTTTGAGAAATTGTTGTGAACTGCCCGTTGGGGGGTATAGAAATAAAATGACATTAACACACATACTCTTACCTCCAGTAAATTGTAGAACATAATGTATCCATTTTGTGCTGCAACCATTTTGAGGGTTTCCTGGGAAGATAATTGATTTGCTAAGTTTATTTGCCTCTTTTGGAAATGTAATGCCAGGGTGTTTTCAGTAAGTAGCGAGCGTGGGTTGCTTTACATGCTCTATTAAAATACACCTGTTGCTTTCAGAAATATCGGTATCATTAAATAATTGACTGATTGTATTTCTATACCAGTTTTCTGAAACTAACCGAGGTGGTTTACCAAAAGTCCAGAAAACAAAAACCACAGTTGAAGAAAAACTCGGCAAACCTTTAAAACAAACATAGAAACTATAACAATGTAAAAAGTCAGGTTAAAAAGATGTGCCTTGAAGCTGCCATCTCAGGGAGAGGTGTCTGCATAATCTGAGACTACTGAAGAACCCTTGTAGCTCATCGCTGTGGCCCTTGGGCAGGACAATCTGGAAACTAAACTTGATGCTGTGAGTCACCCAGATAGTGCATGGCTAATGGAATGGAATTATTAACCCCCCTTGGAACATCCATGGCTGTTGTTGAATCAATAGCCTGTTGGATATTCCCAGGGCTGGGATGGCAGCTGAAGATAAGGGTAGCTTGGTACTAGTGGAAAAAGAGATCTGGTTGGATCGGAATGTAGCCATACTTTGGCAGACCACCTGATGTCAATTTAAGTATGTCTGTATTTTTCCTAACTGCTATTGAACGTCACTAGTTTGATGATAGTTTCACTTAGATGTAGACTAACTCATCATTCTTAAGCATGCATTATAGCTACTTCATATAATGTACCCTTGAAGCAAACACTTGTGGCGGTGAGTAGGGTCAGATGCATATTTGCACTGTTGGGAGTATGTATAAGTGTCTACATTATTTCCTGTTTCTGCTACCAGGGTAAGGCCGGGAGGTGGGGCACTCATAGCTGAAGATGGGCTGTCTGGTTCTTACTATTTATACCAGGGTAAAAGGGCCAGGGGCACCTGGGTTCAGCTCCAGATCCCTGCCAAGCATGAAGCTGACTGGCTTAATTTGGGCCAGTCATTGTCTCTCAGTCTTACGGTTGTTAGGAAGATCTGTGGCCTGGGGGATCTGGAAGACATCAGGTGGGAAAGGCTGCTCTGCAGCATTGCTCTACAAGCTCCCTGCACTGCCATTTAGGCTTTATCCAACAAGTGATGGATAGAAAGCAGCTTTCAAAGTATTAGGGCATGACCAGCTGTGAATGAGCTGACAATCCCAAAACAAATGATATGTATCTTTACCGGTGTAGACTGTCCAGCTGAGAACTCTTGAATCCTCTGTGGAATCAGGACTTTGTCTATGATATGAATTACTCCATTTGTACTGATTAGATCACTGGTCAAAATCTTAGCTTTGCCATTCAAAAAAACTGTATTCTGAAAATGCAAGCATGACAAGGGAATTTAAAAAATGGAAACAAGGATGATATACTATAGAGAAATAAAACAAGATCAGCAGTACCTGGCCAGGCAATAAAAACTGTCAAAAGTGTAGAACTACAGTATAAAATCAAAGCAAAAAAGTAAAAGTGAGCAACAGTGTAAAGATCTAAAATATGACAAGAGATTTAAAACAGTAAACACTTTAAGAAATAGAGGACCAGAGGACCAGAAGGTAGAAGCCAAGTTAGGCTTTTTGGGGAAGACATTCCACAGTCTACTCTGGAGAAGGCAGCCATTCTGTGGAAATTTTGACAATTTGAGGAACTTTCCTGGATGCCACACAAACTGGCTGCCATAGGAGGTGGGCAAAGGGTAAGTAACATGCCCCAAAGACGGAGTACAAGGCACAGTTTGGAAGAGACCCCCTTCTGAATCCTCTGCTTTCAACACCACCAGAAACTTATTTTACAGTAAACCCAGCTGACCTGTAAGGAAAGTGTGTTGATATTTTTAAAGCAGGTATGCTGGGCACCTTTGTGAGTGCTAAGAAAGGTGTCTGCCTGTGCATAACCTAGACTCTTATCTGTATACCAGTGGGCAGTAAGGCTTTATATTTTTTGATTTTGGAGAATATACGACATATGTGCCTTTTCCTCTATTCCTTTGATTGCTTCAGATGCAACAATGCAATTTTGTACACTTGCGGCTTACAGTGATCATTATGACTGAGTTCTGAGAAGAAAATTTAATGGCCAGAAGGGAACATGAAGCCGTACAAACTGCTCTACTGGGTCAGATAGTCTCCAGCCCAGCAGTATATCTCTGTGAACAGCTCGTGTTTTAGAGATAGGCTAAATGCTCCTGGAACTAAGTACCAAAGTACTGTCATGTACCAAAATTATCTCCTAGGGATCCCTTTTAATTCAGTATTTCTGATTACAAAGTGATTCAGGATTCCTCCTCCTGCCCACTTTATAGCTGTGGAATTGATAGTTTTTGTTCTGTGTTGCAGATGCTCCTCTTGAGCTCCAAGTAAGCAAACTTTTTGGGAAAGAAATGTCACACACCTCCAGTGTTCACCTGCTTCTGAGAAACTGACGTCTGAGAAATTGCTGGAGCCCCTGGAACTCCTCACTTTCAGAAATGGGGTGCAGGAACAAAACTATTACCTCTCGTACTCTTGCCAACTCACATTTCACAAGAACCTCTATGGCACCATCCCCAAGCCGTTTTCTTTCAGATGTTTTTGACTACAACTCCCAAGGTGCCTGTATATAGGCCATGCTGCCTGGGGTTGATGGGTGTCGATGTAAAAAACATCTGGAGGGCCCAGAAGTGTTTAGTGCTGACTTGCTTAATGGAGCACAGCCACCAGCAATGCCTTACGTACAAGTCTCCACTGTAAAATAAAAAATTGCCACCTTGGTGCAGTATTCCCATTGGGATCTCATCACCAGTTCTGAATGGCCTGCTTTTGGGCATCACTTACAGTGTCATCCATCATTACAACCTACAGTGCCTTCCTCAGTTTGAAGCCTCCAGCGTAGCCACTGGGGCTGAGGATGATGGAACTTGTAGCCCAATACATCTGGAGGGCACCCGATTGGGGAAGGCTGTCAAAAATATTACATCTCTCTTTCTTAAGAAGAGAAATGCAGAAGGTATCATGATCCTTATGGACTCCATAGCTTAATTTTACCTGTGAGAAGGTAAACTTGAGCTGATCTCCTTGGAGAGTGGTGGCACTTTTCTCAGTGTTGGATATCATATCATTATAGAGCAGTCCTGTACATGCGACAACATGGTAGCGGAGAATCTGGGCCATCACACCTCTCGACACCCAGTCCTTGACCTTGGAAGACAGCCAGAAAATGAAACAGGTAAGCAGGGGGACAGCATATAGCTTTTCCCACAATATGGTTCTGGTTTTGCCATTGGTCTCCTGTGAACTAGACTCAGTCACACCAAATGGGATTGGACAAAAGAATGGCACAGCACACTCCTACATACGCACATGCATTTGGAAGGTGGAGTTTACTTCCTATAGCAACCTTCCCTTGCTCTGCACACTCCAGATGGGTCGGACTACCATCATGACCAGGGGTGATGGGAACTGTAGTCTAACCCGTTTAGAGGGCCCCAGGTTAGGGAAGTCCTCCTTAGAGTGTCTAGAATTGCAGCCTTTGTGTGCATTCCTATTCATGCTTAGAGAGGAAAAAGCCTTACAACTCCCAGCTTGACTACCTATGGAGAACATGGATCTGTAGGACTTTTTGTCTAAGCAGTTTTGGGTTTCCTTCAAGGAAGAAGAGTAGGTTACATGTATGGAAAGAAATGAGTTGATTGAGGGTGGATCAAGCTTAAGATGCATTCTCTTTCTCTTTCTGTTCCTTGCTCCCAAGGAACTGATGCAGGGTAGCGAAATTGTGGTCTTGTAGGCTCCATTGTAGATTTCCAGCTAAAGCAAGGGGTGCCAAGATTCCCTACATCTCCAGTGCACTCTTGCCTTAAAGGAACTAAAAGCTCAGTGGGGTCATGTAATGATATTTCCTTCAACATTGCTTGCTTACTTTTAATTCAGCTATAAATGCTTCTGGTATTGGTGCAAAAACAGTGAAAGGACCCGCTGATGACAGATCTTTGATACCAGCATCCTACAAAGAAGGAGCAGAAAACGTTTACTGTTCAGTTCATGACATTTCCAGGCAGTGGCATTTCCCAGACCAGCAAACTAGTGGACCTGAAGAGTTTTCCCTTTTGCAAACTTTCTCTGTGTGTAACTGAAAGCCCACTAAGATGGATCTGGTCTTGGGAAGGCAGTGTACCTTCCATGAGATCAGGGCTTTCCTTACCATTAGATAGCCATTAAATCGAGTAGTGTTTGAGTTCTTTGAGAGCTCCTGTAATGACAATAACAAGAAGTTATGGAAATAAGTGATGAGGACATGTAAATAAATGCAGCTGTAGCAGAAATAACACCTCATCTGGACTGATGTCAAGTTCAAAAACATGCAGAGGGCTCGGTGCATCCCTGACGCAGCAGCTGATGGTGTTCCCGGGGACTGGAATTTGCAAAGTTATCTAAGGCTTCGAATCATCCTAGTCTGGTTGTGTATGTGTTGGGGTATAATAATATATGAGCAGCTGCACATATGCTGAAATATCTTGCCAAGAACCCTCAGATCTGCACCCACCCACTGCATATCTCTGCAAATTGCCCTCCCTCTTGCCATTTTGCTTGGTGAAGAGCTGCTACCAGGTGTAAAGATGCTCAAGAAGAATTCAGTACAAAAATAAAGATAAAGCCTCACCAAGGTTATGCTGCCCCTGCAGGAAAATCCATCTCCAACATAGCTGGGTCTACATGTGCAGGTCCTTTCTGAGTTCTCAGTATCATTGCAGATGGCATAATCCGCGCAGCCCCCATTATTCTGTTTGGAGAGAATCAAGATAATAAAATCAAGGCAGTCTGATTGCTTCTTCCATGGGCGACACTTTGCTGTGCCAAGGGAGTTCCTCTTGCAGGGCTGTAGAGCAGAGGGAGGTAACATGGGTGGCCCAAAGACAACCTTTGTCTGGGCAAAAGACTTCCCCAGCATGGAACATTTCAGATGTATTGGCCCACAATTCCCATAAGCCCCAGCAAGCATGGCCAATGAACAAGTATTATGGGAGGAAGAGGGAGGAAGCAACTAGGAGTGCAGCTTTGCACAGCTTCCAGGATCCTCTCTGGTACTGCAAGAAGGGCCTATGCAGTGCTAGGGAGCAAATAAGTGGGAAAGGGAAGGCAGGAGCGATCAGGCTACATATAGAATAACCCAGTCATCCTCAGCCTGGTATCTTCCAAAGGTTTCAGAAAGCAACTCCCAGCATCCCCAACTATTGGCATTGCTGTCTGTGGCATGCTGGGTGTTGTAGTCCAACACACCTGGGACACAATTGTGGTAGTAGTTGACTGCCTTTCCCTGCCTTTCCAGTCTGAAATGGGTCTATGCCACTTCTGCAGCCCCATTCCAGCCAGTCTTCCAAATTTTACCAGCTGGGAAAGAATAGCATTTTTCCTTTATTTTTGCTTGAGCCCTGTGAAAATGGAAATATCTTCAAAACAGAAGTGTTTCCTTGAGCGATGCATGGATGCCAGATGCCACTGATGCCCAGCTACAATGCGTGAGCTGTGCTGTAAAGCAAAAGTCTCTAAAGATCACTGAGTGAGTGGGGTAGATGCCTGGCAGGAACGTTTTAAAAAATGCTTGTGACAAAGACAGAGCCTTTTTTTTTAAACATCTCTCCTCATAGCACTTGGTTATAAAATTTAATGTTGTCCAGGAAACCAGCACAAGGAGCAGAAATGGTATTTTTTGGAAAGTGGGCCTTAACAGCTTGATAGCAAGGTCTGTAGTTGCAAATGATTTATTCTGGTAGATCCAGATGAAAGAAAGCTGGTTTCTTTAAGGCTTTCTCTGAAGTTATGCATTGTTTTGCTGGGGTATTTCTTCTTTTGGCAACCACAGACCCATCTGAAATGGTTTTAGTATATTTTTTGCAACTTGTTATGCAACTGTGACATAGCTAGTCCCTGGGAGTCATAACTTCCAGATATTGTGTAACACAGCTGCCTGTGTTAGTGGAAATATTGACGAGGCCGAACAGTTATGTCAGTCTACAATTCATGCCTGTAAACATCTATGATCAGTTAACAAAGCTGATACATGGGACCTCAAGAATGGAAGAATGAACTACAGCAACCCATCTTACCCAAACAATTAAGTGCTTCCTTATTATCTATTTTGCAGAGGGTCATGGATCTTAGACTACCCTTCATTCAGCAAAAATGGATGTTTCAAGTATACTGGATGCCACAACATCTGTTTGCTAAGGATTTACTTCTATTGGCCACTGGTTGGAGGTGGACAGCTGCTAATGCTGCTTTTCTTCATATGTTTTGGCAGTGCCGAATGGCAGCTTCCCTTGGGAGGATGTGATAAATTGGATAGATCTTGTGATATAAGTTTAATATTCAATGATACACATGAATTGCCTTCCCATCTCTTGGAATTTAACACAAGGACAACGTCAATGGATTTCCCATGAATTTTTGATGACTAAAAGATTTTCATTACAGTAGGATAAAGAGTCACCTGCAATAACTCAATGAATAGAAATTTTCAATTTTTGAACCAGTGGCTTTTAGGCATAATCTATGAATGGATAAATATATCAATATCTGGGTTGTCTTTACTGAACTCTGTGTATAATTATATTTAATATGATTGTCACATGCAAACATATAGCTATCTAATGTATATATAATTAGTGCTATGGATCTTTAATGTGCCATTCAAAAAATATAATGTTTCAATTTTCTTCTTTATTTTCTTTCTTCTTGAATTACGTGGCTTTGTTGTTTCTGTACTGGACAATAAATAAATAGATTAATAAACTGGATTGATAAGAATGTACTCACAATGGAACACTGACTGATGTAGGTACAGGTTTTGCCATCCCCAGAATATCTTTTCATACAGTTGCATGCTGCCTGCCAGAATAAAGAAACAGCCAGTGTGAGCATATATAATAAACTCTTTCAAGCAGTTACTATAATTTGCTAGGCTAACATCTATGGAAATACACAGGATGCAGAACAATCATTCTAGCCTTTCTTGAGCACATGTCATGTTTTGCCTTTCCTCGTTAGCCTTGAACATAGCCTAGCTCTATTTTCTCACTGTATCCAGGTGCCAGTGCGTTTTGTCAAGCTGAACACATTGAGATCATGCATTCCAATGAATACATTTTTATACTCGCTCAGCCTTACCTTTTCTAAGAAAGAAGAAAGAGGTAATAACAACCTTCCAAGTCTGAGGTCTTTACATGTCACTCCAATCTAGCTTATACAACTCAGTATGAATACAAATACTCAAGAGACCTGGGTTTCCAGGCAACTTACTTTTATTCCGGCTATGAAATCTGCCTTACCATCCTCAAAGTGGGAGCTTTGATTTGGCTTTTCACTGTAAGATGTTGGACTTCATAATGTAATATTCCTTTTATTTATGTATTTCTTTCATTAAAGTGTTTTATCCCATTTCTTAGATAAAAGTCTCAAGGATTGGTTTACATATAATCAGAATAATCCTGCCTACCTGCTTTTGGGGATCATGCAGGGCATAAACTATTTCTTTACTAAGGATAATTAAATAAAGGACTATATCAGCCTATCAAAGCTGGTGTCCCCTAGATGTGTCAGACTGCAAATCCCATGGCAACCGGGAATGATAAGAGTTGCAGCCCATCACATCCAGAAGGCATCAGGCTGGGGAAAGCTGTTTCACAGCTTGTGATTCATTGCTAATGGTTGTCTACTATGGACACTTCTATGAAACGGAAACTTTGCTTACCTGATTGGGCCCAGTGTGAGCACATTCTGCATTTTTATCACATCCACCATTATTCTGCAAGCAGGGGTTGATTTCTTTATGCAATCAAATAATTCATGGAGAAAAAGATGAGTATTATTTCAAAGGAAATCTGTCAATGAAATATACTTGCTTCCAGTAATTCCTTTTGCATTTTACCCAATACGATTCTCTAAAGATTTTCATTTTGATTTGGCCACAAGTGCAAAGCAGGAGAATAATATTTTAGTGGCTTAGGATGGCAGCATCTTACATCTTTCTTGGAGGAAAGCTACAACCTAAATAAAAACTAATTCAAAACTTCTCTCCAATGAATACATTTTTATATGCATACAGCTTTTGACATGGGGGAACTTTGGAACAAACCACCCCCTGTGTGAGTTGTGAAAAGGTTTTTTGTAACTTTTCCTTCTTCTGCACATCTGAATATTGCCTCTAAAAACAGGAAATGCATGTGCAATAATATTGCCTGTGGTTAAGTTCCTGACGTCTCGGCCCATTTCAGAAAGTCTGCAAGCAATACTGGGCTGTTAGCGGGCTATAGTCACACCTGCTTCTGAAGGAAAGGAAAAAGAGCTACACTGAGTGTCCAGACAAGTCCTAATCTTGGGAGTAGCTAACAGTTGCCCCTTAAAGGAGTGAGTCGTGGTTTATGCACCACAGTGAAGGAATACGCAGTGTGCACACCAGCCTTGGCCAACTTGGTGCCTCCAGATGTGCTGCACTACATCTCTCAACATCCCAGGCCACTGGCCATGCTGACCAGGGCCGTTGGGAATGGTAGTTCAAGACCTCTACAGGACACCAGGTTCTGCTGCAGACATTAGTGACAAAGAGTCAGCATTGCGAGCGCTTTCTGCATTTCATGCAGCCTGTATACATGGAGTCAGCACTTACGGAAGCAGACAATTCCATCTCCAGTGTAGCCTGCTTTGCAAACACACACTCTGTTTCCCGGGGTGGTACGTCTACATTCTGCTTTGGCAGAGCAACCTCCATTGTTGGCTTCACAGGCATTGATAGCTGTAAAAGGACACACATATAAGGAGGTGCTCCTCCTCCTCCTCCTCTTCTACCACATTTACACCCCATCATGTTTCCTCTTTCAAGGAACCCAAGGCAGCTTACAAGATTCTCTTCTGCATTTTAATTACACAGTAACAACCCTATGAGAGTCCATGACTGGCCCAAAGTCAACCAGTGATGGGGACTAGAACCCAGATCTCCTAAGTCCCACTTCAACACTGTAACCACTTTACCACCCTGGCTATGGTTGCATTCCTTAAACCACTTCGGATAATCCAAGCATCAAAGATGTGTTTGTTGGCAAAGACGGGTTGGCTGAAATACACTTGACAAAAGACTGCAACCCAAGATCTTTGGCAAGGTTACCTATATACTATAGCACATATATTTGCAAACATGTATTTGTGCATCTGTAACTCACTGTATGTGTATACCAGCCTTATATGTCTTAGGAGCAGAAAGACCACATTACTGCATACAGACCCACCCAGGTTCTCAAATCTATGGAGGAGGCCCTTCTGTTGGCCTCACTATCATTGAAGGCATGTTTGGTGAGGACAGGAGAGAGGGCTATGGGTCCCCATGCCAAGGGAAGCCAGGCTGGCTCCCTCTATGAGAAAGCAGAGAAGACCTTTGGCATTCAAGCTGATCTGTTCTGAAATTGCTTCTTTTAAACTGAGTGCTGATTTTATTTCTTGTATTGTATTTTAATTGTGTTTTAATTTATTAGCTTTTTTTCCTAGAGTTCTAACTAAGTTTATTTTAATACTGGTTTTATTTGTATGTTTGCTGCCTTGGGCACCAGTTTTTGGGGGAAGGCAGGGCATCCATCAATCATCCCTCAATCACACAAATGTAGTGTTATTCTAGACTGGTTGATTGTATGGGAACTGATGGGAGATAGTTTCTTGATGACTGAAGAAGAGCACTGAAAGCACACAGTCATCTGAATATGGGGAAAGTGATCCTTTTGAGAGGAGAAGAGCACTGATAATGTTGCATGAGTGAAGAAACAACAGAATTGCAATTTAGGGCTGAGAGAGATGGAGTTGGAAGCACCCTGGGAGGAGGGGTCCAAGCACATCTTTGCAACAGGAGCAGCACTCCAAGCACCTTGTAGGAGGGCCTGCACTTATGTTCTACTTGCAAATTTGAAAGCAAATTAAATGATACAAAACCCCTATAGACCTCCAGTACTTTATCCTCCAAAAGGAACCCAACACAGGCTAAGCTGCTCCTGAAATTTCTACTTGCTGGAATAAGTGGGGAGCACTCAGTCCTAGCAATGAGTGATGGAGCTATCCTGCTGAAAACAGGAGGAAGGACTACAGCTCTGTGGCAGAGCACCTGCGTTGCAACCAGAAGGTCCCGGGTTCAATCCTGGCATCTCCAGGTAGTGTAGGAAAAACACCTGCCTGAAACCCTGGAGGCCTGCTGGTTAGTGTTGGTTACTGTGGAATGTATAGGGTAAAACACCTTTATGTGTTTGTGCATGGGACCAGGAATTCTGATGCTTTTCCATTTCTTTTGTGAGCACAAGGAACCGTTCAGCACAGGGACATCCCCAGGAAAGAGAATGGAGCAGAATACAGGAAGCACCATATGACCTATGCTTGAAGCTATCCAGAAGAACATCTTCCATGCCACTGCAATTGCACATTCTGTTTTGTGAGACTGTTCTTTCGCCTGTTGCATCAGTACACTAACTCCATGGAATGTGAGACGTCTGAAAACCCCGACCCCAGACTAGAGATTACAGGCCCTGTCACTTGCAGAGAATGAGAAACAGGGACTGCAGCCTCTGAGCTTGGGCTATGCTTGGGTTATGCAGTCTCAGGCATGGCAGACTGCATGGAACTGATGAAGTGGTTGTATCCATGCCAAAGGACTTCCCTTTTAAGGCTATCAACCCTTCAGCAAAGGATTGGAGCAGACTTCCACAAACTGGTGTCCCACCTTTCATTCATCCCCAGCCAGGAACCATGATAATGTTTCTGGGGATGTAGTCCAACACACATAAATGGACCAAGTTGGGGAAGATTGCTTTAGAATGTGAGAAGTCTGAGGAAGCATAAAGGATTCCATTGAGGAGAAGGTCTCCGTATTACTTGACCTGTCCCTGGGCTCTGTCCAGGGTGCTGAAAGTCCTGCTACAGACTGCCCACATTTTCCAGCAAAGGATCCCTGATGAAATGCTTCTGCTCTCTTTTTTTTGCTCTAGGGTGTATCTTTCTGACTCACTCATGAGCTCTTCATTGCTCAGACAGGACAAACTGTGCAAAATATTCTAGCTGTCAAGGATGTCTGTTTCATTTATTTAAATCTGTATTTATTCCACCCACCAACTGTTCATTTTAAACAAATTGGAAATGATTCCTGCTCTCAAATGAGCATATGAAAATGATTCTACTGCCTACCATACCAACTTCTCTGTGCATAACACAAAATATCTGTTAATGGGCAGATCAAAATATTAGAAATAACTACAGGCATACATGTATTAAAACCTATCTGGCCCAGCTAACATGAGCGAAGTCTACTTGCCTGTACAGTATGTTCCATTTCCTTGAAAGCCAGCTGCACACTTGCAATATGCTGCTCCTCCAGGATTGAGAAAGCAGCTAAGATAGAAAAAAGAAGGAAAGTAACATAGAGCCCACGACATCCATTCCGTAGCATCACGACTGCTGTTCCACCCTATATTCTTCCAAAAGAGTTAGTGAACCCATGAAGCACAAAGAATTAGGAACTCCTGTGCAGCAGGGAAAGCAGAAACTGTGGTACTTTTTTGATGCCTGAAGAAAATCCACTTGTTCAACTAGGCTTTCTTTTACTCATACTTCATTGTTGTAATTGATCCTATGCTGTTTATCTTTTATTGTTACTGTAGTTAAATCTGTTCTAATTGCGTATTTTAAAAATTGTTATTAATATTTATATGTAAACCAAAACTTTTATTACATTTATTAATTTATCACATTTGTATGCTGCCTTATAGCCAAAGTCTCTCTGTGTGGCTCACAGCGCAATATAAAATATGAATGAAAATAAACAGCATTAGCAAACCAAAAACCATAAACAAATAGGATTAAAATACAATATAAATACAACAGATACATAGGATAGGAGGAAATAAACATAATAAACCAATAACAACAAGCAATAAAACAATGAAAGAATAAGCCAGCAGCAAATGAAGTCCAATCTGGAAACAAAAACTAAAAAAAAAATTCTTGACTTGGTGCTGAAAACGAGATGAGGTGGGTGCCAGTCACACCTCCCTTGCAAGGGAGCTGCAAAGGGGAGGTATGACAACAGAGAAGACCCTTTTCTTTGCCAACTCCCCCCTCACCTCACTGGGGGAGGCTTTGCGAAGCAGGGTGATCTGGTATGGATATATGGAAACTGTATATATTATAAGAATAAATCAATAAAAAGAGAAGTACTGCTGACATGTGAGGTTTGCAGTATGATGCTACAGTGTGGAGTGCTCCTCTTCAGGATGCCAGCTGCCCCTTTCGTATGGTGCCTGCCAGCAGTCAGCCTGCTCCATAAAGCTGTGCCCACAAGAACGTCAAAATATGAAGCCAGTTCAGATCTTAGGATGAACCTCATATCAGTCCTTTCATTACTTTGAGCTGGTTTGTGTATGTTTTAATAGTGATCTTGCTATTAAATACTCTGATTTAAATAATCTATTCCACTTAATTTATTTGATTTGGGATTTAAAATTATGTTATATAATTTTTATTATGTTATTGACCTTGTGAAAACTATGTCTCAGAAGTTGGAATACAAACAAGTAAATAACACATAAATAAGCCTAGTTTCGATATACCTCCTCCTGCCCTACTCCACCTCCAAATGTATTGCTATATTTACTGGGAAAAAGTTCTCTCTGAATGCACTCTAATTCTTATTAATTTGTTTTTTATAATACATACTTGGCACTGGTGTGGCAGGTACTATTGCATTCATCATCAGTGATTTCTGGGGGTAAGAAGGAAAATGCCTTCTGTTAGTCATTGTTCTACAACCATTGCTTGATAACCGCTCCTTTATCCTGCCTATTTGAGAGCTCATTTATGTGTACAGAATTCTCTGGATCTGGATTATACTACTTCAGAACCGAGATGGGGGTTTGCATATCTGAGTGCTTCTCCACCCCTTCCATAGAATGGAGAAGGCTAGAATGAAGCCCTTCTCTTGTATAAGAGTTTTTGCATTTGTACGGGAGGAAGATTGAATTTATTTGATGTGTGATTCTGCTGGAAGTGCGGAGCTGCCATGAGTAGAGATTTCATCATCATCATCATCATCATCATCATCATCATCATCCTGAGCACACTGGCACTGTGTGGCTCAAAAAAAAAAAGATTATAAAGCAGTATCTGTAGATATGCATTCTAATTGTTTGAATGATTTTTCCTCTATAAATTTGTCCAGTCCAAGGGAGCTTCCCTGGTGTCAGTCATCCCATATTGGAAAATAACTGTGGACTGTGCATGAATCTTTCTGATCTCTCCAAGTCCAACCAGCACATGATGGGCACATCATAGTCAAAGTCAACACAGGTCAGCTTTTCCACCTTGTGACGTTGGTACACTGGCAACATGTTGGAATTCCATTCCTATCCAGCCGGCGTGGAGGGTAGGTTGGAGAATGCTTCCATACAGCATTGCAAGAGGACTATTATTATTTCCAATTCAAGCTCTGCTACTTCCCCTGTTACTTCCAATTCAAGCTCTGATTTGACTGAGAGCACTTTCTTTGCTCAGTCACAAGCCCAGAAGTGCAAGAAGCTCCTATTTCAATGAGCACCAAGTTAACGTTAATGGAGTGAAATTAGTTACATTTGGTTTTCTTGTGTGTGTCCTGTTTCCTCATCATCCTTCTGCCCCTCTTTGCTGCCTTGCCACCTAATTCTGAGAAGTGGAAGCTGCTTGTTCTCCATGAGTTGTTGGCCACAGTGCCAAATACGCTGGGCATAGGAATGTGCTGTCTTGCTTCTCAAGGACATCAGCACATACTCTAAGCTTGTTCTTAGGAATAAGGTGTGCCTTGGTGCAGGTGTGTCCTTCTCCCTCCCTTTCTCCTTTTTTCTTGGTGCTTCTAAGTTTCAGTACAAGAGCACAATCAACTTCCAAGCAGAAGGGCAGCCAACAATGGGAGAACGAGGATTAAAACAGGTCTGAAGGGATAAACCAGGCAACAGCATCTTGGAGAGAATGCAGGTGAGGTGCAGAGTATGCGTTCTGAATGAGCTGAAGGCCTAATCTGAGGGACACGGTTAGCAATTAAGCCAAGCTAGCAAGCAGCAGAAAAGCACTGCTTTCTGTGGGAGGGACTCTTCTGCAAATGCAGTTGGACAAACGGGCACAGGGGCATGTCATTTAAAGCATGGAGGATCTTTGAAAGAAGAGGGAGCCTGCACAGCCTTGATGGTAACATGACTCATCAGAGCCTGAGTTCTAATCTTGTGGCCTCAAATAGCAGCTCAGAGGATGGATAGTAGCCGCACTTACGATTATCACATCGTACCCCTCTCCAGCCAACATCACAGTCACAAGTGCCATCTCCTGTAATGCCGCTGTTACATTTCCCATGGATGCAGAGACAGTCTAAATGCAAAGAGAAGATTTAAACTTTAAAGTCTCACACCATTCAAGCAGCAGGCATTTATGCTAAGAGCTACCTTATGTTCTCAGTTCAGATGGTTTTATATCCACGAAAGAATGGCTTACTTATTCTGTTTTGTACATGTAGGAGTCATTGCCATACCTATGTTGGTTGAAAAAATTGATTACCCAGATTATAGCCTTTAAAGTACATTGCATAGGACTTTGTGTGAACAGAAACTGCCTTCTTCCTTCAGAGTCACAGTAACTTTCAAAATCCAACAGAGTAAATGAATCATCTCTCCATAGCCTGGAACCTGAAGTACCTTGATCACAGTTGCTGCTGTATTTGCCTTGGATGCAGCTGTTGCAGGCCACTCCCTGGAACCCTGCTTCACACTCACAAGATCCTGTGCCATTGATGCCATCCAAGCAAATTCCATTTTCAAAGCAAGCCTTTCCAACAAGCCCTGGGCAAGGCTCACACTGTGGGCCATAGAAACCTGCGCAACATTCTCTGGTCTGAAAAGAAATAGATGGTGCAAGGCAAACCCCAATTTTGTGGAAGACAATATAACTAGAATTAGGATGTATCAGGAAATCCCTGCAGATTAAGGCTAGAACTTGTAACTTCCCAATCAACAGTACCATACACACATATCTCTTGTAATATTATTAGATGTTAATTGTAATAGCCAATTCTCAGCATTCTCTCTCTTGGTTACACATTTGGTTACACAGGAGTGTCATATGCTGTGGGCCAAAACTGGCTTGCTTGGGTCTACATCTACCCTTACAGGCTTTCTCAGATGGCCATGTAGCCTCCCTGGTTCTACCTTCTCCCAGCTGCAGGTTGTTTGATGGTTTCCTGCCATTTGTGCAATTTACCCAATTTTAAGAAGTTGCAATGCCTCTGCTAAGACTTCGTCACTTCAGTAAGAGCTTTAAAGTACAATATGCCAGTACTCTTAGTATTGTTGCTTTCAGCCTGGCCCATCATAGGAATGGAGCTTCTCCAATACTGAATTCAGCCCTTGGGTTGAAAGCTTTTGACACATCTGCTCTAGCAGCATCATGCTAGCATGGAAGAAATACAGAAACAGAACTCACAATTACACTTTTACTACATTTTGGCTGGCATCCAGCATGAAGAGACATCCTGTAGTAGTGGAGATAAAAGCAGACCTGTTTCTTCCCTGGCTGTGCAAAAGAAAACCAGAACTTTTTTATTAGAAAAATGATTTATACTTAAAATGTTGCAACAAAATCAAATTTAGAATAGTTTTCTGTAAAACATTCGGTTAGTGAAAATCCTGCGTAACATTTTCCACTGAAAAACATGTATTTCATTTTCAGAATAATGATGCATTAGCAGAGCATTAATTCAGGCAAAATATTCTGGCCAAAAATAAGCTGCATTTGCCAGATGTCTATCAAATAAACATCTTGAAATGAAGCCAGTTCAATAGACTGCATATATTGCATACATATGGCCCACTTCTTCCCCATTTAGCCCCATTGTCTGGCCATTTCTTGCTATGGGAAACCTGTAGCTGCCACATGCAGGTGTGTCTGATCATCTTGCTTCTATCTGGATCACTTGCAGAAGCTAAGGAAGCTCGGAATGTAAATGCTTTGCATGTTGGGAACTGTAGGGCTCTGACCCACACATTGGAGAAGCACATAAGCCAGTGTGGTGCAGTGGTTAAGAGTGTGGGACTGGGACTCAGGTGACCCAGGTTCGAGTCCCCGCTCAGCCATGGAGCCAACTGGGTGACTTTGGGCCAGTCACAGACTCTCAGCCCAACCTACCTCACAGGGTTGTTGTTGTGGGGATAAGTTGGAGGAGGGGAATGATGAAGCTGCCTTGAGCCCTTTGTAGGAAAAAGGCAGGATATAAATTGAAAAATAAATAAGATAAAATAAAATAAGAGCAGGGGACAGATTCCCCCTCCATTTCTCTTTCCCCCAAGTCTGTGAACACACACAGCCAAGTGTTGTATGGCAATGATGGACAGAAGCTAGACCTCCAGATGTGTGGAACATCCATTCCCAGAAGCCCCTGCCAGCATGGCCAATGGTCAGGAATGCTGGAAGATGAAGTCCGGAAATTACTTTCTGACCATGCCTGAGGGTACAACTGTAGAGACTCAATGGAACCCACATGAAAGGGGCATAATATATACATGCATATCTAAAAGTAATCTATTTACAGTAATGCCATTCTGTGATGCTTACCACTGGTGTAGTTCCAAGAGGACAGCTAGGGGCGTATGAACAGGACAAACACTTCCCCTTAAAAACAGAATGAAAATACATTTGTAGAACAAAGGGTCACACTGTGCACTTCTGTACAGCTAATGAATGAATGAAACCCCGAATGAAACCCTGAATAATTTCTGAATGAAACCCTGGATGTATGTCACCCATTCTCAGCAGAAATAAAATGAAGGGATAATGAGAGCCACATTGAATGGCAATGTGCCATTTTAATCTCCACTGAGTCATAACACTCATGTGATAACCTCGCCCTCTCAGCTTAAGCCTACCTCACAGGGTTATTATGAGGATAAGCTAGGAGGAAATGATTCATAGGTGAAGATCCTTGCAAGAGGGGCAGAATAGCCCCTCTTGCAAGGATCATTAGCAAGGATGCCCCATTAGCAAGGGGCAGAATAGCCCGTCTTGCAAGGATCATTAGCTATCATCATTAGTGTGATAGCTAATGTGTTGCAATACAAGTTTGGATGTGTATTTTCAAGAAAACCTGGATGCCCAAGTTTTGACAATGGACAGGAGTGCGTTGGCCCAACTGTGTACATTCCTAGACGCATCAGATCTGTCCACAGTCAAAGATGCCTTAGTTACATCCTGTTTGGACTTCTGTGAGGTCCTGCCTTTAAAATGGTCCAGACACTTCAGCGGGTCCAGAATGCTGTGGCCGGAGTGCTGACTGGGGATGCCTACAGGCAGCAGGCACTTCCTCTGTTACAGGCTACTGATCTAGTTTTGGGCAGAATTCAACATGCTGGTTATGAGGACCTATAAATCTTTTCACACCTTGGGATCAGGCTACCTGAAAAACCTCCATCTCCCACATGAGAGCATCCCTTAAGATCGTCTGGAGAGGCCCTTTGCCTGAGACCACCACCTTCAAGTTGCCTCAGTAGCAAAATGAAAAGGTCCTTCCCAATGGCCACTCCCTGGCAGAAGAACCCCCTGCAGAGGGAGCTGAGCGCCACCACCCTCTCTCTTTCCCTCCTGCCAGCAAGCAAAGGCCACTTCAGTCAAGCACAGCTTTGGCACGCAAGGGTCTCTCTTTGGCTGCATGCTGCATTTTCTGCATCACCCTTCTGGTTTTTAATTTGGTTTTCATGTATTTGCATATTATTGTTTTTATCAGGTTTTATAAGTGAGGGTAAGTTTTTTAAGGAATTACATTAGTGACTGTAAGATTTATTGTAACTGATTGTAAGTTTTATTAGTGATTAAGTTTTTGGTAGCAAGGCATAGTACAAATATATAGATAGATGGATGAATAGACAGATAGACAGACAGACAGACAGTTAATAGATGAAATATCATCAGAGGTCAGTACATCAGCTTGCAGCTTGACATGCTCTCATTTCATTTACTATATCAAGTTTGAAGGGGATAAATGTTTCTTGTGTATGTCATTTACATTTTCTATTGGAAGGGTGCAATCCTATGCAATTTTAGACAGAAAAAGGGCCTACAAGTCCCAGCTAGCACTGCTGATGGAAGCTTGGTGGGAGTTGCATAGTTTTCTCTGTCAAGAGTTACACAGGATTACACCTTCTGCATCTAAAAGAGCTGCAGTAGCTTTAAGAACAAGCAAAATGAAATGCTCATCTTACTCACTGCTCGATCCTCTAGAAACAGGGAGAACAAGAACATTAAAAGATCCTGATGTCTGAGAACACGAAGAACCATTGCAAGTAGGAGCAGAGCACATTGCGATGGACCGTTCAACAGTCTCTGGGACTATAAGGTAATGAGGGGTACAGCCAGGTAATTTTAGACCTTCCCCAACTGGTGCTTTCCAAATGTTTTGGACTTCAACTTCCATTAGGCCCAGTGAGTTTGACTAGCAGTCAGGGATCCTGGGAGCTACAGCACAAATTATCTGGTAGATACAAAACTGGAGAAGCCTTCCTTGCATCCCATCATCTTCAGGAGCCATCTTCAGAGAGGCATGTGTCTTACAAGTAAGTTGAGTAGGGAAGTGCCAACTACCATTTCTTTTTTCCTCCAACACCCAAATCTCATGCTTTATAACTGCTTCTACATTCTTGACATTCTTGGATGTTAGGGCAAAATAACCAAACAAAAAACATCCCAAACATGCACACTTTAAACTCAGGGAAAACTGAACACCGTCATGACTTCAGGAATGAAATGGAGCTTGCACCTGCTGCCTTAAACACATCTGCTTGGGTTCTTGTTGTGGAAAGGTATAAAACATTTTTAAAGTGAGATCAACGAAAAGGAGATTAGTAACCAGGCACTTGCCTAGTTGGCTGCCCCATGACTATAAAATTCTTTAAAATGCTTGGTTGCGGCAATGAGCAGTGCCCTGCAGTGCCCCTGGAATGCCCATGCCAGCCTAGTTGTCAATGCCAAGACAGAGCTGTTCTTGTTGCCGCCCCAATGATTTGCCCCTCTGGTCAGTCCTTCGGGGAATCCTTAGCCTCTTGGGCCCTGGACTCTGCCACGAGGTCCAGCCTGAGCTGCACCAGGAAAGGCAATTTCAAACTCTCCCTGGCTCTGTACTTCTGTCACTCAAGCTAGGCAATGCTAGATCAATGGAAGTGGTTTAATTATCTGAAGTGTGTTAAAAGACTTTATTGTCTTAATGTTACTATGTTGCAAATTGATTTTACAGTATTGCTCCCAAATTGCAAAGTCAAAATGTATTTTCCTGCAAGGTCTATTGAGAAACTCAGGGTTGGGTTTTCAGAATATACTCACTGGGATAATGGAATGAATTAATCATAACTAGTTTAAGTCCCATTGAGTTTAATTAATCTACTTGGTCTGACTCAAACTCTATATATTTTAAATAAGTAGCAATTATATTAAAACAACACAAACACTTCTAACACACACACAGACACAGACAGGGGAAGGGGGTGAGGGCACAACTTACTGATACAATTACAGTAACATTGCTATCACATCTGTTCTTCTCGATTTCCATTACTCTTCCCAAGCCATGGATTATTCCTTTATCAGTTGCAACATTGGGATAATTTATAGGTGCCTCATTTATGTAGAGCTATGTACAAAATGTTATCAGTTTAGAACACATTAGACAGGCACATTTAAATGAATATTTTATAGAAAAAATGTATCTTGCTCTGCTGGTGACTAATAGTAGACATTGCACAAGTAAGCATCAAAGTGAAAGGTGGAAACAGCAGAAATCACACATTTCTGAAAACGCTGCATCTCCAAGAACTTCAGGCCATGCTTATCTTTGAACATATCCTTAAACTTAGTGCAGCACTTGGCCCATCTGCACTGGCATTGCGTGGCAATGCTCACTAATCCGTAATGTGTCTTGGTGGGTGTGCAGCTGGGGAGGGGGCGGGCTGCACAGCCCATTCCCAAGTTGATCCTTTCTTCCATTTTTCTTTCTTCATCCCTATGGGCAAACACTGGAAGCTCTTGAACTCAGAGGCCTATGGTTGCCCAGGGCTGAGCAGGAGGGCAGCTAGGCGCTTGCCTACTTGTTCTCTGCCCTGCACTTTGCTTTTCTGGCTGTCAGGAGGCCAGAGAAGAATCAGGACAGTCGTATCCTGGCCTCGGTGAGCCCCTCTCCACTCCCTACAAAGCTCTCTCTTCCCTCTCTTCAAGGCTGCTTTTCTGACCTGAGAGAAAGTTGGTGCTGTTCCCAACTTTAGATCAGAATATCTGAAATACGCTACGGTTCCTCAGCTGCTGTCTAGGGGGCCCAGGATTGAACCACCCATACACCGAGGTGCACAACCAACCAAACATGATAAGACAAGTAATTTGCAGCCATCTATTATGCTTTAACACTCTTCCCCATTTTGTCTAGACAAGCATTAGGCAAAATGGTGTCCTTTGGACAGTTGGGAACACAATCCCATCATGTCCAGCCAAAAGTCAGGGATGATGGGAGTTTCAGTCCAAAAACATCCAGAGGGTGTCTGGTTGCCTGTCGAGAAAGATCACCATCCTGGTCAGAAATTCAGCCTTGCTGCAGCAAAAATCGAACCCTTACAATAGATAACCTCTGCTTGAGGCCAGAAGTTAATGTTGACTCATTTGCCCTCCATCCCACTTTCTGAACTCTCACTCAGCACTTAGTGTGCCTGCTTAATGTGTACATTTGGTGTGTGGCCTCATTAGTGGGGAGTGTAAATACACTTACACAATGGCGACCCAGCTGACCTCGACTTAAAATCCTGCTTATTGCACCTTTCGGCAATGCAGTCAATTAAGTAAGTATAAATCCTATCCTAGATCTGGCATTTAGATAAATGGGCGACAAAAAACTCTCCCATCATCACCATCATCTGGCTTTATAGACGGCACCTGAGCATCGTGAAAGGAGAATCCCACTCGAAATGACAATCCAAGCATGGTCTCCCTGAACATCCCATTATGCATGTCGTTCTTCAAAAGCTTCTCTTCCAGAATAACATGGTATCTGATATGATCTTCCTCCTGCAGATCAAATTAAGAATACATGTCAAATGGATAGATTTCCAGGCTTGCTATGGCAACGACAGTTCTCAGCAGCCATCAGCACCCAGAAGGGTTCATTATCAATTACTCTTAGGCTGAAATACAGCTAATGTCCTTTTTAAAATATAGTTTTAATGGCAGTATGAAAGGGATGTACTTGTCTGTGATTTTAATGCTCATCACTATCACTGTCTCGTAAAAGGATTTCTAATTCTTCATAAGCCTGCAAACTCTATTTTAGCAAAAGCACCCATGGAATGAGTGTGCACACATAGGTAACAATGAATAATTATTTAATAAGAACTCAGGAAGCAAGTATTTAATAAGCACTTGATTATCTAGGTGCTGTACTAAATTTTTAAAAAAGAAGCATAAACCTGGACCTGTTCACAGGCTTATAGTCTAAGAAACAAAGTCTATTCTATGTTATTAGCAACAGAAAAACAATTGGAGGGTAAGAAAATAACAAGGTGTTTTTGAGCAGAAAATCCGTAAACAGGGAAGGGGTTAAGAAACCTCCTGCTTTTGTTTTCATCTCTTTCTCTAGACTTCATGATCTGTATCTGGCTTGAGAATCATTTTCTTGATAAAAAAGGAGGGTAAAAATCACACCAATTCAACATTAGTCATTCAGGGAAAACTGCATGTGGCTAAAGAACACATGGCAGCCGGGACTTAAATTCTCTCATTTACCATTTTTGTTGTCTCCTATATAGTCTGTAAGGACTTAATATATCACCTTGGTTGCACATATTTGATCAAAGCAAAAGGAGGAGTCATCCTTTTGGCTTTGGTGCCAGTAGAGCGTGAGATTGTTTCATCACTGCAGGGGGTCACACTGCATGTGACACCCATTTTGCCTTGTTGCACCCCAAGAGACTGCTCTCTTCCTTCATCATGCAGTTCAAATCCAACAATGCCGCGAACAGCCCAACTCCATGCTATTGATTGTGTCCTCTAAGAACTGTGATTCCCAGTGCCAGCTCAAGTTTTGAGGTTCTTGGGCAAGAGACCCTCAGTAGGTCTCTCTCATCAACCCTGCCGCCTTCTGCTCTTGCTTCTGCTCCTCTTCCTCATCATAGCCCCTGCTTGCTTGCAGAACAAGAAGGAGCCAGCAAGGAAGCAGGTCAGCAGAAGCCTCTCCTGCTTCTCCAACTCACCACCTCCGCTGCCTGTGCCAGAGCAAGAGGCAAGTGAATGAGAAGGTTAAACTGGGGAGAGGAGGGGAACAAGAGCCCACTGCAGGTTCCCCTTTATGTTTGCCCTTAATGCTGGCCCCAGTGCCCTCCTATTTCCACCTTACTAGCAGTCATGCAAAACAAATCCTTCTGATGCACATTTAGATATTTTGGCAGAGACAGAAGTAGGAACGGTCATGAAAGAGGAAAAGCAAGAGCAATTGAATGAGTCTTGTAAATGGTTGCTTATGACCCATGTGTGGGTCACAGAACGTCATGTGTCACTGCCCTTTGGGATCGATGTACACCAATGATGTGCAGCCCAAGGGATAAAGGAGGGTTTGGGTTACCGTCCAAAGCCAAGACATCGTTCTGCTGCCAGTTCTCAAGTGGCAGACTCAGCGCATTTGTGCCTTTCAACCAGCTCTTGCAGCACCTGTGCCGGCCGCTGCTATGTTCACTGGTGCAGAGAAAGGAACAGAATAGGCATGGCAGGAGAATGTTTTGCCCCGAGTCTACTAGCATCATGGCACTTCCTTTTCATTTATTGCATTTCCAGTTTTGTTAGGAAACACCAGGTAGGCAGTGACAAAGAGTTCTGTTTTGGATGTGGCCTAAGAGAATGCTTGGAAACCAATACATACCATAGAAGTCAATTCTTTATTCTTGAGAAAATTTTCAATGGCATCATTATTTGGGGCAAAAATGGTGTAAGCACTCGCTGCTTCTATTTCAGCTGCCAATTTATAGTGCTGTTGTAAAAAAAAAAAAGGCAAATGCATAATTTAAACAGGTGTATTTACAGATCTAATGAAGTGTCCCAGTTCAAATCAAAGGTGGATACTTGCAATAATATAACCCCTGAAAATGGAGTAGTCTGGCATCTGTTCCAAGCGAGGAAGCAGTTTTGGCAATGTGCCACTTATTCCTCTGAGGGGTGTCAGCACCTGCAAAACAAACAAACAAACAAAAAAACTCCAAAAGACACACGGGCAATTTCAAACAATCTGCATTGCTGCAACTGCAACACTGGGAAAAATGCAACATAAAATAATTTGGGGACATTTCTTTTGATTTTATGTAACAGTCATTCCCAGCTGTTTCTATCAGGAGTGTAGAACTTCTTTCAGCTTCAAGGCCAAATTCAATTATAGGAGAAGCTCTCAGGGGTCAGAGACCAGTGGTTTGCAGGCATGGGAAACCACTAAATAGTTTCTGGGAAAGGGTTCTAGACATTTGAAGAACCCAGAAGGGCTGGAGTGGGACCTCAGGCTGGCCATATAGGGGCCGCAGGACTGAGAAACAACATTTCTGATTTATCTTAGAAAATACCTTATTGATTACATGTATAATCCCATTGGTTGCTGCAATATCACCAGCTACAATTTTGGCTCCACCCACAGAGAGGCTCTGGAAAGAAGAAGACAGAGAAATAACTTAGTTTGATTTAAGAATTGTACCAGTCTTCTGATCACAGCTGGGAGATGGGAAGCTTCCTTATGCCAAGGAAGACTACTGGTCTATTTAACTCAGTATTATCTCAGTATTAACTCAGAAATTTGCTGACTGCAAGAGCAGTACAACAATTGAACCAATGACCAAGGCAGGTCGTGGGCTCTCCCACACTGGAGGCATTCAGGATGCAGCTGAACAGCCATCCGAAAGGAATGGTTTAACTTGGAGCCTTGCACTGAGCAGAGGGTTGGGCCCAACTCTCCTCTTCTATAATTCCATGATTCCCCAGTGACTGCTGCATGTAGCTACTGCTTCTGATACTAGAGGCAGCATATAGCCATGAAGATGAGTAACCATCGATTCCTCCATTTATTCTTCTAATTCCCATTTTAAAGCCATCAGTACATCTGGTAGTAATGAATCCCATAGTTTAATTATGTGTGAAATACATCTTTTTATCTGTCCTAAATCTCCCACTAATCATCTTCATGGAACATGATGTTTATCTGTATTACTGTTCTCCCCTGCTTGTCCTTTGATCAATTTTTGTGGTTTTATTGCATTTTCATTGCATCCCACTTCAGAATTACTTTATCATGAAAAGTGGGCAATAGATTTCATAAATAGTTAAAATAAACAAAAAACAGCAGGCTATTTAAATACAAAAGGATAGCAGCTAAAGTTTTTCTCTTAGCACATCAAAGAGGACTAGCCTGAATGTGAAGGAATATAGAATACTGGAACACTTACTCCACTTTGATTGGACAATGGCACGAAACTGCCACCCAATGATATTGCCAGCCCATCAGAGGATGATAGATCTTGGAGGTCAGCCGTGGTGTATACGCCCTCTAATACATGACTCCTGATGGAAATACAGCAACGTTCAAATGGTGCCCCAATCAGAGCTCTTTGTATTTACCCGCATTCAGAGACATGGGCACCTGGTTGAATACCATCTGCACTGGAAGCAATTCATACATCACAACTGCACCATGGGAGCTGTATCCATCGCCAGCACACCAGCTGGTCAGCTGTACCTTGGAACCATGTTGATGGGACCAATGCAATGGATTCCCACCAGCTGAACATTATCCTCACGGTCTGCTGGGCAATGAGCACAAATAAGCAATGAGGAGGAAAAGAGAAGAAGGAGCAGCCTGGTTTGGCTATGCTTCCAAAGTATCTTGCAACTAGACAACCTTAAACTGGCAACTAATGCTACATAAGAGCTTTGGACCTCTGTCTGGCTCATTCCAAGGGAACAGTCATTCTGTGTTTGCTGGCTGTTATACCTTCTGCATGGATTTCAAACAACTGGACTAACAAGATGCTTTTTCTCCTGGACTTGTCACATATTCTGGAACTTTGATGATTTATATTCTGTAAAACCTGTTACAGAATATAATGCTAGTCTTCTCAGGGCCCGTGGATTAATGTTTGCTATGAACTGTGCTCCTCTGGCTTCGATTGCCCAGAGTACCTTCTGGTTTGGACTATGAGTAACAATTCTAGGTACCAGGATATGCCAAGTGTGCTTCTCTGTAGAAGCTCTGTGGGAAACTTCTCTGCTGCTCAAGACTCCTTTCTGTCTGGTTAATTCCTGAATCCTTGGACCTACTTTCACTTGGATCCCAGAAGTGTGAGATCCTGAAATATGATGCAAATCTCAATAAACCAGGACTCTGCCTTGTTGTCACTTATTCTTGTATCCTAGAACCTGGGTCAGCTTGGGACTGTGGTGGTTAGAAATTTTGCATTTGGGACTGTTTCCATCACCCAGGGATCTTGAGTTAGTTGAATAGTAGTTGATGAAGTTGTTTATATACATCATGGTTTAAACTAGTGCTGTGAGACCACTGGATATTGCCCACAGTGTAGTTTACAAAACCATGTACGATATAAACAGAATCATGAGAATGACCACAAAAAACACTTAACCTACTTTGTTAGGGTTAGCATGTTGTTTTCTGACATCCAAAAGGCTCGTTCATCTCGGTCCATGCTTTGAATTGCTTGGCGAGAAGGCACAAGGATGGTTAGATTTGTCCGGTCTGTCAGGAGTGTCTTTATTGCAGCTGTCATCTGAATGAACCACAGGACGAAATGCATAATTTTTAATATGCTTATATTATAAATTCTCCTACAGAGCAGCACCTGCATCTAGAGGTTTCCTGTAGTGGAAAGGCCTATGCAAGGAAAAAGACTAGTTATCAAAAATCAAGATTTCCCAAAGGAAACCAAATCAGTTCGTTTTCTCTTCCGAAGTAACAATTCAGGACAGAATCTTCTCATCTTCTAAGAGTGGAGAACAAAATACTAGAGCATGGATAGCAACTAGTACCTTCCAGATGTTTTGGCCTACAACTGCCATCAGTGCCAGACAGCATGGGCAATGCTGAGAGTTCATGGGAGGTGTAGGCCAAAACATCTGAAGGGCCATATGTTATCCACTCCTGGGGCCTTCCTTTGATTGCTACCTCTGAGGGAGGTAGCAGTCCAGAAGCGACCATTTCTGCTTATTGCAGGACTTCCTTTAGGAAGCATTAAATTGCCTTTGCACAAGCAGAGGCTCTTGCTTGCGCACAGAAGGGGGGTCCCTTGCAGAGCAGCCCCCTTGCATATTGTCCTTTGTGATTCTCTAGTCCATCTCTGCAGATTTGTAAAAGAGCCACAGTTTAAATTGGTGAAGAATCTCATTAGTTTCCACTCAGCCCTCCTTGAAACCCAAACAGGGATGCCAATCTTTTCTCCACGTGGAGAAAAGGTCTAGGAGGAAGGAGAGCAACTTAATAAGAGGGAGGCAGCCAAACGGATGCTTCTGATTATTAACCTGGTACCATCCCCTGCTCTAAGCACCAGGAAGGGGCAGATCTATGGTGGATCCTCTATACTTCTTATATGCAAGCTGTTCTGTGAAAAAGTTCTGCTTAGCCTTAAAAAAAAGTGTGGGCTCATATTCCTATGTTCAGTCAAACAGAAAGCACTTAACTCATGCAAAATCCCGCCAGAAGTCCTTTACTTAAAGGAAGGCAGATTTCAGCTGGACATCAAGAAAAGCTTTGGGACTGTTAGAGCAACGTGAGAATGGAACTAATGACCTGGGGAGGTCATGAACTCTCCTGCTTGGGAGGCATTCGAGATGCAGCTGGAAAGTGGCAGGGATGCTTTGCACTGAGGTTGGACCTGATGGTCTTATTGGCCCCTTCTCACTCTACTATGCTATGATTCTATGAAACCCACATTTTTGGGGGATGGGGGTGATAATTAATACGGGTGCTGGCAGGGAAATTCTTGCAGCCTGAGGGCTGAGTTCAGTATCAGCTTGGGGATTGCATTCCAGTGGGAGATAGGACCACAAATGGGGCAGGGTCAAAATGCAAAGAAATCCAGCATACGTTCCTCTAAAGCCTTCACTGCCAGGTGTTTCAAAGTATTTGAATGGGGTAGAGGTCCACGCCAAGCTGTGAAACTCCCAAACAATCAGTAGTTGGGCGAATGGTGTGTCAACAACTACAGAACCCCGGAGGCTGGATTGGGACCCCAGGATGGCCAGGTTTGGCCCCTGGGCTTGCAGTTCTCGCCCCCTGAATAAGAGGAACCCAGTCCAGTGTCATGAGATGGAGGTCCCGCTCTTCATTCTATCTGCCAGACCAAAAGAGCTGAGTGAGTCCTTCTCTGTTATGGCATCCACACTGCAGAATCTCTGCCAAGGGAAATATGCTTGGCCAATTCACTCATCGCATTCTTCCTGCAAAACTGGATGCTGTGTTTTGCTGTTCATATTTTTGACCACTGAATTTTTATTTTATTTCTACCACTGATGTTGTTTTTATCATTTTGCCTGCTACCTGTTTTAAACGCTCTTATGTCCCTCCTTTTTAATGAGTTTCAGGGATTATTTCCTGAGTTTGTGTTCCTCCTGTTCTTTGGTTGTATTTAGGTTTTCCATTAGGGTGCAATCCTATGCATACTTAGACAGAAGAAAGTCATACAGTTTCCAGAATTCCTAAGCAACGATGGCTGGCTAAGTGTTGTTGGTCTTTTTTCTGTCCGATCATGCACAGAACTGTACCCTCAGTATGTTAATTCAAAATGCCTTTGGGCAGAGAAGCAAACATTTAGTGTCTTGATGGATATTATTTCATACTAGATACTCACATCAACCCACTCATTAAATCCAGCTGCTTCTGGCAGATAAGACAATTCCTGAGCAAAGAAAAAGATAAATTATTATTAGGGACAGTTCCTAATTCGGAGGTTGAGCCTGTGCCTTCTATGTAGATGTTTGCAGTGTTGGTCCCTGATGTGCTCACTGTTAAAATAAAAGTATCTCAGCCAGCAGCATTTGCATCTCAATGGCATGAACACGTTAGAGATGAGAACTGTCATGTAGCCACTGCTCCATCTGGAATACCCTTTTCTATAGCTCTTCATTCCATCAATCACTTTATTTGCATACGGCGTTTCCATATGGTAGGCTCAAAGAGGTTCTCAACAAAGCACTTTGAAATACAGCACTAAAGAAAAGTTTATATTCTCAATCATGAATTATAATGAGCCATATCTCAGGTTACAAGAATACTTTGACAGTGATTAGAAAAGCCTGATTGTTGCAAACCACTCTTGTGAATTCATTCCAGGACTGTGCTTATCTAGAAAAAACCAGGTACTTATTAAAAGTAGTTATAATGGTTACAGTACATGATGTCTTCATTACACCCCCCACGAAATAGTTTATTCTCCAAGGAGCTCCAGGCAACATACACAACAGCCCTCTGAAGTAGGTGACCATGGCAGACTCAAGATCACCCAAAGAGTTTCATGGTTGAGTAGGGATTTGAAACTCCACAGCATGATGACAGTTGTATGTACAGGAGATCTTTTATTCTGTTTTAGTCAGATTAGTTTCAGTTTGTGCTAGGAGGCTTACAGTCTGCTGTCTGGGTACTAATTGTTGGCATTGATCGCTTTAGGGGCTTGGCTCAGCCAGGGCATTTTACTTGCAATCTGAGTGTGCTTGGGAAGAAAGTTCTTGTCTTAAAGCCATACAGTTCATTGGATACTACGAAGAATATGGATGCAGAATATAAACAAGCCAACTCAAGCATACATTCTTTTTTTGTGTGGCCATATCAATGTTTTTGAATAGGTTAGAGGATGTTCTATGGGCTTCTAAAGTTGTTTGGCTGAGCAACTTCTAGGCCAACAAAAAAAGTCAATGCCTCTTGCCATGGATTTCATGACATTCCAGCATGGACACAGGATCTAACCCCACTTCCCGGGGGATAGGGTGGGAGCAGAGCTTCTTTAATAAAGCAAACGGTTTCTTTCTCACAGCACCAGTGGTCTGTATCTACAGAATGATTGAGTAAGGCAGCTTCAAGGCAATTATTTTGAGGGCTTTTTCTAACAAGGTGACATCCATGAGGTTTGCCATAGCTCTAAGAAACTGCCCTGGCTTTTGGACAGTGAGAAGGTTCACTTAGACTAGCTGTTGAAACTTAATGGCACCTTGGTGGTAGAGCCCATCCAGTGCAATGGGCAAATTCAAGTTCTCTGCTGTCAAGTAAGACTTGTGATTGCTCTAGAATGTACAATTATGCCTGGTGCCTCCGATTCCAGCCAGCACTCTGTCAAGTAAATACTCAAGATATTCTCCCTTTGTAACGGATACATCAAAGATCCCAGCCAGAATCATATAGGCAAATGGTCACGTAAGCAAAACCATTTGTGATGTTCTTACTGACCTCCACTGCATTCCCATAGCACATGCGGCCATCTCCCTCGTAGCCCTTTGAACACACGCAGTCCCAGACGCCAGATGATGTGAACTGACAAACTGCCTGTGAAAAGAGGAAGATGTTCAGACATCTGGGCATCTCCGAGTCTTGCCAGGTACAATATGATATGCAGTGGAAAAGTTCTGACCAATGGATACAGTTTGGCTGAAGGGAGATTTTAAGTGCACTTTGGTGCAGTATTAAAGACATTTCCTAACCTCACATGCCAATTATCAACTGTATAATTTCCCTTAATCAAAGCTAGTATTTAATTAAAATATATCAATTGATGTATTAATTACAACAGTTAATTAGCTCATATATGAAGCCCTATTGCATTTTTTGGAATGATTAACTCCTCCTGAGAAAGCCACTATTTTGCTCTGCACAATGTAAATGCCCAGAAAATTAGGGTTATTTTGGTTTGCATTACTTCTTGGAGAACAGTTGTTAATTAGTGCTTTTGCAAAAATAACTGAGCAAAATGCCATAGAAGAAAGAGGTCTGAGAGGTCTTCAGTGCGACTTTTCTACTGGGAAGGGAAGGTGGTGATGAGGAAGTGTTCAGGATCGTGTGGGTTTAGCAATGCTTGGGTAGGCATTTTGATTCTGTCATGCTCCTGAATATCACAAGATCTACAGATGAGGTGCAACATAATGGCTTCAAAAGGGGTTTAGACAGTTTATGAAGAATGAGGCTTTTAATAGTAATATGCTATTATATCCAGGATTGGAAGCAGTATATGTCTGCTTGCTTGTGGGTTCCCCAAGAACAGCTGCTTGGCCACTGAGGGAATAGAATGCTGGACTAGATGGGCCCTTGGTCTGTTTTAACATAGTTCTTAATTTTCTTAAGTAATGTTGCTTTTTGGGTCATGAGAAAATTGCTTGATTTGTCCAGGTCCAATTCCAAATCAGACCAAGCAGAGTATCAGACCAAGCTAATCCCTAATATGAATCTCTACCTCCAACACCCAAGTCTGGCACTCTGTGTATTGCATCAGACTCAAGGAGCACCTTTGATAGTCACCCAAAACGTGGACTGAATTGAGATGTGAATCTACCATAGGTAATCAATCTATCCCATAGTACGCCAAGGAGCTACAAGGGACAGCAGACGTCAGCCCCTTGCAATGGGGAACTCAATGCTGCTGCGACCTTGCCATGTTGGACAAGTCAGATCTCAGGAAAATGTCATACAGCATCAACTGCAGGGGCACTGACAGGCACAAAAAAGACATGAAGTTGGCGTACCTAATTTATGTCTATATCTGCAAATTTAGAAATAATTCTAAGGATCTATTTAAATCTTGCAGGAGACAAAGCCAGACAATTTCTTACCCAAATAGTTGAAGATAACTAATTGATATCCACCCCCAAGGTGTGAAAATTTCTAATAATTAAGCTACACCCTGCCAGAACATTTCAAACAATGGAGGGAGTCCCCCCGCCCTGCCCAGCTTCACTGACATGGAAGGAGAGATGGAGGGGTGTGTTGCAGCTGGTGGGGTGGGAAGAGCTGACTTCATGAAAGCGCCCCCCTTCCTGGAAAATAAGCTAAGCAAAAATCTTTGCTGTTGTACAAGTGGCACTCGGAGAAGAGACTGTGGTCCCAGGGAAAGAGATTTGGGGCTGTGAATGCCCTTGATCTACTGGCTGGACCTGAAAGCTCTACGCTTGGCAACATCAGCATTTCAAAATTGACTCTGCTGATACCAAAACATGCAGTCAGCTTGGACATTCAGAACATTGATAGGAAAGGTTATTGATTTTCTTAGTTATGTGAAAAGTGTATATTAATATATCTACACTTTTAAAAAGCCACAGATTTTGGGCTACTTTGTAAATCAATCCAGATTAATAACTCACCAGTGGATGGCATTTCTCACTGTGTCCCAGACAAGAATCAATTGGTTCACATTCATATCCATTGCCCCGAAATCCTTCCTTACATTCACAGTCATTCTACATGGCAGGTAAAATAGGGAATATATCAATTAGCTTGAAAGACATCTGCTCACACTTTTGAGTTGCTGAGTCCTAACCATAAAAGTTCAGGATGAAGTACAGTGATGCCCCTGTCTGCTCAGTAGTTCAGGGTAGATTTTCAAGTGCCTAGGACTTCAGCTCCTAGAAGCCCCTGCCATCATGGACAGTGGTCAGAAATGGTCAGCAAAGCTGGGAGCTGAAGTCAAAAACATCTGGCGGTCAACCGTCTGCCCAGCACTGCAGTGGTTAACACGGGTAGCTAATTCCGCACATCATGCTGAGATGCCGGAGGGCTGTTCTATGTGTGTGCAAATAGACACCAGGAACAGGTGAGGGATGCATTCCACCCAAATGTTCAGTGATTTTACCAAAGTTGCCTCTGCCAAACCACCAAGCAAATCAGAACAAGTTACACACTGAAAGGCACCCTTAACTGAATTAAGTACTACAGTTTGCAACTCCCAACCTTCCCCCAAAGTGCATATAAAAATGCATACAATAATGAAAATAATGCAAAGGAGCCTGTCATTTTTCGGAAAATCTCTTGTGCACACAAAATGTACACATTTGGAAAATGTGTGTACGCAAAGGTATATATTAGTATATAAGTTCACATGAAAGTGCACATGAATTTTCCTGTGGCTTTTGAAAGGAAATTCATACCTTGATGCGGAACTGAACTTAAAGCTGGAAAAATTAGGAAGAGAATAGAACTGAAACTGATGGATTCATCCATCCCCAGTGCTCACACAGGTTCAGTTTGCAACAAACTTTATTCAAACAGTTTTATTCAGCTATAATGCAGTCTTGATTTTCCCCCATTTTCTCTATTTTAGCTCACTCCCTATCTCTTTTTGAGGACATGATGCTTGTATGATGGTGCTGTTCTGGTATCTTTGAGGGGCATCCAAAAAACCTGAGCTGGTAAAAAGCACACTGGCTAAAATTTTGTCTGGGGATATTTTTCCTGTTACATCAACTTCACCAGTTTTTGGTTTGCCTCTGAGCTTAATTCAAAGTTTAGGGCCAGGATACCTGAAGGACTCTCTCATCTTACATGACCCTGTTTGCTCACTCGGTACGATCAAAGCAGGACCTTCTCTTTGTCCAGCCACCATGAAAAGTCCAGCTGATGTAGTAACACCTTGATTTTGGAACATCCACACTTTATCCTGTTCTTCAAAGCATTTCATTTCACTAACTATGACTTTGTTGTTTGCCAGTTTGTTTTCCATTTTCTTTTGATGTTCACTGTTTTCATTTTTATTTTAATTATTCATGTCCAATAGTCAAAGTTCTCTGAACAGTACAAAGCTTTAGACTGTGTTTCAGTTTATAACTATTTTGACTGTATGATGTTTTTCTTGATTTGTATCAGGCTGATGTTGAAGAAAACAAAACGGGCCCAGAAAACATTCTAGCAACTGTAGCAGTTAAGATTAGAGGAACTAGAATGAAGACTCTTCGATCCTGAGTATTGATGTATTTCTGCCCATGAGACTGCATGCCACTAAATTGGATTGTTACAGAGCATTGACTTTCATTGGCCTGAACTGTCTTTGTTGCTGCGACCACACAGAGAAAGACTATTTATATGGTGGAGACGTTAAGGAAGAAGCTGAATGAACCTACCTGCCCTGGACCAATATACAGGCAGGTAGCATTACTATGACAACCTCCAAAATTTGGCAAAAAGCAGTTGTGGATTTCTGAACAGTCTCTTCCATTTCCTGTCCATCCAGGCTGGCAAACACAGATGTGGGTTCCAGGGCCAGTTTTCACACACTCCGCCTGCAGGTATATTAAAAGTGCACAGTGTATTCCAGAGTCTCCCTCTGTCTGTGATGAGATGGGTAGCAGATGGCATGCCTGCAGCAACCAGGTTGTCATAGACCATTCTAACTGGAAAACATTTTTCACTATGAAAATGATCTCAAATTGGAGGATCAAATTCATAATTCTAATATTTATTTATCTATTATATTTATCTCCCACCTTTTTCTTGCAAGGAACCCAAAGTGATTTATATAACCCTTTCCATTTCATCCTCACAAAATCTTTTCAGGTGTGTTAGGTTGAGAGTCTGTGATTGGTCCAAAATTACCCAGTGCCTGAGCACTGATCTAGAACCCTGATGTCTGGATATCAGCCCAACATGCTAAGCCTCAGCAAATATGAAAAGGAATTGCATACTTACATTAGCACTGCAGCCATGTGGAATTAGATTAGCACAAGGATCTACCTCGCTGCAAATTATTCCATCTCCATCATATCCAGGTTTGCAAACACAACTAAAATTTTGCATCAAAGTATGAGAAATTAATAGGCAAAGCAAATATAAAGCAAAACCAAATATATATTTCAATCCTGACTGGCAGCTGTGATGTAGTGCTTCAGGCAGAGCTCTGTCCTATCCATGCTGTCAACTAGGTCCTTAACTCCGGGTTGCAAGAAATGAATCCTGGCTTTTCACATGCAGTGATCTTGTAATTCTAGATCCTGGATTTAATGGTCTTGTGGATACTGTGCCTCTGTGTCAGTGGGGTGGAGCTCTTCAGAAGGAAAATTGGATTACTTGACTGACTTCAAAATGTGGCCCGCTGGCCCCGCTGCCCTTGAAGCTCCTTGGCTCATTCTGGCCTTCTGCCTCAGAGTCTGACCCTGATGGCAAACCACATGCACTGTCACTGCTTTAGGGCCCTTTCCCGACCCCTCCAATGAAAGAATCTCAGGTAGCAAGACTGGGAAGGCTGCAGAGAACAAGGAGATTCACTGCTCGATAAAACAGGTGAACAAGGCCAATGGTCTGATTCAGGCCACTGTGGCTCTTCATATATTATCCTCCCAGGATGGTTTTTATGCTTATAGTTTGGCAGTCGTGAGCACCACAAATGTGGGGACAGCTCCCACCTGAAGATGCCATTTTTCATGATGAACTGGGACTCCAGCATGCAGGAAATACCATGGTGCAGGAGTGGAAAGTCAAAGACCACAAATGCACAGAGACCCCAGCAGGTTCCATGCCAGGAAGAGAGGGCTAAGGAGGCTGGGGCTCTGCTGAGGAGAGAGCCAGGCTGCGGAGGTGATGCAGCTGTGGCTTTCTGAGTACCAACCAGAGAAGACAGGCGATCACGGCTACTGCAGCTGCAAGGCAGCCTTCTCCGTAAACAGGAGCACGTAGGGATCGGTCCAGCACCTCTGTGGACACGCTCCAGGCAGACAAGGGAACTGAATCCAAGTCAGGCAGGGATAGTACTGGGACAGAAGGACATTTCCCCCTTTGCGTAGTCTGACCACAAGACAGGCAACACCAGCAAATTTGTAAGATAAAAAACAGCAACGTTGGGGGCAGATGATAGCACTTTTCAAGAAGCTAAAGAGGGCTGCTAGCTTATCTTGGTCATTGAAAAACAATGGCAGGAAGTGAGATTTCAGCAGAACATCTGGAAAAACTTCCCAGTCTTCAGAGTCAACAGACTGCAGAACCAACTGCCTAAGGAAGTCATGGGCGCTCTGTTGCTGGAGGCATTTAAGCAGGGTCTGGAGAACCAGCTCTTGGGGATGCCTTAGACTAGATTCCTGTACTAGGCCGGACATTGGATTCAATGGCCTAAATGGCCAAGAAGCCTATGATTCTTTGTTCACAAAAGGTAAGCAACTGGGAAGGTAAGTGCATTGCCCCACACATACGTGATCAGCCTACCTCATGGCACCATTGTGAAGCTTGCAGTCAGCATGTGCATGGCAAAACTGAAGAAAAGCCCCACATGGAAACACCTGACTGTCACAAGATTTCCCAGTGTAGCCGCTTTTGCATGAACCAGGAAGGCAGGCTCCATCGCTGTCTATCTGGTTGTCACACACCCCGTAGACACACTTGCATTCTGAGGCAGGATGGGCAAAAATAAATGTCAGTGAAAGAAGCCAAAGAGGCATATAGGTGCAGACTGTTCTCTCTTAAAAGGAAGGGGAAAGCAGCACATTGATGGTATATTTATGAACTGTATTTCCCCCCCAAAAAAGTATTTGGTACATGCTTGGATACTGTCTAAAGTCTTTACCAACAAACGATGAAGTACTCATGAGCAGTGGCAATTGGCTATTTGTTGGGGACTACTCCATCCTCAGCTGCTTTTCCTGCATAATTCAATGTGTGCATTTTTTTAAAAAATGGTATAAACCCTGCCTGACTTCCTCCACCACACTCAGACATGCCTCTTGATATTACTTGGAGGGTTAAGGCTTTGCAATCATGGCCTGTGGAGTCAGCATGAGGCATAACTTTTCTCTGATTAGGGAAGCCCAAGATTTGCATTTGGGCTGCCTTTTAAAGCAAACCCACCCAATTGGCACTTCTGGGATTAATATATGGATTGGAATGCAGTTATTCCTTAATATTTCAAGTCCCTGAATTTTGTTTTCTTAGATCAACAACAACAGGTACCAAAATGTGCACAAGAATTCCTATTTTATAATGTATTAAATGTGATTTCCCATGCTTCAGAAATTGCAGATCAAAGCAGAAATCAGGTGCATTGGACATGAATGAATATATGTGAAACTGACATGGACCAGAAATAGATTGATCCATCTACCCCTACTTCTGGATAACCTCTTCCCCTGAAGGAGAGCACATTTGATATGCTGGCATAGTAGTTACAAGAAAAATCCCAAAATCTTTAGCTAAATTTTGGAAAATGGCACATAGAACTATGCACATTTTAGTTTTATTTATGAATGTTGCATTGCCAAGACATTTGCAAACAGACATGGGGCGATGGTACAGGTGGGTATGACCAGGCATTTGGCAAGCATGCGGAAATAAATGTGCTGACTAGGATCAAAGCAGTTTAATCCTTACACTTTCAAACCATATCCTGGTCCAGTTTGGAGGATCCAGGAGTAGCTTTTTGGTTGGGGGTGGGTGGGAGCTCAGGGGGTTGTAGAGTAAAAAAGATCTGAAAAGCCCCACTGTACAGACAGAATCTAGACTGCATGTCTTCAGATTGCCAAACTTGGATTGTGCCTTCCAAGATCACTGGGAAGCAGCTGCTCTTGAGTATCATGAAAGAGCTGCTATCTCATGAGAACTGATTAAATGATGACATGCAAAAGTGTAAACGTTGCTATGGCTTGACATGATCAGTGAAAATGGAAGCCACCATGCTTACTATTGTCACACTGTGGTCCATATTTATTGTGATCTGAACAGAACTGGCAGCGTGAACCTTCAAATCCATGATTGCAAACACAAGTTCCATTTCCGTTCATCCCATCCATGCACTGCAACATGAAAGAAACAACTTTGAAATTTGTGCACTGAGATTCACAGGTAGCAATAACAGGTAAGCTCCTTGGGGAAATACTGTTGGGATACTTCTACAATATGCTCATCCTCACTCTCAGAGAAGTGGTAAAGAATATTCAAGCAAATATTTTCCAAACCCTTCTGATTCTTCCATAGGTTTCACTGTAGCTCAAGAAAGAAAAAGATCAGATTTATTTATTTATATTATTAAAAGCTTTTCTATCCCGTCCCCTACAGAACGTCTCGGGATAGATGGTTACATCCTTCTGCCCCCTCACCCCCGGTGTGCCATACATCAGCGAGACTGACCTGTTTCTTTCCCAGTGGCCACAAGCCCAGGTGCTCATCAGGACAGTCTTTGTAGCCACACCCCCCAAGGAGAGTCCCAAAATGCTGGCAACTGTCTTGATGCATATATCAACAAACCAATTTTAGCAGTTTTCTATTCCACCAGAAGCACATTTCTGGGAAGCTAATGGGTCTTAATTACCCATTCAAGACCAAGCTAATCCCAAACACTTTGTATTACAGCATAGAGCCTTCTGTTTTTAGTGCAATATTCATTGACTTTGGTGCATGGCACCAGGGAGAAATGGGCTGCAGTTCCCTCTGCCTTGCCTTTGGCATTCCTTTATGCATATATGAGGAGCTGGCATGATATTTTTATTCCTCATTCATTCTACTTATCATGTACCAACAGGAAGCTGAGCCTCTGGGCAATCATGCAGGGCTTGCCAAGCTCAACAGACACGGCGGAAGAGCCAAAAGGTTTCTGTCTGTCAAGTTTTGTGAGCCGCCCCGAGGCTTTGTTGTGATGGGGGCAGCATAGAAATGTTTAAAATAAATAAATAAATAAATAAATACTTTCGAGAGTTCCACAAACAAAATGGATCTCCTAAACAGAGTTCTGGCATTTACCTGGCCATTTCCCGAGCAGGGTTTGGAGAAGCCACCAGGGCACTGATTACAGTCTGGGCCAAAGAAGCCGTTGCAACACTTCAGCACCTGTGAAATAACCAAACCTTCCTTATGACAATGCAAAATGAAGAACGGCCAGATTTGTTAGGGAGCCTGTGTACTATGAGGCACTACTTGGATGAGAACGCTGGGACTAGAGTCAATGTTCTGCCCAGCCAGGCATGGCCTGCCCAGCCAGACCATACTGACCCCATCCTACCCTGGTCCAGGAGGAAGAAACCTCTATTTTTCAATGGATTGTCTTGTCTGCTAAAAGCCACAGACACTGGTGTTGCGATATAATGCCCTACCTGAGGTTCTCTTAGGGCAAAGGACCTCTTCATAACACCCATATAGTAAGAATGCTCTTAAACCCACTTACTGGTCAAGCACCCTTGTGTCTGAACAATGGGGAACCATTGAGAACCCATCTCATGAGCAATGAGCCAAGAATCTATCAGGCTTACACACATGGCTATTTTGGGGATTATTCAGTCAGGAACTGAGGAAGGACCCCCCCCCCCCCCCCGCAATATACTCCACTTGGAAAGAACTTTGCAGGAAGCGTCACTATGGATGCTGGATTGTAGGTCCTCCAGAAGGAGGAGGAGGGCCTGTCGTAGACATCAGAGGAACTGCACCTTGGAACCCACAGGTCTTAACTTAAACTTCCTGCCTGGCTCCTTGAAGGCAGGACTGAGGACAGCCAGACTGTTTTTCTGTGTGTGTTGCTATTTGTCCCTGAATTGCCACCTTAAGTCACTTATTGCTTCGTGCTTTGAAACTGACCTAATGATCTGGTTGTATACAACATGCTGAGCAAACCCCGGAACTTAAGTTGTGTTTGCTTAAGGACATGGAAGGGCTGCAAGAAGCCAAGTGCAAGCATCCTGGTGGGGATCCTTGGCTAGTGATTCCCAAAGGATCAAGAGTGCTTGCAGCTACAAAGCCTGGTTTTGCTCTCCTTTCAATGGCGGCAGCTGACACCAATTGGCGCCACTTCACCCAATCTGTGCTGGTAGCTGGGCTGCTTGTGGGCACCAGGAGGATATTGAATGTTTGTAGTATCTGCTTTCCCATATCTTGTTCTGTCTTTGCTCTCACTTGTTTCTTCCTGTTGCTCTCAGATCCCTTTATGGATACTTGGCTGACCATCAGTGCTGATTCTCTGCTCCTTGTTGTAGAAGCTGCTGCATTTGCTAACCCTTGAGTCAAGGGGTTTTGTATATGTGCAGTGCCTATTCTGACTTATGTGCTTTGTTGCATATGTCCTCAAGAGATCAGATTACATATGGAGATGATGCTTTTGTGGAAATATACTTTTCTGCTCACGTAAGTTACCTGTGTGGCTAGCATAGGTACTACAAACAAGTGCTAGTAGCACTGCAGAGGATGGTAAAGGGTGTGGGACTTACTAGACTTTTTTCTTTGTAAATATGCATCAGATTGCACCCTTCAGTTGTCAAACGTTTCATGGCAGATGGACAACCCAAAGAACCTTTGCATTACTCACCTTTTTTGCTGATTTGCAATGCTTAGCACACCCGTATTTTGGATAGATCTGATCCTGGTAGATGCATCTACTCCTTGAGAAAGGCTAGTGTATTTAGAAAAACAAATTAATAAAGCATGTATTGGCATCAGAGCTGAATGATGCAATATTAAAACAAATAACAGAATAGTGTTGATTCTAATGAAGGACAAATCTCAATGCCTGTACTTATTCTCATTATGAAGATACTGGAGCTATTTAAATTTTATTGAAATGCATGCAGAAGAAAATAGCTTGTTTCTTGATCTGTTTGGCAATCATGTCGATGATTGCTTTATTTATTTATTTTCTGATTTATATCCTGCCTTTTTCCTACAAAGGGCTCAAGGCAGCTTACATCATTCTCCTCCTCCATCTTATCCCCACAACAACAACCCTGTGAGGTAGGTCAGGCTGAGAGTCTGTGACTGGCCCAAAGTCACCCAGTGGGCTCCATGGCTGAGCGGGGACTAGAACCCAGGTCGTCTGAGTCCCAGTCCCATGCTCTTAACCACTACACCACACTGGCTCTTTACTTACAATAGGTGTTGCATCATCTGGGCAACTGTTGCTGTGAGAGGCTCGGCACTTTCCGCAGGCACCCTAAACCAAATGATAATACAAGTGACAGATGAGGAAAGTATATCTTGTCTCTTAACATAACCACGGAGGGTCCCGTGTTTGCAGGGAGGGCTGAACTGCAGACATACAGAATGGTGGCTTGCCCTTCTGCTTGCCTCGACTGGGAAACCCTTGTCTGCGGTGTCAAACATGCACTGGAGCTTTCTGCTGAGCATTTCTGCCTTGCCACCCTTTCCCTTACAGTTCTCAAGAGCCTTACCATTGTAATCTTAATTTTCTCTTCATCGCATCTGTGTGGCAGAATTGGTGTAATGGATGGAGGAATGAGAACCCCCGAAAGTGTGTAAATTCGCCCATTTTTTGCAAGGATATCTGTTTCCTCCAATGGCTGACCATTGACCAGGATTTGTCCCTGCATCAAGGATGAGAATAATAATAATGACTAATTTTGAAAGGACTCACCAGTCTGTATTCCTGTGCCTGTCCTGAGAACTTTTTCTTTGAGAGAACAGAGATAAGGCTTGGGAAGCAGCGGGTGGGGAATTGGTCATCATAAAGGAAATGAGTTTTGATAGGCGATGATGACAAGCACAAACCCTTGTGATAGACTTAACTGAGGAGCCATGCCTGGGAAGTTTACAGGAAATCAGTCCCATCCAAAAAAAGGGTCGTAATCATCACTCTGCATTCACTTAACCACACATCATACAAGGTACAAATATGTTGCTGCTGTTCCTTGCCCAGCACTTTCCATGTGAAAGGTGCTTTATAGCCCCCTATCCATTTTATTGGTTACATCAACCTGAACTGCAAAACCAACATGCTCTATCAAGGCAAGAGACAGATGTATCCTGAGCAAGCATGTATTCTAGATGCAGAAGCAACATGGGTTATATGTGAATTTATTAATTCTGTTTTAATAGCTTTCATAAAATAGAAATAGCCGACCAGGTCAGTCCACCTTGTCTTATTTTTGTTGTCCCCTGTCTTGTGCTGTTGTTAATGGTGCAATGAAGGGGATCCTGTTACTGCTTAAGAAGACTCTCCCACCAATCTTCCGCAATAAAAAACTGCTGCGGAAACTGCAGCATTTTGACCCTGCAATTTACTCATTTTTGGATAGCCTTCCTCCTTCAGAGCACTGGGCATGCATTTTATTTTCTGTGACTTGAAAACTGAGAAATTTAAGATTGTACACAGGTTTATCACTTAGTATTTGTGTTCACATTTCCTTGGAATGACCAATTCAATCAAGCCGGGAATGCCTACATTCTGTTTTTCTATAAATTACTGCACTGTGAAGAATGTGAAGTCTGAAAGAAAGCTGCTTCCATGCAGGCACCCATGATAGTTTAGGGAGGCGCTGCAGCTCTGTGGCTACAGCCCTGAAATGAAAAATCTGCTATTCTTCCTTATGCAAAAGTAAGGACAGCAGGACTAGGTGACTTCTCCTAGCCAAAGTAACTTGACTGCATACACATGTGGGAGCAAAACAAATAAACAGGAATGGTGTTTTCTCCTACTTACACTTTCCGTGATGTTAAAATAGATGAATTGTTGAGCCATTGTGCTGATGTGGCCTATTGAGATAAGGCTTGCAACTTCCAGCTTAAGGGAGAAGAGAGGAATAAATCTGCTTAATAAGAGTCACTTATTACTTAATAAGAATCACTTGCAATAAGAATCACTTCTATTATAAAACAGATTATAATGCAAACATTTAGAAAGGAATCCATGGAATTATGTTAGCAGCTGAAGTGTGCACCTGGACTGCATTCCCCACCCCAGAACTTGGTGTTACTGGTGCATAAAGTCTCCAGAAAGGTATTTAGTAAGGCATGTCAGATTTCAGTACTAGGAAGGGAGTGGCTGAGCACAAGTTTCAAAGCATGCTCTTGGCTATATTCAAGGTGGGCAGAACGATCATGGTAGAGCTCCTCAGGGTGGGTCCCCCCTCCAAATGCTGGAGACACGGCAAGGACTGGGCTGTGAGTAGAGATGGAAGAGAGGTGGAGACGCCAGAATCTTCAAGATCCCAAAGCCCCTCCACCTCTGAGGCAAGGACAGGCTGCCTCCTAAAAGCTTTTGAAATGGAGCCAAAGGAGGCTGTGAGGGTCCCATCCTCCACCCATCCTGTCTGAAACAGAGTAATGGGAGGCTGGAAATTCTCCATCCTCCACCATCTCAGGACATTGGAGAGTCCCCTTCTTCAAGATGATCTTCAAAGGACCAAACAACACATTATGTCACACACATAAGGGTTATCCCCAAAGCTGATGGGAGGATCTTTGGTCCAGATAAGTATTCCACTGGTGGAATGAAGAGGGTGGTGGCTCTCATGGAGTCCTCTTTTCTCTGCATCAGTCCCTGCCCCTGTGTGATGTCATGTGCTGTTTCAAAGTGTGTCCACATCTTCTGCGGTAGATTTGGGGGTTGCAGGAGGAAGGGTCTTTCAGAGGGTCTTCCAATATGGGATGTGAATCCCTGTTTGGCATTGTGTACAACTTTTAGAGAGTAGAGAAAATAGCTGCTGGGTGGATGGGGGATGAACAAGGTGTATGGCAAGCAGAGGGACTTAACTCTTTCCTCCCACATTGCAAATGATTCCATTATTGCATCAGTCAAAGTACCGCTAAAACATTGCAGCTTCTGCAACCTGCTTGCCATGCATGCTGACCTTCAAGGGGGAAAAAAGATAAATTCCACTTGGTGTGTGAGTGCACATTCTGAGCTTTTTGTCTTTTTCCGTCTCTGGGAACAGCATGCCAGGAATTCATTGTGCAATCATAAAAGACATTGAATGTAGCATGGAAGTCAGTTGCACTAACCTGGGTGTCAGAAACAACATGATACTGGACTAGCTCACGCAGCTTTCGTGATCCCTGTATAAATATAGAATGAGCCTTTTTATCTGGACAACAATAATATAACATTTCTCTTTTCTGGACACCACGTAATCCATGTTTTTACGTTCACATAAACATGTGGAGCCTAATCCTGATTGAGAAACTGCATGGTTGAGGGTGGAGGGTTCAACCTTTCCTCCAAAGCTCTTCACCCCTAAATTCACCCCTCCTTCAAACGCTGCTTAATCTGAGCTGTGGAAAAATGTCTATCGTAACAACTCGGCCAGGGATCTGCTGGGCTGTGACCAGCCATTAGCATTAGCATTTGACTTGAGGTAGAAGATATGCTTTGCATGCAGGTTTCAGGTTTCAGGTTCACGCCATGGCCTCTCCAGAGAGGCTTGGAAAAATGTCAGTTTGGAGAGCCTCTGCCAGGTGGTATGGCCAATGCTGGGCCAGGTGGACCCCTTGCAGGGCTTGCAAGTGCTTTGATGCTGCCATGCCCCCTCCACCAGGCCCAGATGTGGGTCGAGCAATGCCATGCAAATGGTCAACTGTTGGATGAGGCCACTGGGATGGCAACCCATACATTTCTTGTATTCCAAGTGGCTATCGACCCCGTCTGTGGATTCCATTGCTATGTAAGGATGCACAATTTTAAGACTTATACCTTACTTGACAACAGGTAGTCCAGAGATCCATCATTCAAGCTTTCCAAAGCTTCATTGGTTGGGACGAAAATTGTATAAGGTCCAGGATGTATATCTAACATCACTTCTGCAAGAGTATTCTGTTTCAAAAGAATGAAGGACAGGATGCACAGTACTTTGAATGTACCCTTTAAAAACATTATTTGCAAATTTGATTTTTATTTCAGCCTTACCTTTAGTATGGTTCTGAATCTGCTGAATCTGCCTTTGTCTTGAAGTACTGCCATTATAGATCTCTAAGAAAGCACAGACAGGTTTGTGTAACACTGAGAACTAAAAGCCACCGAGATTGTCTACTTTTTAAATGGAGAACTTCACTGAAACCACAGAGTAGATTCATATTAAAGTGCATGTAGAGCCCTTGGCCTGGCTTGCTGTGAACCACATTTCAAATGTGGTTCACATTTCACCTTTCTATCTTTTTTGTAAACCGTTCTGGGAGCCATGTATAGCTGTTGAATGGTATATACAAGCAATAAGTAAATAAATAAGTAAATAAATAAGCTGGGCTCCGAAGGGAGGAGCAGCCATAAGTGAATGGTAGGGCACATACGTTACATGCAAAAGCTCCCCAGTTCAGCCCCTGGTATCTCCAGATAGGGCTGGAAAAGGTGGAAACATTGGAGAACCACTGATGAGCACTGATTACAATACTGATTGAGCAGGGAACCCCTTCCCTATCTCTGATCTCTCATCAGTGAGTGGAGCTAAAGAAAGGGCTTCCCTCACCTGTGTTTCTCCCCCTTCCCCAGGGATTACCTTTCCAGGACTAGCAAGCAAATCCATAGATAAGTGTGAGTCTGAATGCACAAGGTCACACAACATTGTGCCACCTTGATTTATACACATCTATGGTGCAGCCACAGAGTGGACAGTTATAGCCACTGCACCTCAAAAAGGCTACTTGAGGAGCTGAAAAAGGTAGATAAAAGGACAAACAAACTTTCAAGGGTCTGTAGTAACATCCTGATTTTGGGGGCTTTTTAGCTTAGACAAAAGTTGACTGAAGACTGATGTGATAGATATGTATGGCCTTATGTGTGAGATGGAGAAAGAAGATATGGAGAAGTTTTTCTTCATGTCTCATAATGCTACACCCTGTGGTCATTCAAAGAAGCTGAATGGTGGGAGATTCAGGAAAGATCTTCACACTGATTTTTCTATTCTTTGCTTTGAGGTCTCACTTAGAATTCTAGCAGCCCCTCTAGTAGGGAAAACCAAGCATGTAGACAAGCCCATATCTCTCATTTGCGCTCCCAAGAAATAATAATGTCGCCTAACTTTATAGGTTTGTTCCAAGTAGCACCAAGAACAGAGTTCATTAGAGAATTACAGTCATTATGCTTCTGTGCTTTTGTACCACTGTGGGAGTTGGTTGCCAGAAGTGCCTAGATGCATTCACAGCTGCAAGTTTAAACCTCACCTCTTCATCACTTGGGAAGGAGGGTTCCACGTTGTCTAGGGCTTCGTCAACAATATGCATGACTCCATTGGAGGCAACAATATCTGCTTGTAATATTTTCCCTTTCTTCTTACCACCTTGTATTCTAATTCTTAGCATTTTATCCTAAAATGGCCCAGAAAATGAATATATAATATTTCAAAAATAATGTATGTATGTCTACATCTTCTTCTTCATCATCATCGTCATCATCAAAATGAAACATTACATAACATTACGCAGGCAGGGGAAGAGAAGAGTGAGGCTCTGCCAGGATATGAAGGATCCTGGGAATGCTCTCCCCTCCTTGTGAGCAGTGGGAAAGGTTTCTTGCAGGACAGGGAGGAGAAGGGAGATAATCCATGCCTCCATGATTTCCCCATAAGTGGTTGCATTTTTTCTGTTACTGTATCTACAAAATAGCTAATGTCATCCAGCTACAATAACATGTTAAAGTTCAATCCTAAGAACAACAATAGACCAGTCAATCAGATTATGCAAGCACTGAAAACTCTACCAAACTGAATATTCTTCATTATGCCCTTTGCACACCCTAAGTGTTCTTTGATATTGCCTTAATCATAAAGTTAAACTCATATCTTACTTTTTCATCATTTATTACATCTGCTGGCTTGCCAGTGAGTGTATGGATTGTAGTCATATGATTCAGCCCATTCAGGTCTAGCTGTCCAGCAAAGATGTGGAGCTTCACAAAGTACTGGGCACTCTCTTTATTAGAAAGAAGGTCTTTAATCTGGAAGGTTAACAAAACAAAGCAAATTAGATACTACAGGAAGATCTCAGTAATGGAAAGGCACTGCCAAAATGTGGAGACAAGGAAAAGAGATTGCATTTGGAGAAAATGGAAATGTATATCCTTCCCTAACGGTACATGCACTCAGGGTGGTTAACAGCCTTAAGGGAGCTGTATGGCTAATGGGGCAGGATATAAACAAACAAACAAATAAATAAATACCATTAAGCCCAACTATCAAATGCAATAAAATGCACCCCATCCCAAGCAGACATCAGGTGCATTTTTTATATTTGGTAAAACAAACTCCTTCCCAAAGAGGGAGGTTTTGGTGTACACTAGGGGTTCCCAGTCTTTTTGAGTTGGTGTGCCCAGACTGAATTTTGAATTATGGGCACCTTCATAAACTGGCTGCCAAGGGGACTTCACCCATCCGTAAAACAGGTCCCTTGGCAGCTCTGGCTGATCACAAAGCACTCATTTTCCATAAGGTAAATTTGTGAGCTTTAAGAAAAGCAAAGCAAAGCAAAGCAAAGCAAAGAAACTTTCCCAAGAATTTAAAGACAAGGCACAAGGGAGGGCCTGAGTCCCCAAACACAAAACCATTCTTCTGAACCCAAATAGTGTTGGTGCTTGAGGGCAGCAGTTTATTCTGCAGCATGCCAGTTAAAAATAATTCATAAATAAAATAAAAGTCAGGAAGGACAGGGAACCCTGTGGGTGCCAAGGGACATGTTCAGGGGCACCCTGGGGGCAGAGCACATGGGTGCCATGTTAGAGACCCTGGCTATGCAGCACCATGACCATATGAGAAGGGGCCAACTCTGCATCCTGGGATAAAATAATTAGGTGTGGCCCCTACCAGCTAAGACTCCATCACAGTCAGGACATAGAAGAGCCTGTTTGCCAAATCTTAGGATGTGGGCAAGTTAGTAGGGGATGAGACAACTCATGAGCCAGAGACAGGGAACTTGCTTCCCTTTGGATGTTTTGGAAAGGAGATCTCTCTTAACTCCAGCAAACATCACCAGTGCTGAGGGATTGCGGATGCTGCAGTTCAAAGTACCACACATCTCCTATCCTGCCATACAATATCCTGGATCTAAGCACTACTGGGGGCCTTAAAGAGCATCAGGAGTACACTTAACTGGGCCTGAAAACAAGCTGGCATCAAGTGCTGCCCTGCACATCACTGTGGCCTCCAACTCCCATCAGCCCTAGCTAGCACATCCAGTGGTGAGGGATCATGACACTTGGGTGGTGGACATCCTTGTGTTGGTGGCTGCCCACTAGCATTTTCACAGCTGGGTTCCTGGGGGACAACCATTTCCAAAGACTGTTCCAAAGACTGTTCAGAGATAACCCCATGTAGAATTCATTGCTGGTTTGTCAAGATACCTTGGTTTGGCTCCAAAAATTGAGGCCCACATCGAATTGGTTTAACGCTTCAGTAATTGCTATTTTGCAGAGCCAAGAGAGAATTGTTTTTCTTTTTGACTATAAGCATAAAGTATAAAATACGGTGCCATTTTTAAAAAGACCAAAACAAGTATCTACTTCCTTGTTGTTTAAAAATATCACACCATTTCTGAACACTGTACTTACATTGATTCCTTTGAACCCTGGATTTGTTGGAACAAGAACTGTAAATGGTCCCAAGCTGTTCAAGGGCCATTCGTAAGCACTTTCTTAAAAGGAAAGGAAGGAAAAGAAAACAGAAAAGAAATGTGGTTACCATGAAAGAGTATCAGTATTATTATTAATTACATTTATATACTGCCCACAGCCAACACTTTCTGGGCAGTTCATAATATTAAGTTACCCATCCAGATTTCAACCAAGCCTGATCTTGCTTAGCTTCCAAGAATAGGCAGGATATACAAAGATATATTTCAAAAAGAATAAACTATGCAGCAACAGCTTTAGCTATTGGATTGGATTACAATGAGCAAAGACTCCTATGTGTTCATGGGTCCCCCGCTTACTTCCACCATCTGTGTAAAGAATGGCATGTTTCACCATCTTCTCCACTGTTAACAATGTGCTTTGAAGACTAGTAGGAAAAAGAGACATTGCTCTTTTCCCTTGAAAATCCATTCTCTCTTAGTGAGGTGAGTGCTGTTCATGTTCTTTCCAGTTCTCTCAATGGTAAACATTTCCAGAAGCTCACTGCTTCCTCAGCTTTGCTTCTCTCTGGAAGGAACTCACTGGAAGCTCATTTGTTTTTTTAAATATTTATATCCATTTTTGCCTTCAACACTCACAATGTGGTACACAAAGCTTCCACTGTAACAGGCCAGTGGGACAGAAAATAAGAGCAGTCTGCATTCTGTTGGTTCTTCAAACTTGGATTTAGGAAAGAGTCAGCAAGGGACTGATGACTGTCTTTATGAACTAGTATCATCTCTACACACACTTTAATGGGCCTCAGGAAATTGTTTTTCTCTTTCCTTTGAAAGAGCTAAAGCATTTATTATGACCACCTGAATTTTGAAGGAGCTGATATTGCAGCTCTGGAAACTGTATAAACACAAAAGCTAACGGGAAGGCGTGGATCTCTTGCTATCTCATATCAACAGTTTCCTCCATCGTCCTCATCCATCCTGTTTCCTCCACAACTGAACAAGCCTCTTCCCTTCCTCGCATTCCTCATGGAGCAAAAATGTCAGAATCCATAAAAGAGGAATGGTAACATTAATTTATAACATAAATGGGATATTATTGCCCAGTAAAACAGACCAAAAAAAATCTTGCTTACTCTGATATTTTTAAGGATGTAAACATGGTACAGTGGAATGGAAAAGGATTGTATTTATTGCAGAACTGGGTTCTAATTAATAATCATAGCCACTGAACGCTTCCAGGCTTTCACCCATAAATAAAGTCTGGACCTTTAAGTGTTCCCTAGATGGTGGCGATTGCAGACTCTGAGCTACTTGTTTTCTTTTCCTTTTTACTTACCGCACCTCCTCCTCCTCCCAAATACAACACAACATGGTCTGGGGTGGAAGGACCCATAATGGGCCAGTTTTCAAACTTTTAATGATAGGACTGTTCCATGCCATTTTCTGTCAAAATATTTGTAAAACTACACTAAAACTTACAATCCCTTCATATACTTTTTGTATGCATCCCCCACCCAAATAAATATGTTTGTAGGCATGTTTTGAGCAAAAAAACCTGTACTACAAAATTTGGAGGCATGTTCAATCTGGAGGGCAACCACATTCCAATCCATATATTAGCCTGGGAAGAACAAAATAATGGGGCAATTGCACGCAGGTTTATATAGAAAAACTGCATAGAACTCCCAGTAGAGTTTGCTGCAGCAAGAGAGGAGTTTTAGGCCTTTTTTTCTGTCTACAATTGCATGGGATTGCCCCTGAAGTTGTTGGTTAAAAATGTAACCTGAGTGAAATTTTCTAGGATGCCTAATATGATGCTTCATTTGTAAACCTCTCTACTCTTATTCCAAGACCAGCTGTGCTCTGGTTTATACAGGTGGCTATGTAAATAGCTTAAGAAGTGCTTTGGGCAATGATGAGCCCTTTGATCCTTCCCAACTTGATGGAGACAGAATCTTAAGGATAAGAGCAGGGGCTTACAATGCTGTCCCAGATGTCTGGAAGTTAATGGGTGTTGTGCTAGAAAGCAGCAATTTAGTAGAACGCTTCTAATCACCCTTCTATTGGATAGCGTTCGGTAATGTCATTGCACTCCCATTCGTGTAAGAGACTTATATCACACCCCATTAGTCCATCACATTGCAAGAGACCTCAGATCACACCCCATTAGTGTAAGAGACCTCTAGTGTAGCATGTGTAATGGGATTCCCCAGAACACCCATCGTACACGCTCATACTATTGACATTGTGTGGACACCCCTTGAACAAGTACAATCTAATTCGTGTTGGTGCAAAGACATCACTGAATCCTTTCCGATAGAAGTGTGTTCTTGAAAAGTTCTACTAAGTTGCTTCTTCCTTTAAGTAATAAAACAACTGGGCTCATCTGGGTCTAAAAGTCTAGGCTTCAAACAGTGACAATACATTTCAAGACTAAATAGTTTTCTTAGTTAAATGTATCTACCTACCAAAGAGTTCTATAGCAGAAATTAGTTTTCCTTGCCACTGTCCTCCAGGTTTGGTGTTCATATCTCTTATTTGTTCCATGATGTTTCCATAACATATAAATCCATCACCTACATAGCCCCTTTGGCAGGTGCATCTGCACAAAATAAAGCAAACCCCCCACATGCATTGCAGCTTAGCTAAGGAATGCAGAGACACAGCATCAACAAGAAGTAAGACTGCTTGATGAACTACTTGCATACAGACTGGTCATTAACCACAGGTCTTGCAAATTCACGGTGAACAGATAAAAGAAAAAATTCACCCCACAAAGCATTGGCACAATCCAACCAGTGCTAAAATGTCTAAGTTTGGGAATGCATGCATTAAAATATGCACTGTGAAGGACAGGGCATTTTGGACAGCATTCATTTCTAGTGCTAACTGATGGCATGCTAACAGTAAACATCAAAATGTATATGCTGAATGTTTCTCCACACAAAGAGTATGATCAGCCATTGGCCTCACTTCTATTCTACTCTGTCTTTATCTTTGCAAAGAACTCACTTTTGCTGAGTTTCTATATTTATAAATAGCCATTCCATCCCAGCAAGAGCGCAGAAGATACTTGACTTACAGGGTATGTCCTGGTGCTTCCATTGTGCATTCAGCATATTTATGGCAGGGATTGTTAGTTGCACAGATATCTGTCATACTGCATCCTAGTCCAGGCACAAAATTTGTGAAATGTTTCTTGCATTCACAATGAGACTGAAATGGGGGAAAAGATGACATTTTATTTTTTAAAAAATGCACTTTGCTTCTGTTAATCTCTTATTACTATTCCTCCTCTTCCCTTTCTCTTTACTGTTTTACATTTCCTTTTTCTTCCTCCATTGTCTTGCCATTTCTGAAACAACAAATTCTTGGGAGAAAGGACTTCTCCGTGAGTCCCAAGGCCAGATTCAAGAGGAGACATGGCTGGGTACCCGCTAAGGCTCCATACCCCAGAAAGAGGGTCTACGGACCAGAGTCCTTGGACTTGCTCCTCTTTCCCAGCACCTTCTACTTGTTCATCCTTTTTCATGGTGGTGATGCCATGAAGGAGAAGCCAGAGGTGACACTGTCTACATACACTGATGCTCCACCTGGCAAGCAAGCAGCTGCTTGTGATGAGGAGGAGGACGAGGAGAAAGAAGAGGAACAGCAGCAGCTGGTGACAGTGACAATAAGGCAGGAAGTAGACTCAGAGTGCCAGAGGACATTGATTGTATCCTGCTGCAGGATTTTTCCAAATCTGCAGCAACTGCAGTCTTGGCATTCAGCAGAATGAAGTGGGCAATGTGGTGGCAGAATTCCAAGGCAGCAGATGACATGTCACATTTTAGGTGGGGCAAATCACTTTTTCCCCCCAATTCTTGAAAATAATAATCTGGCACATCAGGAATAAATCTGCATGTAACAATTGTTTAGGATGAAATACAGTCCTAAGAGAATGCCTGCTGGTGGGACTAGAGGGTCAATGGATTGGGATGTGCCTGGACTCAGCCATTTCCCTTTGAATTTGGTCAGCAATTGCTTCAGGTATGCTCACCTTCCCAGGGCCATCATATTTACAAACTGTAGACTCCGTAGGGCAATTCCCAAATTTTGTTTGGCAAGGGTCTATTGGCATGCAGACTTCGCCATCTCCTCTGTAGCCAAACTGGCATGTACATTTATGACGATTTGGTCCAAGATAGAGGCAATCAGCATGAGGATCACAAACATTTTTTGAGCATGGGTTGATGGCTTGTGGGGGTGGGAGAGAAAAAACAAATATTAGAAAGAAGCACCAGAAAATAGACACTGTGCTCATTTTTCCACATCAACCAAGATATCTTCATCTGTATCTGGGTACTCCTCCTGGGTGGGATGTTGGGTGGGAGGATTATGGTTATATTGATTATTATTGCTAATATTAATTGTATTATGTATTATATTGTATTATATATTGATATTATGTACTGCATTATGTATTATATTATTGTATTAAGGTTTGTTTAATTTTGTATCACTTACAGTTAAATATTGTATTGCTTGATTGTATTGCTCTAATGTATTATTGTATTTTTATGGATCTGTTTTGTTCTGTTATATTGTACAAGAGAGTCCTATGGGCTATGGGGCAGCATACAAATGTAATAAATGAAATGCAATGTCTCTTTTTGTCAGGTGATTCTGAGTCTCTTAACATTTTTGTATACCTGATCAGAAACAACTTCCTTTGCCTTTTGGCAGCATGATTCGGACGCTGCCCTTTGTAAACGGTTACATTTGATGGTGGCCAGCAAAGTAATACTCCGGTGGCCATGCCTGGAGGGGCAATTGATTCTGGTCACCATGACTGGACCAAGATATCTCACTGAGAGGAAGGAAAATATGGTGCCCCGCATGGCCCAGCAATACAGACCACAGTGCTTGGAGCTATGATCAAGATCTGAAGATGAAGCTTGTTCATTTGGCATTACACAAGCAAGTTCTTGACCGGTTAGCAGTTCCTTCTGATGTTACCTGCCCATGTTGGAGGCTGCTGTTCAGTCAAGAACGACTTACATGATGTTTACATAAATGCACCCTGAGACAGCTGCTGCCTTCCTATGGTTTCCAGAAAGGTGGTAGAGCTTTCTCCTTCCCCTTTGCCTCCAGCCATGGTGGATGTTGCCATCCAGTAGCCACCTCATCAGCATATGTGTCAGGTAATAACTTATCCCTTGGTAACTGGCCATCCATATCCAACTCTTGCAGGGGCAGGTGACTGGCCGAGACCGAGAAGCAATGCATTCTAGTAGAATGCATGGAAACAAAGTTTTATGCGCACTGAAATTGAAATGTCCCAGCCACTGTCTTGCTGTCCAAAAAGAGAAAAGCCAATGGGCCACTGATCTACTTACGTTCACACTGTTTGCCATCTCCTTCGTAGTTAGGAAGGCATTGGCATTCCAGTTGTTTTCCATCTGCACTGGATAAAGAACATCTGGAGTATTCTGGGCATTGCAAAGCCTGACATTCGGGTATTGCTAGGACCAAAATAAACCCAACTGTTATAATATGCAGGCATGCATTGCTGCATTAACCTCCCCAAGTAAACAAACCAGCACAAATCTCCCCAAGTGTTTACTGTGCTATAGCAAAGTCAGATCTGATCGGATTGCTAGAGTTGAAGTGCTTGCTCTCATGCTGAGATACACTGGGGGCCTTCCTTTCAATGTCCTTAACTTTAGAGTGGCCATTTATGGATTTGGGAAAAGAGGAACTGCATCATCAAAAGAGAAGATGCCAACTGGCATAATATGTGGACATCTACCCATTTAGAAATAATGATTTAAGGATAAATGCAATACACTTCACTATAGTGGAGAAGGCCAACCAGGTGTCCATGTCCTGTTATGGATGGGCAATTTTAAGGCTCCTGCTGGTGCTCCCCCCATTTTAAACCATATTTGGACTGGACAGAGCATCAGCTCAAAGACAACCTCAAGCAAAGGACTGCCCTCTGCGAGCTCTACAGAACAGAGGACTATCTTCTGCAAAGGACACATAGTCATCCTACTTAATGGATCTGTCAGCAGCAAGAAAAGCAGAACAGTGAGAGCAAAATGTCTTTAAAATATCTGTTGAACCAAGAACAATGATATTCATAGCCATGGCAAACAAAGCTGTGTGCTTAAAGGAGAAACATTTCATATAATCTGGTTCTGCTACAAACACCATAGCAGAAGCAGATGAAAGGAAAAACTGCTGGTCTGCATGGGCCCCAGAGAAATGCAACACACCCTGTTGCAAGGGTTGTCCTTTTGAACGGCTCACCATGACCAGGAAATGTTGAGCAGTTCATTAACCTGGGTCCCCCCGGCTGCCTTAAGGGAACTTTGCTCAGAAACAGACACATTTTACTTACGCTGGTCGCAGCTAGGACCTTTGTATCCCGACAAACACGTGCACTTTCCATCTCCGGCAATTCCGCTGTTGCATGTGCCATGGACGCAGCTGCATTCTGCAAGGAAGAATGAACTGGTTACAGTAGAGTCAGCAATATTTGGGTACACAGGTTGAATGAGGGGCCTTCATTGCCCAGGCACTGGTCAAATGCACACAATTATGGTGATGATGCACCTAGGGAGTCTTTCATGCCATGGCAGCTGATAGCAGTTAGGGCCTCCAGGAAAAAAAAGCAAGACATATCCCAAATGTTGTGCCCTTAACTATATCTGATGCAGCTGCTACATCAACAGTGCTTAATTGTGACTTTTTTCTTTGCACAATGCAATGCATTATTTATCTTAATTTTTTAAATATTATTGATTCTTATCATAAAATTTCAACACAACAAAAAAGAAAAAATATAGCTACCTAGATTTGAATATATAAATTTCAATGTATACACATGAAGTGTGTATGTACAGCAGATCTATCTGATCTTAAAATACAACAACTTTCTAAAAATAACATATAAATAAAAGCAGACCAGTATCTGTTTGAAAGTGGCATCTATTTACTGCCCATTCAAATGTTGGGAGAATTGTGACGTCCTCAGTGCCCTGCATTTTAGGAGGTGATTATTTACCTTGCTGGTGCTGTGACATCTGTCTGTTAATGGTCAGAAGAGCGTGGAGAATCCATTTGAGCTGACTGCATTAATTTCCAGGAGGCAGGTAGATTTAAAAGGGCATGTGCATCCATGAATATTACAGAATAGTCCAGCAAGAGGTTTATATATGTATGATATACTTCTCTCAAAAACATTAAGTTATTGCGCATTGCCAAAACATTGAACCAGATGAAACCCTTTCACAAGAGATGTTGGCTGAGTTCACACAACACAATAATGCACACACAAAGGCTGCATATGGGATGAGTATTGTCATTGAACTGTGGGTTACTACGTTGTCAGAACCCAGGTGTAATAACTGACCATAGTTTGTTATTCACAGATAATTCATAGTCATTGCTACATCCAATTGACATGGAACAAGTATTTTTGCTGAAAAGGCAATAACTTGAGACCAATAGATGTTTCAGATACAAATGCCAAGGCTGCAATCCATTGATTAGGGGAAATGGGACAATACCATTCCATTCTTGCTTAAGACCTTGCATATCATATTTATTCACCATAAATAAATCATCCATTTATAAATACGTATTGTGGGTCAATATGACTGATCAGCCTGGATAAGCGCTTCCAATAGCAAAGAAAATTCAGATGCTGTCAAAGCTCCAGGGCCAACCTAGCATCTCAGAAATGTTGCGGCTGAGAGTTGTTCCATTCAGCCCAAGGCTTAGAGCTGCCACGAGATTTCACTACAGGCAGAGACAAAGAACTAAAATATCATCGTTTGCCCAGGCCTGCTTGTCTGAAGTGGCATTTTGATTTAGGGCTCCCAATTCAAAACTGAGCATTTCATCCTGCATCCTGCAACAGCTTCCATTTAGCTCTTGCTGGTTAGACAATTCAGCTGCACTCTATAGGAAATAACTGTAGGAAATGCCTTCAAAGCGTTCTCACTGTGTCAGCATTCACTATTCCTCCCGCTGATTACTGTAGTTCCCCTCTATACTTAGAAGGGAGCCTATCTACAGGAAACATTCCTCTATCCAAGAATCTGAGAAAAGAATGGTGTGCACAGGGCTGCCTTTATTCCTGCACAACCTTCTTGTGTGTTTAGATAGGGCCACAGCTCATGACAAAGAAGGGAAGGGTCACAAGCCAGGGGAAGCCCATATGCTTTGCATGCAGAAGGTGCCAGGATAAATGCTTGACAACTACAGCTAAATGGTCAGTTCACAGCAGCCAGTTTAGATTAGGGGCATGGAACCCAAGGAGCAAGTCAGATCAGCTCTTGTGGATCCTGAGCGGACCATGCCCCTTCCCCATCTCCAACCCTTCCTCCTAATCACGGGTGCTTCTCTTGGTTTAGCGTAGTTCTCTCTGTCCCACAGTCTAATAGGCTCACATGCTTCCTGCAGGTCTAGCTACTGGAAAGAAGCGCTTTAAGTCAAAATGCACCAGCATTTTTGGTGTTTTTGCTCTGCCAACTGCTGGAATGTTCCTCCTGAGAGCATCTCTGGAAGAGAAGTTAGTCCTTGAGCTGAAATAGTTTCTGCACCACTGATTTAGATGCTACTGGCTCAGATGGCAACAGTCCAACTGGGTATAAGGTGGCTTCCTGTGTTCAACACTTAAGGAGAGGATGTGGGTTAGTGGTAGAGGCATGCCTTAAATACAGAAGGCTCAGTTCCCAGGATGTCCAGGTGGATGTGGGAAAAAGTCCTACCTGAAAGCATGCAGAGCTGCTGCCAGTCAGTGAGGACTGGCAACGATTTTATGTTGGCCTGTAATATTATTGGGGGTAGGAGTACTACAGCTTTAATTTGTTACATGCTTTTCTTTTCTTTTTTTAAATGGAGCTCATATCAATACATACCTGAAGTGCAAGTAGGTCCAAAGAGATTGTTTTCTGCACATTTTTCACAAGCAGTCCCATTAAACCCTTTCTGCAAAGAAAAAAAAAAAAAAAGAAATAAGTGAGGTTGTGAAAAGTTAATAAGCCTAATGGTGCAATTGTATGTTTGTTTAGATAGGAAAATGTCCTATAGCTCCCAGTGTTTCCCAGTCAGCCATGCTAAATCTTAAACAAACATTCTAGGGAAAAAGTCACACTTGGTAAGGTTTCCTTTGATTCTTTTGGAAGGCTGAAGCAGTAAATTTCCTTCATAGGCACAGGACTTGGTCTAGGTGACTGCACATCTTTCTGCCAACCCTGCATTTCTTGTCCTGTTTAATATGTGCTTTTAACTAATGATGCATCTTTGCCACTGTAGTCTGGTATCAACACTACCTTTTTTTCTTTGTCCTTTCCCAGTTGTGATAATGCAGGGCTGGGGGAAGCTATATCTCTCCAGATGTTGTTCAGCTAGAACTTCCATCATCCCTTGCTGCTAGTTAGGCTGTCTGGGGTTGATGAGAATTGGAGTACTACTCTGTCTGGGGAGCCACAGCTTCCCCAGCCCTGTGATAAATGCTGTCTTAGGAAAATAACAAGTGTGTACCTGGCACACGCAGGTTCCATCCCCGGTCATTCCCTGGAAACAGTGGCCCTTGTTATTACAGGGTGAGGTTGCGCCACCTGGACATTCTGCAAATGAGAGGCAACAAAATGAGCAACGTGGCAGGGTGGTGAGGGTGTCACACCGGGGTCTGGGAGGCCAGGGGTCTTGTACCCGCTTGTCGTGGGGCCCAGTGGGTGAATTTGGGCCAGTCTCTGACACTCAGTCCAACCATCTCACCAGGTTGCTGTGAGGGTAAAATGGAGAAAAGTAAGGACCACCATGTAATCCACACTTTGTTTTGTTTTTTTGCAAAGGGGGGCATGGATGTGGATGTACTTAGAAGAAGCAAATTCAATTTTATACTCATGGGTTTTACAGCAGGTCTATAAGCTTGTTTGAATCTGTCTGGATAAAGACAGGCATTTTGAAAACATGAGGCCACAAGGAACTGCTTCCAGCCCTACCACTTACCCTCCTTCGGGCGCTGCCACAGGCCTTAGTACCAACAACTTCAACCCCTGAAACAATTTTACTTTCCTGAATGATCGGTGTTTGGAGGTGAGAATGGGACTTCCCAGGAACAGAGGGGTCAGATGGAGTGAAAGAAACTGTGGAGCAGAGGAAATGCCCTGGAGGCCAGATCCCACCCCAGAGGTACGGAGACACAGTCCTATGCATATTTAGATAGAAAAAAGCAGTGCTTTTTTTGTAAAAAAAAAAAAAAAAGGTGTCGGAACTCACATCTTGGGGTCACACTTTTACACTAAAAAAGATTTTCAAGTCACCAACTTTTTTTGAAATAAAGAACTTATTTACCTTTTGCACATAGCCAGTCACTCTACACACACATAAATATAATGGTCGCCGCCGGCAGTAAGCACTCAGCACGCGACCACACGACCGATCCCAAGCCAAGCAGCGCCCTCACAATCAGCGCCAACACACAAGCAGCCCACAGGCACCATGTTAATGATTTTTGCCGCCAAACTGCTACGCCCAACAGGGCGATTCACAATCACTTGGGAAAATTCGTCAAAAAAAGGTGCCCGAACGCTGTTCCGGTGCGTTCTATGACAAAAAAAAAGCCCTGGAAAAAAGCCCTCCCAACAAGGGACTGCAGGCCCTTCCTCCTGTCTAAACATGCATGGCATTGTGTCTTTAGTGACTTGCACAAAAAAACCTAACTGTACTCTATACTTACCACTAGTCTACCCCTGTAATTAGGAGTACTGCTCACTGAGTTTGATGGGGCTCACACATTGGTAAAAGGGAATCGCATTATAACCTAACCAACTGGCATTTCTGTTCAGGGAACCAGAATCCAAAAAACTGCTTAAGCTCATGTGTTGGGAGGTGAGAGTTTTTGCTTTGTTTTTATTTTTTGTAAAGCATCCACTTAAAACGGCTGACAATTTTATTCCATTTCCCTTTGGCTTCTTGTTTTGAAACTGCAGTGGCGAGCCAGCTAGTTCCCCATCCGTTCACATTACTGCATTATTATCATATTGCCTGATGGTTCTACCTTGGCCAACAAAGCAGGGACCCAGTTCTTTACATTTTGGAACACTCCAGATGGTAGCTGGTCTTCTCTCCTCTGTGATGCTAATAGGGCAATCCAATGCATTTCCACCCAGTGGTAGAAAGTGGGCTCTGCCACTTGCTTCCAGGGAAGTATATAAAGAATTTTAAGCCTAAGCATAATTATAAGGGAACAAATGGCACTGAACTCGGTGGGAGTTACTTCCAAATAGGACTGCAGTGTGAAGTGTCTGGTTTTTTAAAAAAATTACTGCAAAGTCTGATGGCATGGCCAGTTTAGAAGTTTATTTTGGGGGTGGGGGTTACTGCTTACTGGGCAGATTGAAGGTAAGCATGGGTAAGTTACTCATGTAGCCACATGCTAATATGGCATGCATGGCACTGAATATATATCAGAGCCAAGCCATTTGGCTACCTGAGGCAAAAGACAACCGCAGAATTCCATATACAGCCTTAGTTGGATCTTGCTCCAACAGCAGCAAGGCAAGCTGACAGGGTGCAGGCCAGGGCGCCCAGTAGATATAGCTTTTCTCTTCAGCACCTCCATACTGCTCCCCAGCATCTGCCAGCCGAGGCAGCTGCCCCTCTCTGCCTAATAGCACGGCCAGACTTGATAAATAGGCATTCCAAAGGTCTCTTAAGCTGGTCTATGGTGCACATTTAAGCTCCCAGGCAGCTGTTCCACCACTCCTGTGGCCATGGGAAAATGAGAACAGTTCTCCTATGCCTTTAATAGTTTTGGGGAAAAGGTAATTTCAGTGGGTGACATCATCCTAAATTACCAGTCTCTCCTTCTTGCATGTAGATGGTGTTGGCTTGGATGCATCACTCAAAGAACCTTTTGCTATTATTACAGGTGATCTGCACTAAATAGTCTCAGGGAGAACAAAATTTCTATGCGCTTTATAGTTGTAAGAGCTACTGAGTGACCCTAAGAGCAACAGATTTACAATATGCCCATACTGAGGTCACAGCATATAATTTTAGTGAACTTCTGTAATTTTAGTGCTGGTGGCTTTGATTAATTATTAATTCTTTTATTAATTATTACAGTGACCATGCTGGAATTCCATTACGCTGGAGGAAATGTTTCATGCCATCATGCAGGGAGCTTCCTACAGAAATTCCCCTTCAAAACTATTAGCAAGGGAGTTTCAGGAAGTCCGAGCACAGGCCCATTGTCTCCCTATTTGGCTGCAGCTCTCCAGAATTTCCAAACAGGTGCCTTCCCTAGGCCTCTTTGCAGATGCTGGGAACTGAGCCTGGGACCAATTGTATGGGGAGCTTGCATGTCTCTAAACCATGAAGAAATGGGTGTTGATGCTCTTTCAGCTGTGGTCCAACCTCCATTTTAGAACTCTACATTCCAATGGTTGTGAGGCCAGGGGCAAAAGGGGTGAGGCCAAAATACGAAGGACAGGACAGAAGACAAGACAGGACAGGATATTTCAATTTAAAGTTGCCAGGGCCAGACATGTAGAGGCATTTCAGCCTCTTGGCATGGAGGGTATGCGACAATTGGAAAAATGCCTGTTGCGGGAAAAGTAGAGCATTTGGAGAACAGAATTGGGACTTGACCTGGACCCCAGTGCTGCGATTCTGCACTTCTGTCTTAGAAAGCAGTTTGTCAGTGGGCTTCCTGTTGATTAGTGCCTGAGATCTCTGAAGAAAAGATAACTCAGACTTTGGCGCTGGTTACAAACCAGAAAAATTGAAAATAAAAGAACTATAAACCAGGCAAGGATTTCGGTGGGTCTGTTTATACACATGCATGCACACGCATGCACCTCCCCCACCCCAGACACTTATATGCAAAGACAACAGGAGCCAAGGAAGTGCTTTTACCAAGGCAATCTGGCCCCCAGTATCCTAGGCAACACTGCGGCTGCTGGAACTCCTTCAGACATTTGTGGCGACATCCTGGAAGCGACAGAGTGAACTTCCTGATCTCAATGTAATATCTGCAAGAAGAGGATACAGGGCTCAGGCAACATTCTTAACATCCTCAGGCTTCAGGCACTCACCTCTCGGAGTGCAGGGCAGCAGAGGCTGGGCCAGGTGCACCAGCCACGCTCATTCCACCAGGACTTGCTCCCTGCAGCTGCAGCTCCAGACCTCCTTCTGCTGAGCTGTGCTTGGAACCCTCCACACAACCAGGAACACACACCAGCCTGAGGATGAGGATGGCAGAGTGGGGCCGGGCTGTGACCTTCCTTCCTCTGCGCATTTTTGGTGAATGCTGAACCAGGCTAGAGTAGCAGCTGAATCTTTGCACATGTTTTCTTCAATTCCACTATATCTATGGCATGTACTAACCACAAGTTTTGTTTGGACCCTGATTTGGTGATTAAGAAAACAACCAAATATGACTTGGGCTGGTTTGGAGGCTGCCTGCTTTGACTTAGATCTGTCTCTGAATGTCAGTTTGGAAATCCTGCTTGTCATGGACTTGGCTAACACTAACCAGCCCCAAACACTTGGACTGATGACAGAAAACTGTGGTTAGAAGCTACAGTAGCCAATTCCAGAACTAACGCTTTGGTCTGATTCTCTCATCTTCCCATAACTGAGTTTTGCATGTACAGGAAGCTGGGGTCGAAATATCTGTTTTGGAGACAGATTGTGTATCTGTGCCCCTCAAAATCCAAAGGCTCCAGTACTGATCAGATTTGGTTTGATTAGGAGGACTCCTGTATTGATTTGGGCATCCTTTGAATCTGACCCAATCAATCTGATTGAGTTTATTATATTTTGGCATGTGGGGTGTGTATTTGTATGTGTATAAAAGCTCTTATTAAACTCTTCAGCAGCTCTGCTAACATCATATATTACCAAATATATGACTGAGCTATGAGGCAGAACGCTGAGTGGGAAATTATACATCCCCCTTCCAGCAGGAACTTACTGAGTCAGAGGAAGGCAACCATGACCCCATGACCCCGGGCTGATGCAAGTTGCAGTCCAACTGGTGGCCTCTCCATGCCTGGTCTAGGCATGCGGCAGGGCTGTGAGGTGCAAGACTCTTAACCATTTAAAAGTTCCCATGAAAAAGTGCGGCGCTCGGCAGGTACCATTTCCCCCAATACTGCATAACTCCAGTGGGAGAAACTGCACTTGTTGACCTTACACCCTCCTCCTCCTCAGTACTCCAATGAGTTGGAAGAAGCCATGTTCATTCTGGGCAACAGTCTCTCTCTGGACATCCTTTGCAGAGCATAGATGGTACCCTGTATACATCAACATTGACGCATGGCACACTGAGGCAATGGAACCTGTGTAAGTTTGGGGTAGCCCATTCACTGGGGAGCCCGTTCATTGTGGTCTTTGTAAAGACCACTCTTTCCCATGCATGGCTGTGGATGCACGTGGCTTTCTTCACATATTCCAGCATGGCTCCACATGCAAAGAGGAGCTCTCCGGGCACACAGCTGTGGGTATCCTTTCCGTCTATAGGAGAAGCAATGGGCTATTGGAGGCAGGACATGCCACTGTGGCCACCCAGCTACCCACCACATGCATTCCTTGTACAAACATCCAATACGCTGGGAAGGGATATTTTCAGAAGGAGACAGGGAGGCGGGTGTGCCTGGGAAGCGGATATCTTTCCCTCTGCTCCATGTGGTTGGATCCACACATACATTGTACAAATAGGGCTCATGCTGATTGCAAATCTGTGTTTCAGCACTAAGAATATCTCTAAGTAATTGCTCAAAAGAATTACCTGCAGTCACGGATCCCAGAACCATTAGTAATTTTGGTGTAACCTTCAGGACACTGGATGTCAGAATTGAGGGAACAAGATCTGCATGTGGTTTTTGTGGTGACGATGGTGTTCTCGTTGCATCTGTTCTTCCCCTAAAGAACAGCAGTGAGAGTTGGTACGGGGGAGAAACAGATGGAGGCAATGAAGCACTTAGGTTGCTGACTTTTCTCCTAGCTGCTGTAACATGGATGGGAGATGAGTAGCCATCCAGAAGTTGGGGGACTGCAATCCCCATCAGCCCTTGTCACCAGCAAGTTCATTGGTGAGAGACAAAGGGATTTGTAGCCTCGCAACATCTGGAGGGCCATAACTTTATGCCTTTAACAGTATTTTGTCAAACAGAGACTTCTAACAGTCTGCTCTAGGTTATTTCAGGCATTAATTCATGTTATTAGTTGGTTTATTTTATATATTTTTAGACAGGCTCCAAATGAACTACTCTCATAAGGCAGCTCGCAACGTGATTAGTGTGAAATTAAATTCCTGATTATTAAAACAGTAAAACAACAGTGACAAGAGAACAACAGTGAAATTAGCAAGAGCAGAGAAAAACAATAATTAAAATACAGCACCATTAAAATTGACAAAATGAAGGCCATGTAAGGAAGGTTTTCAAGGTTTCTTAAAGGCTATCAAAGAAGGGAACATGCATATTTCCCCAGAGAAGATATTCTGCAGATGTTCAGCATTGGAGAAAAGACCTTGCAGTTCTTGGTGCCCACCAAAGTAACAGCTCCCACTAGCATACCAGAGCTTCAGATGTCCCTCCCAACGTTTGGGCAGATTTGTATACATGCAAGCAGGTAACCTGGTCCCAATTATGTAGGCTTTGAAGTTTAGCAATAGCAGCTTAAATGGGGCCCTGCCTGGAATAAATAGGCAGCCAATGTAACTAGCATAGGATAGCTGCAATAGGATCTGAACACTTAGCTCCTGCAAGCATTCAAGCTGCCATCTTCTGCATTGTATTCTGAGGCTTCTGGACAATCTTAAGACTTGCAGAGTGTATTACGGTAATGTAAGCTGGACATAACTGAACCATATTTCAGAGGGTTCAGATCAGTCTTCTCCAGAGTAGGCTGTAGATGGCAAACCGGTCAAAGCTGCTAAAAGCACTTCAGCCTCCAGATGACACCCAGATAGACAAGACTGAGTCTAAGAGCCCAAAGTACATTTCTCCCCCTTGAGGGAGAATACACAGATGGCAGCAGTACACAACTATTGCATTTAGAATACATCACATATATGTAGGTGGGTGCTTAAGCCCTGCTTCTATCACATCACTCATATCCCTTTTCTCTATTCCCCCTAAAACTCTAACATATTCCTTTAGCTCTAGCCTTCTGTGAACCAAACTACACAAATGTTAAATTCGTGATTGCATTTGCATATATTTTATGTTTAAGAATAGCAGTTGCTCATTGATTTGGACTGGAACTGTGGCACTGAGGAGGGGGAAAGATACTCCCTCCCGGTGTTAGTATAAAATAAATAAAGTACAGCTCGTATTCAGAGGAACTTCCTTGCTAGGGCAATTAGCAACCACTGGATACCCGTTCCACTCCCAGGAGAGACTCAGGGTTGTTACCAATCAATATAGTCTTGCTGGATGAACAGCCCTCTCTGCATGTCGGCTCAGAGGTGATTCCCATTATGTGCAATCACACTTGCTCCTAATTGAAGCCATAGTGACACATCACTTTCATGATTAAGTGATGAATCAGCAAATGAAGTGACTCAATGATTCAAGTAGGAGGTACCAAGTTTGAGTTCTAGCATCTACCTCAGAATTCAGTCCAAAGTCCTGGAAATATTTTTCTGTTCCTGGGTCTTGGTAGAAGTCCTGGAAAAGTACTTCTGATTTTGCGCATTCTTATCACCACTGAAAAACTATAACTCCTCCAACCATCTGCAGTATCCAAGATGAATAAGGAGAGAACTTCAGCTAAGGGGAAGCATTTCTAGATGGCAATAAATGTTGGCACAATGTCACTTCTTATGCAAATTAATCACTGGTCTTGTTCAGCCATCCGGAATCCCAGAAGAGCCAAAGCGTGGTATGAGGAAGAAGATCATGCCCATCATCCCCATATTTGACCTGCACAAGTGGATGGGCTTTGGGCGTACAGAACAAATTGATACATAAGCGCTGCCGATAGGCTTGCAAGTCAAAGCATATGGTGCAAAATGAATGTCCCAGCTGGATGGGGAGAGCCTGTGCATATACTATGTAGATAAGCACAGAGTCTGGGGTAACAAAGTGGGTACAATGGCATTCCCATGTCTAAGTGGCAAGTATGCAATGATTCCAGAAGTCTGGACAGGATTACTGCACATGTTCAGATTTATTCGGTGTGCAAAGCTCGCCCTGTGTCCAGAGGAAACCTGCATTCCTGATAAATCTTTGCCTACGGGTGCATCTCCTTTTGGCACTGGTAATCCACATGGTCCCCAATGGAAGCCTCCACCGCCCTCCTCATACACAATAAAATTCGCCCCTTACCTTCTCTGTGGTTTGGTCTAAACTGAAGGTATTTCCAGTCAAAGATGATATCAGGAATAAGACAGGCAATTGCTTTCTCATGGTGCAAAAATGGTGGAACATGGATTTTAACATCATAGCAGAAAAATGTCCCGAACTCCCACTATGCCCAGTCCATCGGCATTATCAGCCAAACACCAGCATTGTCCAAATTATAGTCCCTTCTTTTTCCCTTGTCCTGAATCAAGCGAAGAATGGAGAGCATGTGAAGCCTGACCTTAGACAGGAAAGGGTACCCAAATGCACGGGCTTGCTGAAAACGCTGACTTCAAACTCGGCAAACATTTCTGACTTCCTGCCAGACTTTTCTGTGTGAATTCTCCTCCCTGCACCTATCCTCCCCTCCCCCACTTCTGGAGTTGTTGACAGCACACTTCTAAGGATGCTGAAAGAAATCGATGGGGAAAGAAAGCAATGTTCTGGACATGAGCGACCAGAGTTTGGAAAGGAGCTGTTGCGCAGCATGTCATCCACAGATGCCTCTTAAGTGAAGGCAGGCGCAATCCAAGCCCCATAGAATGGGACCTGCTCTCCTTGCAAAGATGTATCTGTAATGCTTGCCTGCAGCCAGGAGAGCCCAAAGGAGAAGCTTATGGTGAGACAGAACCTTTAAGCTCTTGCTAAGTTGTAGAAAGTGTTTCTTTCAGTTCCTCTTGTCTTTCGGGACCCTTTATTTTACAGGGGTTTAGCGTTGGGGTAGATGCTTTGCATGCTGAAAGTCTGGGGTTCAATTTGGTTAGGGCTAGAAAGACTCCTGACTGGAACCCTCGAGTGCCACTGCTGCCAGTCAGTGTCTACAGTATTGGGCTAGATGGATCACAGGCCTGGCTCAGTCAAAGGCAGCTTCCTACATTCCTATCCATCGTTAGGAAAAGGGCCCTATATAATTACTTGGATCTGGCAGAAAGTCTGGCTGCATTTCATGGGGCTTCCTCCCAGGTACTATGCATAGGATTGCAACAGGATCACAAATCAGTTGCCTGGGTGCAAACCAATATCTGGACTCAAGGCACCAGCATCCCTGTACTTTCAAAGTTCATAATAGCCACAATAAGTACATCTTTCTGCTTTGCCAAAGTTCTGCAAGGACCAAAAGGTATCAGAGGTGAGGTGCTACTGACCTGTCCTAAAGCAAATCTCAGGAGTGTGGTATCAGCCAGAAATATCACTCAGCACCACATGTTTCTGGCACATCCTGTGATATATTGCAAAATTAGGGATAGTACCAATTCCTGGTTGTACCTCTTCTGACACAAGCATGAAGACATGGGGCCAACACTGATTTTAAAATAATACAGGTCATTATTCCATATGGCTAACAGAAGATCAGGGGCTTAGGAGCTAGGATTGGTCTAGGATTGCTTTTGCCGCAATTACATCACACAGTCCAGCACACACGGGTCCATTTTTGGCTTCTTACTGACCAGTCCTTTTTCTCCCGATCTTGTTGAGTTGTCTTCTGCAGACACGACAGGGGAGCTCCAGAAAGGAGATCTTTGCTTCCGGGAGAGTCATCCATGAGGGTTGCGAACTACCGTGGACTGAGTCACATCAGTGCCATGCCCGTGGAAGTGGCAGGTGCGGCCATGTGCCCTTCGCTTGCTCTCAGCTGCACCTGGCTTGATACGCTCTTCTTTCCAAATGCTGAGGAAGTGCTGCTTGGATGGGTGACAAGTTGCCCTTGCCCTTTCCCTTGCTAGTAAGCAGTGGTTTCTTTGCATTGCCAATATGGTAGCTCTGTGGCCTGCAATGATCAGATGACAACACTGTGGGTTGCTAATTTAGCAAATTTGGATGCTTGTTGGTTATCTATGATAATAAAAGAGGATGTGCATCTGCTTGCACACAGCTTTCCGTAGTTTGAAGTCTGAGAAGATTGGTAGGCTGATGGATGGAGTTATGCATATCCTCCTTCTCTCATGCTCCGGGGCAACACCCCAGCTGAATGGAGCAGCCTGCCCTTCCTTCAGGAGACAACAGGTAAGTACTATGCCCAAGGGCGGGGTGGGCACAGTGTGTCCAGTTCGGACGGCAGCATGAGTTTGCTTGAAGGTTTTGTTGTATCAAGCTAAGTGCTATCTTAGCTTGCGCAAACCAGGTCCATTTGCTAGTTATTCCAAGTCCTCCAAGCTGACTTTTTGCATCTTTGATTTAAACTGGACACATGTCTCAACCAGGGAATGGGTGGAATTCATGAGTTAGATGCCTCAGTAGCAAGAAGAATGGCAAACTCATGACTTGGTATCTGCCCTAAGTTATTAATGGACACTCCAAAAGCATTCACAAAGTCCACGATGTCATGCTTCTGTGATGCAGATGTGAAGCCAAGAGCACCACATGAGAATCTCCACTGTGCACCATCATCTTCTTATCCAGATTCTTTGTTGCATCTGTGTCTGAAAATTTTCTTGATTAGGAATGAACAAATACAACAATTTCTGTTTCTTTCAATTTCTCTTAAGTGCAATTCATTTCGAACTACAAGAATTTCTCCATTCTAAAGTTTGATACATTCAGAACCTTAAGAACTTTCAAAGTTAAAGTTTGCATGAAATCTTGTGAGTTTTAAGTGCTCATTTCTCCTAATACATTCGTTGTTGCCTGATTTACTTGCATACAAGTTTTGCAAACCATTTTTACCTGATTTCCCTTAACATACACACCTTTGTTTGCATTTTTTGATTGGAGAACCCATCGTAAAATTCCTAAAAGCTAGTCTATTAAAGGAGAGCTCAGTTTTGGATTTTATATTAATTTGAAATCAGATATATGTTCATTAAAATGTGAACTAAAGAAATCTCTCCCTTATTTCTCTTACTGATGTCTAGAAGAACATTTCTGTCAGTTTCAGTGCTTGTAATATGGAAGGAACAGTTCTTGCCTCCTATTTCCTACAAGAGAAACCGATTGGGCAATCTACCCTCTAATGTGTTCAGTCCCTTTCAGTCTATGCAATTTCAATACACGTGTTCAGTGGCCTCATCTTGCACAGTGAAAAATTGGCTGCCAATCAGCCTCCCTCCAGTGGTCATGTGTGGTATTACAAGCCTTCCTGCAAGCCTACTTGCTTCACTGGGGATGAAGGCCAAGATCATCCATTCTGTTGTATTTCCATTCACTTGGTACAGTTGTAAAACTGGAGAATTAAGAAAGTGGTAGGAAGAAAATCGATGTGTTCAAATATGGTGCTGGAGAATTGCTTTGCTAATACCCTGAGCTGACAGAAAGACAAACAAGTGGGTACTGGATCAAATCAAACCAGAATTTTTCCTGAAAGCAAAATAACCAAAGTGAAGCTGTCATACTTGAAAGTCAAAGACAGAAGAAGAAGGGAAAAACCAAACATGAGCTGGATCAATTCCATGCAGGAGGCCACGACCTTGAACTTATAAGAGCTGAGCGGGGCTGCCAAGGACAGGAGACTGGCATTCATTGGTAGATAAGTCAGGGGTGACTTGATGGCTTGAAAGAACAATACCATTTTCCTTAGCACCGAAAAACATTTTCACCATTTGCCTGTTGAAAAATGTTATTAAAGTGTGAAAATGCATATTTTCTTTTAAAATTGCATTCCCAAGTGTGCCTTTTTAAGAATACTCAGGCAGTTGTGAGCATTTCTTGGGGGAAAAGAAACCCTGCTCCTGCTGGTGTTTGGATCCGGCATTGGGAATGAGGCCTCCTTGTATAATTTGCAAATGGAAACAAAATGTTAATATATCCTCAATCTCAGGTAGCAGAGCTTAGAAAGGCCATTGGCTGAGTTTGTGCTGAGCTTCAGTGCATCCAGAGAAACAATACTGGCTTATAGGGACCAGTCTTCTGAGAAAAACCTTGCTTGCCTTCTCAGTCATGGGGAGGGACCATAGTTCAGAGGTAAAATCCCCGCTTTGCATGCCAGTGATGCTGGGTGCAAACTCTGGCATGCCCAGTAACAGGATGCAAGACGTCTGGCTAGTTTGGTTTGATTCATAGTGGACAGCACTGAGTTAGCCAGACATCTTAATAGCAGGCCAAGGGCATCTGCTTTCAAGTTGTACGTGGCTGCATGGAAAATGTTCTTTTGTGTGCATCAGATGAGCAAATAGGAGCCATTTTTACACCATTCCTTACCTCAGTGTTAGGCAATCTCACCTGTGTGGGAGCTGGGTGCTGACCATGGTTGTTATCTATTTAGGTCCTCCTAAATTTAGGTCCTCCTAAATATTAAAATAGCCTGAACTATTTTAATACAGTTGTGGCCTTTGGATCAACTTTATCTGGTTGGGAAATGTTAAACATATGCACTGAACAAATCAGTCTCTAATGGAAGATTGTCAGCATGACCCCGTATTGTTCTTTTTGCAAGTGTTAAGCTAAAAAAGATTTTTAAAAATTGCAAACTTATACATAGGAAGCAACAAGGCAGAGACGTTTCCTGCATGCTCATCAGATCCATTATGCAGCAACGGAAGTACTGTACATAATTTATCCAGAGTTTACAATGTATACATTCCCATATATTGTGCACACTGAAAGTCCTTTGCAGACAAGTCTTCCTGTGGGTCATTGTTTCTCCTTTGCTCCCAAAGTGTCTATCCACCCATTTTGACTTTTGTATGCTGTCAGTCATTCACTGGCAGCCCGATCTACTCAGGGAGATTGCAGCATCAGTGCATGGAGATGCGTGTGTACAGCAGTGAGCCAGCATGCAGGACTCACTCATGCGCTGGTGCAGCTTCAAGGATCCGCTCATCCAAACTGTTCCAGAGCAGATTCAAGGTTCTCCTCCATTTTAGAGCAATAGATACAAGAGAATCCTGCAGTGAAACACTGCAGCATGTTTTCAGCTCCTAGCAGGGTGCTACTTACAGAATCATAGAATAGTAGGGTTGGAAAGGGCCAGGAAGGCCAGTGGGTCCAACTCCTTGCTCTGTGCAGCAGTCTAAGTTAAACCATCCCTCTCGTGTTGGAGTTCCCGCAACCTCCCTGGATAATTTGTTCCATTGCCGTACTGCTCTAACAGTCCAGGAGTTCTTCTTGATGTCCAGTCAGAATCTGGTTTC